CTCTGATGAGAAGAGAGCATCCATGGCCCAAGCATGATGACGTCCATGGTTTACATCGTCTGATCCATTGCGAGAAGGTTAAACCTTCTTCTGGGCAGAAATGGCTGGAAGTTCTTGCTTTTAGGCGCACTGGGTAGCAGAAAGGCGTCATTTCTCAACACTAAAGGCGGTGACCTAAGTCCTGCATCTCAGGTTTGCTGGTGGGGCCACAGTTTTGCGCGGGTCTGTTGTGGACCCGCCAGGGTTTAGGGTTTAGGGTTTAGGATTTAGGGACTACAAGGGTCGTAATTCAGGAATGATACGGCTGATAAGGGTCTAAAGGGTTGATGTTCCACCCGCTGCAGTAGGGCACAAGGATTACAGCATTTTGGGGTTATATGTGGGCTCCTCTGTTTGGGAAATGCCGATTTGGGGGGGGGGGGGGGGGTCCCCTAAATTTTAAACTCTATGCAACCTCGAAGCCCCACCCTTAAACTCAAAGAACGAAAACACAAAATGAATAGTCAGGGTATTGGGGGGGGGTCCTATAGGAGGGCAAAAGAGGCCAACCGAACTTCAGCAGGCCGAGAAGCGGGTTCATGACAACGATGTTGAGTTCCTGGAGCTCTGCTCAATATGGGGACAAAATCTGCCCCGAAACCCTAACCCTTAAATCTGGGGAAACGAAAATGCTTCTCCCATGTGGAAATAAATGTAAAAGGTTCTCTAGCGCTTTGGAGTTCCTGCAGTTCAGGGTTGTGTATGCGTGTGTGTGTGGAAACACCTGATCATTGTGATTGGAAGAAAGGGGGACCATGAGGGGTGGGGAGGGGGTCCTGGTGAACGAAGGCCCCCTCCCCAACCCCGTGTAAACGTACCTGCGTTTTCGCCCGCTCATGGGCCCTGTGGGGCAGCTGCTTGCCTTTTGCCCTAAACCCTGAAGCCTGGAGAGTTGTTTAGAGATTTTGGAGCTTCAGGGATGTCGAGAGCCCTGCAGGGCCATCACCCGAGGTTTAGGGTTTAGGGCTTCGGGTTCGGGGCTTCGGGTTCAGGATTTAGGGCTCATGGTTTAGGGCCGAAGGCTTTGGGCTGAGGACCTGACACCCTCAGCTCTATAAACACCCAAAAACGTCGGACCCTGAACCCACAAGACCCCTAAGGGCACAAACCCAAAACCCACCATCATAAGCCCTATAGGATCCCCTGAAACATAAGCCGGGGTCCTGCACGGCGCTGCGGTTGGGGCTTGGCGTCGTTTGAACCTCACCTCATCATCTGAGTCGTTTCAAGTTGGCCCCCGAAACACGCGATCCGAAACTAGGCTGCCCAACAAACTGCACCCATCATCCTTTACGTGCGGTTGATAAGGCAAAGAGACCTACCCTGTAAACAAAAAGGGGCCCTAGGGCACGGCAGGGCGTGGTAGTAATCAAACGCAGGGGAGGGTTTGGGAGACTCGGCATTACAAGACCGTCTGGAACGGATCTCCCTAACCCTAAACCCGAACCCCCCAAAAAAACAAAACCACACCAACCTTAACCCAAAACACAAACCCTTTCAGCCCTACAGTTCTCGAAGCACCATGGAAGTTGTAGCCCAGCCTGGGGTGCTATAAGGGCTTTCAGGCGCAGGAGTTTGGGGCTTAGAGGCTGAAGGCCTCCGCCAGGGGCTTAGGGCTCAGGGTTTCGGAACCCTGAACCCCACGACCGCCCACACACCCCTAAACCCCCCAAGCCCTTAGACAATCGAAGCCCGGGGGGCAGTTGTTCGCATGGTATCGGCAGGAAGCGGCGCTGCCGTCAGTGGTGGCTCCAGGGCACGTCGCAGGGCAGAGAAGCGCCTCTGCGGGAAAAACCTGGATCGGGAAGCTTAGAGCTAGGGCTTGCATCGCCCCTTGCCGCAACAAAAACGAGGCAAAGGGGAGTACCTCCGTGGTTTTCGAGGCCTTTGGTGCATCACTGTCATAGCTTTTGATCCTTGGGAAGTGTTCCTGGAGTGGTCTTGCTCTTTGGCTGACCTGGGAGTGGTCTCACACTCTTGGGGTCCTTCCTGGCCAGATGTTGAGATGTCGAGTTGAGTGTTCTCAGAAACACCCTGAAACCTTAAACTTGTGGAAAGCTCCTGAAGCCCGAAAATAGAAGGAAATAGTACGCATTGTATGAATATTTAGTATCATTATGGGGCTAGTTTTTCTTTCAGCGAGCAGGGGAGGCTTCAACCATAACCGATTGCGATCCAGTCTGCGACGGCGAGGCCGGAGAGGACCAGCTTGAAAGACTGCCAAGGCCTTATAGCTGTTCTTTTTGTTGTTCTTGGAAGCCCCTCAAAACTTCGGCTTTAGGGTTTCCCTTATAAATAGAACACACTATGTAAAAAACAAGTTTCGGCTTTAGGGTTCCCTTTGCAATAAAATCACAACAGATGCTCAAGAACGGTCGAAAAGGCCGGAGCATAGCGGAGGAGAGCATCTTGTCCCCCGAGCCCACCCAGGCCTAAGAAGCCCCTGGGGCTCTTAAATTGGAGCCACGGCTCCAGGCTAAAAGCCCTGGGCTCGCCCTAAACTTGGAGCCATCAAGCCTGCGCGCGGGCAACGAAGGAAGGCTCGGAAGATGCCAACAGCCGAAGCCTCTACAAACTCGACCCTCCCGCAAGCCCATGACGTGGGCTTTGCTCCGATGGCAGAATGCCCCCTCTCCACCCCTACCCTAAACCCTCAACCCTCCCAAAAACCTCGCATGAGGAAGTCGGGCTGAGCCCCAAACCAGGTTCGGGGGCTTAAGCAGGGGTTTAGGACTTCTAACTTCCCACCTTGACCCCCAAAACTTCACGACTGATGACGCGTCGTTTTCTACTGATGGTGAAGGACTGAGAGGCTAGAGTTTCGGGTGCTTGGAGCAACCCTAAACTCTCAAAACCGTAAAAATCCCAAACGTGCTCGTCAAACCCTAAATCGGGTCTAAGTCCTCAACCTTAAACCCTAAACTCTAAACCCTAAACCCTAAAACCCTAGACCCAAAAAACAACCAAGTCCAATAAACCCTAAGCCCCAAACCCTGCACGTTTCAGGGTTTAGGTTTGGGGTTGGGGGTTGGAGTTTATGGTTTCACGGTTGAGGGTTTGAGGATTTAGGGTCGGAGCTTGGGGTCGTCCGCTGGAGCTTTGTAGTGTTAAAAGGTCAGGATGTAGAGAATTTTGGGCTTAGGATTTGGGGTACCAAAGTAGGGTGCATGATGCATGATTCAGATAACCCCTGCATCGGGCATGCAGGCGCTGCTTTCAAACGCTGCCAGTGCCACGGCTCAGAATCAACCACTTTCGAATGCACCCTGCCATGTACTCTTGGCTGTTGGCCAATTAAGTAAGCACTCTGAAACATTCTATCATTAGACCAAGAAGGAAAGCTGTTGGATATCCAAAGAACCTACAAAGCCAGTCATCTCACACCAGGACGGTAGAAGACCGGCTCTCGGCAATAGAAACCAAGACGGAGAAGTTCCTCGGCACGTAGGTGCGGTGCCAGACTTCGAAGCACGCGACTGGCACGGGTTAGGAACTTTTGTCTCGAGCGCCAAGGGCCTGGAGATGACCTGGGAGAAACAAGGAACCCTTCGTTTCGGTCAATGATTTGTGCAGACATGAGAATGCCCTCGAGCCCCAGTCCTCCAACCCCGTGCCCAAACACTTTGGGTTTAGGGCTTCAGAGCTTATGTCAGCTGGAAGGCGCTTGCATGAACGCACTTCCCAAGCAAAGTACACTTCAAGGATGTCAGATGACGAATGCAGCGCATAGGTTTCATCCGCCGATCCACTGCAGACAGAAGGATCACGGCTGAAAATTGAAAAGCCCGACACCTCTGAAGCCTAAAGCACCCACACCCGGCATGCCCAAAGCTGCAAACCCTGACACCATAAGCATAGAGACTTCCTCCCCCCAAATGCCAACCCTCAACCCAACCCTATAAACCCCAAGCCCTAAACCTCCATCTGGGCTCCCAGCGCAATGGAAAACTTCGACAGGGCTTCCTGTCATTCTGCAGAAGCTCGAGCGGAAGGCTTGGAAGGCTAGGAAGGCTTGGAGTTGTGGGTTTAGCGCTTAAGGGGGGGATTGGGAAGTTTGTCCCTGAAACCTCAACCCGAAACCCTATAAACACGAAGCCCTGAACCTTTCATGCACCCTTAACCTCAAACCCCAACATTCAAAACGCCCTGAACCTGGTACCTTCCCGCGCCTCGGCGTTCGCGGGCTTGTACAAAGCGGAGTACATGTGCCTGGGCCAATGAGAGCCGGATCCCTCACATGAGCAGTTGTAACGCTCACCTTTGCTGCATCATCGCCATCGTCATCCATCATTATCACCATCATCATCATCATCACCTCGCCTACGCATCGCAGTTTTCGCACGGTCAGAATCTGGTGGTCTCTGCGTGCTGCCAAAGACTCAAAGCCAGGCCGACGCCGCCCATGCCTGGGCGCACAAAGCAATGCGATTCCCTGGACTTTCAGCGCATGCCCGAACCCCTTTGCGAAACAGCTGTACATGACACAGATGCAAGCTCAGCGCGGAGCTCCTGTGACGATCTTGCTAGGCTGCATGCTGGATGGTAATTCGCATGGTTGCGATGGCACGCATGCACCTTCTTGCCACTGTCTACGAGTACCGACATCTCAGCGCTCTCGAAAGACCGCCCGCTCCGCCCGCGCGAGATGAGGCCTGCGTGACCCACAACGCAGCTCATCCGCACGTGCAGCGTGCAGGAAGCCCCTCACGCGCTCCCCTCGGCTGATCTTCTGCAGCCGACAGCAGCTGCTCTTGAAACAGCAACTAATCTTCTGCATCTACACCTCTGTGCTCTACTACAAAACTCTACAATTTGCCAAACGAACTGCTCCGATCATGCGGCTTCCAGTCGAAACATTCTGTTAAATAAGTGCTGTGCTCTACCTTGCAGCATGTCACTGCTCAGAAGAGAGCAATGACAAAGCCAAGGACGGTGCAGCACTCATGATCACGCATTCGGATTTAGTCCATGAACAAGCCACGGGTCGCTCCTTGCACGGGCTGCCGGCAGAAGGGGCACGGCTGGCCCCTCAGCTGCTGCTGGCATCCTTGGCAAAGCGCGTGGCCGCACGGAGCCAACGCCACCAGGGGGCGATCTTCCTGACAAATACCGCAAGAGCCCACGAAGCCGGAACCATTCCCTGCACCTCCATCTGCGGGCCCGCAGCCAGGAGCTTCGGCAAGGCCATCCCAGGACGCTTTGATTGTGAGACGCTCATCACGTTCAGTAAGGTACGAGCCCCATTCTTTGATAACCACAAGACGGCTGAAGCCATGGTGTTGCAAAGCCTGCAGCAGCGCCTGGCGGAAGGCCTCTCGATTGGGGTCGTCCTCCAAAACGGGCATAAGCTTGAACCTTTGACAATCGTGAGAAGCAGAAAGCCCGCCGCGGTCAGTAGCCGCCTCGCACTTCCGCTCGAACTGGGCCACCTGCTGGGCCGCCCACTGTTGAGGCACCCGGCGCCGCGTGTCCAAGGAGCGCTGGGACAGGCGCTGCGCGAAGGCCATGGCGCGACGGAGCCGCCGAGGATGCGCGAAGGCTGCAATGGAGGCTTGGCTGCGCCAAGCGAGGCCAAGGGCTCTACAGGGTCCGGGCTCGCACCTCTGGGCCAAAAATGCCCGGAGTCGCACCGAGGTTCCAAGCAGGCTTCCCCTCAAGGGTTCATGTACCTAACCATGCTATACTTTGGCTTTTGAGGCCCAAGTATGTACTACTTTGGCACATGGACCCGTAAACCTCATAGCTACCGGCTACCATTTCACAGATGTCTCGTGAGCTCATAGAAGCGACTACATAGACATCCAGGCATCTACACGTGTCCACCGCAAAAATGAGCGACATGGTGGAGCATGAAGCAGAAAGCTTGAAGTGCTATGTGAGCAATCAGTAACTTGTAAGAGCCGCAAACCTGCACCTGCACTGTTGTGAGCCCCCTATTAGGCTTGGACTCTGACCCCAGGGTACCCCGAATCTTTGAACCTCCAACAACTGCGAGATCGAGAGACCAGAGCCTGTGACGGTCCCAATTTAAGGCTCGGACCGAGGCTCCCAAACTCTTCGCGCAGCGTCTGTAGGGCGATCTCATAGGTGCCTCTACAGGCCGGGGCTTGAGGGTTGTGGGGTCTTGCAGGGCTTTTAAGGTTATAGGGTTGGAGTCGAAAGCTTACGGCTTAGAGACTTGAGGGTTTAGAGCTGTAGTTCATACATACCGCCAATAGCGGCCTTGACCTTGCGGGTTGAATGGGTTGAGAGTTCTACATGGCGAGGCTCGAAGGCCGTCCGCTGAAGCCCTGGCCCGCGATACCACCCTATGAGCCGAAGCCCCAGCCCTGGCACAACCGCTCCCAGAACAAGTAAACAACACCTTCGGTAGCCCCTGAACCCCTGAAGACTCCATAAAGCTGCAAGCCCCTACCACCTTTAACGTCCCTACAACCCTAAAGACCCCAAAGTAAAGAGTCCGGGGGGGACGTGGGCGTGCACTTGTTTCCCGCATTGAAACGACAATAACTTAAACCTCCTTTCTAAAACAACTTCGAAAATCAGGGATCACAGGCCCCCATTGAGATCCAGCCTCGCTGATCGGCCGTGCAGTTCTGGCATGTGAGGCAGTCGTGCGACATCAGATCAGGGTGCCTCGCTTTCCCAGGAGGAGCTTACGTAACCCTAAATCCCAAAGCCTACACCCTACGCTTGGGATGTTCCCCCTTATACTAGCAGTCCTTAATAGGGATTCTAGTACCCCCTTAGAAGAAGGGCAACATCCCAAGCCGACACCCTAAACCCTTGTGAAGGGTCCGGACTTCTGGCGCGGGAAGCTGGGCTTGATTTGTGTGCAGGGGTTAGGATTCAGGCCTTAGGCTTGGGAGCTTTCGAGTTAGGGATGCCAGGGCTTAGGGTGTTGAGTTTTGGAGTCTCTGCGTCTGAGAGTTTAGGCCGGTTCAGGGGTCTTGGGGCTCCAGGAGGGCTGTCCTTAACCCTAAAGCCCTTTGACCTTAAACAGAACGAAAAGGCCTTCAACCCTAAGGTCCGAAACCCCTAAGCCCCTGAGACCCCCAAAGCTTGCAGTGCATGAGCGGTCGAACGGGGAGCACATCAAGTCTCAGCTCTGATCCATGAACCACAAGTAGCCATTTCCATATGCGGTCCTCTTCAAAATATTCCCGAACATGGTGCTATTGACAAGGTTCAACAAAGCGCATCCTGAAATCCTAGACCTACTAAGCCCTAAACATCCACGGCGCCTAAACCCTAAATCCTAAACCGCGAGCCATGAAACCCGAAAGCTCAGACACCAAGTTCTAAAACTCCCCAAACCCATAAACCCCCCAAAACACTCCCTAAGCGCCCCTACATAAAACCGGTGGACAATCAAAGCCCCGGGACCGGTATCGCAGGGAGCGGTGCTACCGTCGTCGCGGGGCAGAGAAGTGCCTTTGCTGGAACAATGTGGCTTGGGGAGTTCGGGGATTTGGGTTCCTACGGGCGGTTTAGAACTTGGGAATGTGAGGCTTGGGGATCCAAAGCCTCTTGCTAGGGGGGTGGAGGGTCTCTTTCATGTTAGGGTCATGTTAATAACCCCCCCCCCTCCCCACAAAAAAAAGAACAACTGCTTTGCATTCGGGGGTTTTGAGGGTGGAGAGAGAGAAAAAAAGGGGTGGCAATAAAAAGGGGGGGGGGGGGTTCGGGGGGTCTGGGGTCTGGGGTCTGGGGTCTGCGGGTCTGGGGGTCTGGATATCTGGGGGTTTGCTGGGGGTCTGGGTCTTGGGGTCTGGGGGTCTGGCTGCTTGTCACCCCAGTCACACCATGATGAGTATTCTCACCGGACCATCCCGGCCGAATATTACAAATCCCACGCAATTTGAAACAACCAGTTTAGACATAGGAGCCCAGAACCTTCTCCTCATGGAAAATCGTCTTGGGCCGGGATTTTGGGGCGGGCCGAATATTTTTGGGCACGGGCATGAGACATCTAGCAGCTAGCATCTCGCATTATGCGGAGAGAGACAGACAGATAGAGAGAGAGAGAGAGACAGAGAGAGCGAGAGATTGAGAGAGAGAGAGAGAAAGACCCTCAACGGCGCAAAAGCACTGCGAGGGTCAAAACGGACTTGCAGCATAGAAGAAATGAATTTAGTAAGTACTTCCCTGCCACGTTTGCACGACGGAGCGATGCAAGACTCAAAACGTACAGGAGCTAGACATCGGGGCGACGCACCGCCAAACCCGCCCTGCCGAAAAGCGAGAGCGCGAATTTGACACTAAACTAGGGTTAGAATTTGAGCATTGTTTTTGCTACTGCCGGGCACGCGTGCTTCGACCGCGCATTGGCGCACACTCAGAATCTAGAGCTTAAGGGCTCCCAAGTCGGGTGGGAGGGGCTTGCTCCATGTTGGCGACCCGTAAGGGCTTAGGCTTCAACCCCCTCCCCTAACAATAACCCCTCCCCCTTCAAAAATCAAGGGCTCCGCTTCAACCATAGCCAATTGCGATCCAGTTGCAGTTCCAGGACGAGAGAAGGCTCCGCCCCGAAGTCGATGGTCGGTGGTGTGGAGGAGTCCTTGTGGCGCAGCTGGTAAAGTTGCCCCAGTGCAGCTTCCAAGTCTTCACAGTGAAGATCTTGCGCTGGCCAGGAACCGGCTCCGATGACGAGCGTCTCGACTTTCATCAGCACTAGGAGCTGCGCTTGTTCAACGACGACTGCTGGCACTTGTCTCCACGCACCTCAGGCAGAGCAATGCCCCCACATTCGGTACCTGGCAATAACTGGCAAGCGATGGCAAGTGCGGTACTTCTTGAGCACTGAGATCCAGCGATTGTTGAAGCTGTTGATGCTCGCACTGGTCCCCACGCAAGGGCGGCCATCTCCTCCCCAGACTCCAGCAAGACTCGAAGCCACTGGCCGTGCCATGCTTATACTCTTTGCTTACTTAGGGTTGTTTCGGCTTAGGGCGGGCGGGCGTTCTCTGAACCTCAGGGCTTGGAGTATCCGGCCAGGGGTGAGATGTGTGCGGCTGTCGGCGCATGCCGTGTTTCTATCTTCCCTGCGAGTGGGCAGAGTCCTGACAAAAGCCGGAGAGAATAGAGCCTGCGTGCGCAATGGAGGGTCCTGAAGCTCTGTGCCTTGAGCCCCTGCCCCAAAACCTCCCCGAGACCAAGTTTGGGGGTTGGGGGCTTTGGGGCTCCCAGCCTTGAACTCGAGTTGACCCGAAACCCTATACAGCCTGCAGATCCTAAACTCGGAGGCGCCTGGTAGAGGTTATAAAGGCATCCCTTGCCATGGCTACCTTGGGGGGACCCCGTCATCCTGGTAGATGATGTCGACACTTCTGTCTTCATGGAGCCCCTAGCGGCCAGCGGCCCCACGTCCCCCACACCCTGACCCCCTCGCAACTTGTAGAAGGACCGCCAAGTTGGCCTAAGTTAGAAAAAGCACCCCACTTGGTCACGACAGGCACTCCAAGGGCTGAAACTAGAATTACGGGTTTAGGGTCTTTGCCCAAGTGTTCCTCCAAATGGAGCCTCATGGATGCAGAGCTTCAACACATTTACGTTTTGTCGCGATAGTCTTGACAGCAGCTCGGATCCACTGTCGAGCTGCTTGTGTTAAATTGAGCGAGTCAACCACACGCGGGCCAAAGGCCCCTGCTCTCTGTGCTCGTTGCCCGTGTGTTTGCCGACCTTGCTCGCCTACACAGCCTGCTTCGACAGGGCACGCCAGGCTTCTACAATGGGGACACCTTCTATTGTAGGTCTTATCGGCAAGTTGCATCTCTGAAGGACCTTGGTAAACAGAAACCTCTTAGAGGGGTGTTAGGGGCTTTTTGAACTCAGCAAGACCGCTGAAAGGCCCAATCAACGCAGGCGGCGTTGTTGCAAAACTGGTGCAGTGATGAAGGGGTTGTTCTCCATTAGGGTCCCTTGGGTGGGGGCGGACAGGGGGGAGGGTCCTTGAACAGGGTCCCGCCGACATAAGATGTAAAGTCAAGGAAAGCTACATTACAGCAATTCCCGAAGGAAACATCCCAAGTGCTCAAAACCTACGCCGTCGAGGGTCGAACTTCTTTGCCGACAGGAGGATACCCTTGAAATCGCGTACAGCAGTCCTCAAAAACTTCTCAAAGGCTCATACAGCATCCTTAAAACAGGGGGAATGAGCATACTACTGGGCATCCTGGAATTATGGGTACTTTTGTGGCCGCTATTCGTTGTGGTCCACGGTACCTTCAAAAAGGACTCCCAGAAATAGATCAACCCCACATCTTGGGACCCTCGACTCTAATCATCTAACCCCCATTTCAGGCGGTTTGCAGGGTTTAGATAAGGTTCAGAGTTTAGGGTGTAGTCTTGAAGGGGCTAAGGTCTGGGCTTTGGGTCAATGTGTTGGATCACCCCCCACATCGGGCACACAGGCGCTGCTTTCAAACGCTGCCTGGGCCCACGGCTCAGATTCGACCAAAAATGTTTCGAATGCACCTACTACCGTACGTACTCTTAGTTGCTCCAAAGAACCTACGAAGCCAGTCATCTCACACCAGGACGGTAGAAGACCGGCTCTCGGCAACAGGAACCGACAGGGAGAAGTTCCTCGGCGCGTACATGCGCTGCGAAACTGCGGGAGCAGCACTTTTGTCTCAAGCGCCAAAGGCCCAGAGTTAATTAGCCAAACTTGGATGGGAAGGACAGCAACTTGCCTGTTGAACTTTTTGACCCCAAGCCCTAATCAGAACCCCTGTCTTACCACTTTGGTTCCTAGAGTGGCAGAATGAGAGCCCCCACGAGCCCGAGTCCTCCAACCCTGTGCCCCAAGGAATGCAAACGGGGCTTGGGGTTTACGGTTTTTCAGGTGCATGAACCCACTTCCCAAGAAAAGTATGCTTCAAGGAGGAGATCAAGAACACAGCGTATCGGCTTCATCAGCACCTCCATTGAGGTCATTCCCGCAACACCATAAACCCAATAAACACCAAGACTCCCCCCGCCCCACGGTCCGCTCAAATGCCAGCCCCCAACCCTGGACCCTATATCAACCCTATCAAACCTTTAAGCCCCAGGACCTAAACTTCCGTCTGGGCTCCCAGAGTAGTGGAAGTTCATTGACAGGGCTTCCTGCCGACATTCCGCAGATGCTCTGACGGAAGGCTTGGAATGCTGGGACAGTGGGTTTAAGGCTTGGGGATTATGGGTCTTTTGAGGTGTTACAGGATTTACAGGGCTCACAGGGTTTGGGGTTTCAGCGGTTTTGGCGTGCATGGCTTTGGGGCTTCACGAGTTTGGGAAGTCGAGGTTGTCCTTTCCCAGCCACCGGAAAAAGTCAACTCTGCACACCCCTCAAAGCCTGCTTAATCCTCAAACCCTGAACCCTACATCCTAAACCCTTGAACCTGACACCTCCCCTTCCCGCACCTCGGCGTTCGCAGGCTTGTACAGCGCGGAGTACATGTTCCTCAGCCACACGCCAAGGAGCCGTCTCTATGCAAGGCGTGCGCATGCGTGCTGCCAAAGATTCAAAGCCAGGCCGATGCCGCCCATGCCTGGGCACACAAAGCAGTGCGATTCTCCGGACCTTCAGAGGATGCCCCAAACCCTTTGCAAAACAGCAGCAAATCGCGCAGATGCAAGCTCAGTGCAGAGCTCCTGTGATGATCTTGCTAGGTTGCATGCTGGATGCTGCGAGGGCTTGCATGCACTTTTTTGCCACCACCTGCGCGCACCAACATCTCAGCACTCGAAAGATCGCCCGCTCTGCTCGCGAGATGAGGCCTGCGTGACCCACAACGCAGCTCATCCGCACGCGCAGCGTGCAGGAAACCCCTCATGCGCTCCCCTCGGCTGATCTTCTGCAGCCGACAGCAGGCGCTCTCCAAACAGCAACTAATCTGCTCCATCTATGCCTCTGTGCTCTACTACAAGACTCTACAATTTGCCAAGCGAACTGTTCTGATCCTGCGGCTTCCAATACAAACATTCTCGTAGAGAAGTGCTGCGCTCTACCTTGCAGCATGGCACTGCTCAGAGGAGAGGAATGACAGAGCCAAGGAAGGAAGCCAAGGAAGGTGCAGAGCACTCATGATGACACCCATGCGGATTTAGTCCATGAACAAGCCACGGGTCGCTCCTTGCACGGGCTGCCGACAAAAGGGGCACGGCTGGCCCCTCAGCTGCTGCTGGCATCCTTGGCAAAGCGCGTGGCCGCACGGACTCAAAACCACCAGGGGACGATCTTCTTGACAGATGCCGCAAGATCCCACGAAGCCGGAATCATGACTTGCACATCCATCTGCGGGCCTACTGCCAGCAGCTTGGGCAGGACCATCCCAGGACGCTGTGATTTTGAAAAGATCCGGGCTGCCATAGAACTCTCCCGGGGTTACGACAACGTCAAGGCGGTTGAACCCATGGCTTTGCAAAGCCTGCAACAGCGCCTGACGGAAGGCCTCTCGCTGTGGGCCGTCCGGCAAAGAGGAGGGGACGGAACACTCGTGAGAGGCTGACAGCAAACCTTTGCCCGAGGCCGCCTCGCACGTGCGCTCGAACTTACGCACCTGCTCGGCCGCCCACTTTCGCTGTCCGTCCAAGGACCGCTGGGAGAGGCGCTGCGCGAAGGCCATGGCGCCACGGAGCCGCCGAGGATGCGGAACGAAGGCTGCGAGGGAGGCTTGGCTGCGCCAAGCGAGGCCAAGGGCTCTACAGGGTCCGGGCTCGCACCTCTGGGCCCAAAATGGTCGGAGTCGTCGTGCAGTGGGGGTTTAAAGTAGTTCCCAGATAGTGGCATTGAGGATCAAATGTATATACATATGTATGTATTATATATATATATATACAGAGAGAGAGGGTACGTGCAGGCTTCACGACATGGCAGCTTGAAGGACTTGGGCCTACTGTTTCATTGATGTCTCAAGCATGAGCACTTGGACTCTGACCCCATTTTAGGGTTTGTAGAAGCCCAGTTATAACTACCCGTGAACCTGAAAAACTCTGAAACCTGTGTTCCCATACTTGCACAACTTTCAAGATGCTCCCGCGACCCTCCCAGTGCAGAGAGATCCAACGGAGAGAGGGCTGACGATCCCGAGGCTCGGACCCAGACCCCCTAAATCTTCGCACAGCGTCCGCAAAGTAATCTCGTAGGTGCCTCGATGGGCTGGGTGGGGCTTGGGGTTTACAGTTGTTGAGGGAGACTTGTGGGTGTAGAGCTTAGGGTTTGGAGCTGAGGACCTATGGAGCTGAGGGCCACGATGGGTTTAGGGTTTGGGGTTATTGAGGGTTGAGAGCGTTCACTGAGCTTCTAACATTTACAAGGTTTCCAGAGCTTCTTCTTGCAAAACTTATTGAGCCTGTGGAGGCCTTACGTAGCATTCGGGCATGGAGGGCCTTAAGGAGCAGGATCCATAATTCTATATGACAAGCTGAAGCCCCCAGCCCGAGATGAGACCCCCTCAACCCTAACGACCCTCAACTACAATACCGACCCTCTCAACCCCAACGACCCTCAACTAAACTACCCTAAATCTCTAGACCCTTCAAAGCCCTTCAAAAAATTGAGTTTGGAGCTCCTCACAGACCCAGCCTCGCTGTCCGGCGGTGCAGTTCCAGCACGTGAGGGAGCCGTGCGAGATCAGGGTGCCTCGCTTGGGGTTTAGATAGGGGGGTTGAGGGTTAAGGGCCATAGAAACCCTAAAGCCTGAGGCCCTAAACACTGAAACTGAATTCTACACAGTTTGCAGGGCATGGGCCCTTGAAGGACGTCTCAGCCCTTAGCCAATAGTAGCTACACACTGATCCAGGAGCCGCAGCTAATCCCCTCCTCCAATAATGAGGGTTTAGGATTTAGGGAGATCTAAGTTCCTCAGTAAGCTGGGAATCAAACTGGCGTCCTTTTTGTGGTTTGAAGAGGTTTCTCACGGACGAGGGGAATTGGGGCACTGGGGGGCATCCTAGAATGCTAAACCCTCCCGACACCAAGAAAAGGGACCCTCTAGGTTGAGATGAAGAAAGTAACTTTCGGGAGGGGGCTCATGTTAGTACTGGGGGCAGGTTGTTAGCCTGACCGTGACTGTCCAACGAGTTTGGGTTTTGTGCGTTTGATGCTACGGCTAACATCTGCTTTGATTGCATCCAGGCACCTCCCGCAAAGCACCCTCTAATTACCCGAAATCGTGCAAACCGCTGGACAACTTAAACTCTAAGCTCTAAACTCGGGCAGCCCAGCCCGCCTACTTTGGTGATGCGGTCAACCCCGAGAAGGTAGGCTACGACCTGTGCCGAGCGCAACGCTCCGGAAGTCGCATTGGGATACTTCATCGTTTAGGGCTTAGGGCTTGTTGTCTAAACTGAATGATAGTGTTCTTGTTGTTGCTATTGTTGGTGTTGGTGTTGGTGTTGGTGCTGGTGCTGGTGCTGGTGCTGGTGCTGGTGCTGGTGCTGGTGCTGGTGCTGGTGCTGGTGCTGGTGTTGGTGTTGGTGTTGGTGTTGCTCTTGCTGTTTGCTGTTTGTTGTCTCCTGTTTGCTGTTGCTGTTGGGTGGGGGGTGCAAGCTAGTACTTGGTAAGCGTTGGGGTTGCAGGCATGCATTGCCAGACAGCTCTTTCTGCTTCAGGCGCTTGAGCTGAGGAGTGCGGTGTCGGGGGTGTGTTGATATACGGGTCATGTGGCACTCCAAAGCTCTAAATCCCAAAACACCAACCCCAAACCATTGAAACTTTTCAGCCTTAACCCCAGTCGCCCAAACGCTACATCCTAAACCTCATGTGCACATCAGAGATAGGCCAAAGGTCAGGTGCGATGTTTTTTTGGGGTAACTGGGGGTGCGAGGGCGGAGTGGGGGAGTGGGAGGAGTGAGGCGGGAGAGGCCTTAAGGCGGGAGGCAGCAGGCGAGCTGAAATCTGACTCCAAGTCCATTAAATCAAATCGGGTACTCGTCAAGCGATGGGAGGCGGGAGGTGGGAGGTGAAATGCATTGCCCGGGCTCAAACACTCTGTTAAAACCTTCATACCCTGCACCCCAAACCCATGGAGCCTGCCACTTGCCGTGGCTGGGCGTCATGTCCAAGCTCAGCGTCGGAGTGCCACAAAGGCGCCTCGATTTCACGCGGCAAACACGGATCTGTGAGGTAGCTCGATGGAGGACTGAAATGGTATACTAGCCCATGCACAACTGGTGTGAGCGCGGATTGAAACACCGAAGCTGTCCACCACTGACCAACAGCCCTGTCCATGCACATGGCCCGTTGGGCTCCCAAGGCTGCTGTAAAGCCCGAAGTTTACTTGGGGGGTTCATGGCCAGCTGTTTGGTGCGGTAAGTACCCTAAATCGGGTTGTGGCATAGCTTTCCTTGCCCCTCAAGCCCGTACTTCGAGAGTAACCCTGTCGAGGCGCTCTGTCCCGATCTCCTTGTAATACCAGATGGCATGCTTCCTGCCACAAAGAGGCTGCAGGACATAGCAGGGCAACCGGGCGGCAGTTTAGGACTCATACTCCTAAAGACCTCCCAAACCCTTTCAAAAGCTCGAAAACCCTGAAATTCTGAATTCTTCCACGACAGACGCCTGGAGCTTAGGAGGAGGTTGGACTTGATGCGGTGGTCGACGAAAACCTGGAGGATCCAGGGAGGGTAACCGTTAAAGCTTGAGAGGGGGTTGAGGATTTATGTAGGGACGATACGACTCACAGGGCTTAAGATTCAGATTTAGGGTTTGGGTTGTAGGATTCGGGATTTTGACTTTTAGGGCTCAGGGTTTAGGACGCAGTCTCTAATTACATGACATCATGCCGCTGCATTGCCTAGAGCTCAAAACACGACCACGATGCTGCAAATGAATCGGTCATGCGACACCCACATGACATGCAGCAGCTGATTCAATGAGTACTGCCCGCGGGAACGCTTTAGAGATGTTCATCGACAAGTACCCGCTACAGCTTGTGCAGCCTGAACGAACGCGCTTACCGTTTGCCATGGTGAGTGGCTGAGACTAGTTCTTTCCGCTGTGGTTGCTCTGACTTGGAAAAGTGCTGTTGCTTCGACGAATAGCATCTCTAGGTTGCTAGCTAGACCGATTGACGGCACACTTACTCTGTCGGCCATTGTTATAACCTGTTCACCCCAGCCGGCCCGTGCTCAGCCTGCATCAGCTCACCAAGGATTGGAAGTCCTCTTGGTGCGAAAAGATGAGATTGTGAGATTTCCCAGGCAACCATGGCAAAAGCATCACCAGGTTTCAGGGCTCAGGGTGTTGAGAGGGCTAAGGACGACTGCTGCGTCAAGCTCAGGAGATCCCTGGTTCTAATTATTCTCCAGCAACTTCGCACAATGCACCCTGAACTACACCCAGCCACATGTGTCCCCCCCCCGTCGCCGATCTCCTTCCCGCATGCAGGGAATGGGGGGAAGTGTCATGACCAGTTTATTGGGTTTTAAGCACAGAGAACTCAGAGAACATGAAACTCGAAACCCACCCGAAGTTATGGACAGAAGTTGGGCGCCTGTCCTGCATTGATGCCCGTCAACCTGCCAAACGAGATGCTCTCGAACTCCGCGCTGGGAGCCTGCCGCGCCATGGACGCAACATGAGGAGTGTCGCTTTTCAAGTGTTCCCATTGCTTTGCAGGGTTCTAGCGTCCACAGGTGTCGCTCTGGGGAAATTTCAAGGCTACAGCCCACCCAACGGTCCATTAACTTAGGGGTTCGCTTTTCAGGTGTTCCCATCGCTTTGCAGGGTTTTGGGCATTCGTGTCCACCCTTTACTTACTTGAATGGCTGGGGGTTTTGGCGCTTGCTCATACAGCCCCCCTAAAGGCCCCTCCAGCCATGCAGGTCTCTGTTCATCTAGATGGGGTGGCTTCTCGACCCCCATATCCCCCAAACCCTGATTGAACCTCAAAGGGTGATCTACTCTAGATCCTAGCAATGCTTCGGGTAATCAGACTGCAGCGACCCGAAGCCGGACGTCCACCTACACCTTTTTGGGGCTTAGGCTTTAGGGCTTGGGGTTAGGTTTAGGCCCTACACCCCGAGCCTAAAAACAGGAGAACCCATTCAAACCCGGCCACGCAAAATTCTGAACCGTAACCCTCAGGCTGTCCCTGAACAGCCCGAGAACCTTAAAATTCGGGCACTTCAGCAAGCAACAGGCAAGGACTGAACACAATCCCTCTAACAAGATGCTAAAACCTGCAAATATCAGATCGAACGTTCAGCATCCCTCAAGCCAAAACCCTAGAAATCCCCTTCAGCCCCCCCCCTAAACCCTAAACCCTAAACCCCCAAACCCTAAACCCTAAACCCTGCACCCTAAACCCTAAGCCCTCTTTAAAAACATCTCCGGTCCAGAGCCTCCTCGCCCCGGGCCACCAGGCGCCCGAAGAGGCCGTGGCCCCGAGGGGAGGGCACCTTGGGTTCGTGGCTTTCAGGGGCTCAGGAGGGTTTAGGGTTTTAGGGTTTTAGGGTTTTAGGGTTTTAGGGGTTTTAGGGTTTAGGGTTTTAGGGTTTAGGTTTTAGGGTTTTCGGGTTTTAGGGGTTTAGGGTTTTAGGGGTTTAGGGATTTTGGGGTTTAGGGTTTAGGGTTTAGGGCTTAGGGTTTAGGGTTTAGGGTTTAGGGTTTAGCGGGGAGGGGGGGGTTCGGGGCTTTAAGGGCTTTCTGGGGATCAGGGTGATTTGAGGTTCACGGCTAGGGCCATAGGGGTGGCATGCCCAGGCTGCCTTCAGAGCCCTGGGCTAAGTCCAGCACCAGCTCCCACCGCTGCAGGCGGCTACTGGGCCAGATGTCGAACTGCTCTCCTTGGAGGGGTTTCGGGGGTTCAAAGGCTTTGGGGTTTAAAGGCTTTGGGGTTTGGGGTGTAGGGTTTCGGGTCCGGTGGCGAGCCCAGGGCTTGGAGCTTGAGGTGGATGTAGTGCTTAGGGCTTAGGTTTAGGTTTAGGGTCTAGGGTTTAGGGAGACGGAGGGGGAGGGAAGGGGAGGGAGGGGGGGGGGGGGAAGGGAGGGGAGGGAGGGGAGGGAGGGGAGGGAGGGGAGGGAGGGGAGGGAGGGGGAAGGGAAAGAAAGGGAGAGAGAGGTGCAGAAGCCCAGAGGTGCAACTGGTTCCTTTGCATTGGTCTCCTCGTGTCTCTGCAAACAAGAAGCCTCCAACCCACAATCCGCTCGCACATGTTCCAATAACATGATCTATCATGTCTTCGTCCCCAAGCCCTAAACCCTGAACCCTAAACCCCGAGCTTTAAAACCCACAAGTCCACTCAAATGCCAAGCGTCGCACCGCGTGATTGGACCTCAGCATTTGCGCTGCGGAGAACTGAGCCCTCTGACCGACATAACTCTAGACACTGCACTTTAACTCCTCTTCACTCCAACCTAAAGCTCCCAAACGCTGAACCCTTAACCCTAGAACTTCTACACCCTAAAGATGCAACAATCGCGCCACGAGCCCCCAGCCCTGCACGCAGATGCCTTCTTGGCGCGTGCTGACACCTTCGGGCCTTTAATTAATTCTAGGGGTCCTCAAGGAATTTCTTCACGGAGCGGGTGTTTGGTTTCGGGTTTAGGCTTTGGAGAGGTCTTGACAAAAAGGGGGGAGTGGATGGGTAGCCCAATGATTTTCCTGGTACTCCCTATGGCTCCCGAAGCTTTCCTACAAGTAAAATTCGCTAGGCACCTCTCCCGCTTGGACCTCCCTCTCCTGGGCTGATGACGAAACGCAAACAACACCTAAGCCCCAAAGCCCTGTCAACCCCAAACCCCTAAGCCCGTAAACCCTACAAGACCTCATCCACCAAGAAGATCCCCCCCCAACAAAAGGAGGCCTTCACCCAGAACCCTGAAAGCCCCTTGAGCCCAGGCCAACGTAAGACACCATGCCCCAAAAAATGTACACCGGGTCTAGGGTTTAGGGTTTACAGGGTTTAGGGCCCAAAGGCGACGACAGTTTTGCATTTCGCGGAACCAGAAGCGAAAAGGGAATGACAACTTCGAGGACGGGGCTTCGAGAAAACCCATGGTCCGTGTCGCCCCATCGACCTACCCCTTCTTACTTGGCACAGTAGAAGCCCTTAGTGCTGACACACAGTTTAGGCCCTAAACCTTTTAAACCCTAGAAGCCCTATAGGCGGCGATCCCCGCAAAAGCCCGCAGACCCTAAATTAATCCTGCCTACAAGCCCTGCATGCCCAAAACCTTAAGCCCTAAAACCCTCTGCCCCAAGAACCCTAAGCCCTAAATGCAAAAGCCCTGTAAACCCTTCCGGAAGTCCAGGCGGCCTCAGCTGCATCTCCACCGCAGGCGGACTTGGCCCCGGCTCGCCCTTCAGGTGCGTGGCCAGCCACTTCCTCGAACAAACGCCCGGGTTTGAAAGGGATTGCGGGCTTAGGGTTTATAGGGTTTAGGGCAGTTTAAATAGGGTAGGGTCGAGGGGCTTGTAACGGTTATCGGAGGCTGATAAGGGCTTTATTCAGGATTTAAATGGCACAAACGGTGCTCACAGGGGTTTGTGGGGCTTAAGATTTGCTTTGAGCGTGGGCTTGGGGGCTTCCAAATAGGGCCAAGGCGCTTCACCTCCAGCCAGACGTGGTTGTTCGGCAGCCCAATCAGCCCTCCGATTTCCGCGCTGGCGTGGACGCCTGCAAGGGCATAAACAGCGGAAGGGGACCCTGAAGCCTGGCGACATCAGAGCGCTGGAGTAGAGAACGAGAGCCAACGAAGAAGAGGCGGCCTTGCCGCGCAAATCCCAAAGACCCCAAGTATCACAAACACCCAACTTTGAAAACCACAGGGTCCCCAACAAAAACAAATAACTACCCAACTTTCCACGTCCCGCCTTGATTCAACAGTAGTCGCTTTGGACCCTTGTACTGCCTCGGCGCCGGCTCCAATTTGTTGGGGGAGGTATGAAGATTCCGGGTTTAGGATCTTGGCTACCCCTCAACCCTACACTATAAATCGAAGAGATGTCACATGAGGATATGTGTGTAAGCTGACTTCCCCTGTATAGCAGGGCCCATCTGCGGCCACAGGTGCTCGTATAAAGCAATGGCGTCCTCCGGATAGAACAAACGATCCTCCCAGCACGTCTCGCTGGCAGAAGTATGACTTATCGGGCCGAGGGGGTGCAGGGACGAGTATGGCAGCTAGGGGCTAAGAGAATGTTGGTGAACAAACCCAAAATCCCCTACACCCACTATGCCCTGAGGCTTGAAATCCTAAGCTTGGTCAGGACGCTCTTCAGACCAAAACAAAATACCCTATGTTATAGGGTTTGGGTTTAGGGTTTAGATTTGGGGCTTAGGGTTTTGCAAAGATCCGCACATCCATGTTTTTGGTTAAGACCCACAAATTGAATCGTAGCGACAGCCCGGCGGCTACCTTAGAAAGCGTTAGTATGAGACCATGCAGGGCCTATGCTGCCCTAACCGATGGGCCCTTTTAGAAGGGCCCAGGGCGCAAGGAGAGTCTAGGTCTTAATCCACTCATCTACGATAAGGGTATAGATAACCCTCATAGCCTTCCGCTCTCCACGAGCCTCGAAGTTGTTGGAGATGAAGAGCGGCACGCTGCGGTTCTGCGCCAGCGGCTGGGGCTTTTAGGTTTAGGGCTCTATAGGAATTTAGGGCTTGAGTGAGGATTTAGGGTTTTCGGTGGTAAAGTTCTATGGGTTAGATAGGGTTTTGGGTGTGTGAAGCACGATCTACCCCACACCCCCAAACCCGCAGACTCGAAACCTCCGCCCAAGAACCCCACGAATTTCTGAACTTCAAAAAACCCCACGAAACCCTAACTAAACTTTATAAGCCCAGAACACTTGATCTACCTAATCCCCTGAACCCGAAGCTGACAAACCCGAAAATCCCCTCTCAGCAAGTAGCCTATACGAGAACCCTTCTGTAGATCTCTTGAAACCATAAACCCCCAAATTGAAACCTACACCCTAAAACTCTCCCAACAGCCCTAGAACCCTAAACCCTAAACTCTACAGATGAGGACCCCCTTACAAGGGGGGTCCCCAGCCTCGAGCGCTGGCAGCAGGGGCAAGACGGAGCGGAGCGCAGCGAACTCCTGGGCCGCCGTGACGTTCCCGGCGAGGACCTGGCGCCAGACCTGCGATCTCTCTGGTTTTTGCCTGTTCAGGGCTACTTATATAGGCTGTATAGGTTTAGGGGTTTAGGACTTAGGGTGTAGGGGTTGCTGTATCGGCTGTATAGGCTTAGGGCTAAGGAGTTTGGGGTTAAGGGGTTCCTGTATCGGCTGTACAGGTTTAGGGTTTTGGAGTTAGGGGTTTCAAGGGACCGTAGGATGTAGAGTATTCTAGTTGCCTTCGATGGGTAACTTATACTTTTGGCACCAGGCCAGACCCGGGCTTTCTGGGTTCTCGGTGAAGGGGTTGAGGCCTTGCGGCTTGTAGTGTTTAAGGTTTAGGCGCTACGGTTTGGAATTGATTACATATGGCAACAGCAACCCAACCTTCAACGGGCCAAAGAAGGGCTTAGGGTTCGGAGTTGGTGCCCACAGGGTCTAGGGTGTAGGGTAGGGTCCTCCACAATGGATTTCTTGGTTGGAGGGGGGAGGAAACAATTCTGTACCACGCTGGTTTCTCAGCTCAGATCCCTCTGTGCCCCAAACAAATTGAGAGGCCGAAGTTTCGGATTTTAGAGATTGGGAGAGGTTCAGGGCGCGGGGAAAATTAGATTAAGGGGCGCGCTCCTCAAGTAAAGAAGTTGGACTACGAGATCCAGGGTGCCTTCAAGTTGTTGAGGTGACGGTCGCTGTACCACAAAAACCCGCAAGCTTAGCCCTCCCCCAACCCAACCCAGCCCCACAAACGACTGCCAGAACCGAGGTTACTTGAGAAATGAAACAGGAACCGTTGTTAATAATGATGAGGCTGGATGGGTGTAGAAATGGTTCAAACAACTCAACCCTCAAGCCCTCCTGGCAAAAAAAGACAAAGCTGAGCGAGAGAGAAAGAGAGAGAAAGAGAGAGAGAGAGAGATAAGCCAAAGCCTCGTCCAAAAGTGGCTCGGGTTTGCCGACCTCAAGTGCTAAGGCCCGCTGTGCGTCGCTGGGTACGGCAGAGAGTTCAAGTCTTGCAGCTTTAGGGTTTTAAGGTTTAGGGAGGTTCAGGGCTTATATGGGGTTTGAGGGCTTCAGGGCTTCAAGGCTAAAGGGCTGTAGGCTTAGGGTTGCAAAGCAGCCAGTTTAGGGTTTTAAGGGTTGTCCGTTGGTTGGAGTCTAGGCTGTTGGGATGATGCCTGGGGCCCATGGAAGTCCTTTCACGCCTGCGACGGGTTTCGGGTTCAGGGTGCATCTTAAGCCCCCTTAGAATCCTAAACGCCGTAAAGACCCTAAGCCCTATGGCCCTAAAGCCCTACGACCCTTCAAACCATAAGCCGAAGTCCCTAACCCCCTAAGCCCTCAAGGCTAGTCTGTTGGCGGCTGCAGGAACCCCAACCCCTATAAACCCCAACCCCAAACCTCAGAGGTTTAAGATTTAAGGTTTAGGGTTTACGACTAGGATTTAGGGTTTTAGGCCTAGATCCCAAGCCCCGGTCGCTGAGATCCGCACCACATGGGCCATCACCACCAGCACTACGCCCCAGACGAGGTTTGGAGAGTCTTAGAAAGGCACCGGGCTTAGGGCTTTCGGGGACTTGGGTATAGTCGGGGCTAACTTAGGGCTTTGGTGTTTAGTCGTGCAGAGGGCTTTGGGTGACTTTTACAATCATTGCGGAAGATCAACTCCTGGTTTTGGCTCCTTAGGGTTGTTAGGGTTAAACTGGGGTTTAGGGTTATGGATGGCTTCGGATCCCTGAGCCCTAAATCCCAACTCCCTAAGCCTCCAAAAGCCTGACAGCCCAACACTTCTGCTGCTTGCTGTCACTTGCCCCGCTTGCCCCCACTTGCTCTGACCCCTTAGCGAAAAACGATATTGCCTCCACTTGTCCCCCACTTGCTTCTGGGGCCATCAGCTCTTTCGGGCCACCACGTGAGCAAGTGGGGCAACATCAAGTAGCTCTTCTGGAGAAGCAACTGGGGCAAGTGGGGCAACATCAATTAGTGGTCGCTGCAGGCGCCCGCACTGCGATACTGCCTGAATTCTACAGCACTCTCCCGCAAGGCCGTGTTGCCCCTAAACAGGCTCGGCGAGTGGCTGTGCTTGAACAAGGCCTGCTGCAAGTCCGACCATCCAGACCTCAGGGCTTTCACTTGGCGAGGGTGTGGCGGTGATTTCATTGCATGGTTGCTCCTTGTTGGAGGCCCCAAACGAAACGGAACACGAACCAGTTGAAGACCAAAAGAAACCTTCAGCCCCCGAAACGAGCAGAAAACCCCCACCCCCGCCCCAAAGAAGCGAAAGCTCCAAACGGGGCCGTGGTGCATTGCCACCGCCACCTTCACACGTGGGTCTCGGCCGGCGCCCAACAGCGCCAAACCGGCCCCGTAAGAGATCCTCGGCGCAGGTTGTGAATTAAACCTCGGGATGCGTGAGAAAGAAGCCCTTAACCCCAAAACATGAACCCCCAGGGTCAGGCTGAAGGGTGGAAAAACTTGTTTTTGGGTTTCAGATAGCCCAATAATTAACCTTCAATACCCTTTCATTGAGGAAGATACCTTAAACCAACTCCCGAAGCCTTTATTATGAACAGGTATGGGGATCTCTGCGATTGAACTTGCTGCCTTGGCATCCTTGAGCCTTTGCGTCCTTGAGATCGCCCACAGCGGGGAAAACTTCTAGGAACGACATATATATATATATATATATATATATATATGCATATATATATGTATATGTATATATAAGTAATATACTTCATGGAACGGATACTATGCAGTACATAACATGTACAATCGTTCATGCAATATGACAGAAGTGAAAATTACCTTGAACCCAAAATTGAACCCCGAGGATTCTTCCCTGAACCCCTCAACCCCGTCATGGGCAGCACACGTGGAATGGGCGGATTAAGAAGAAATCAGCGTTCAGGGATAGGCTTCGCTCGTGGCTTCGAGATGCTTCACAACTCCTAAGCGCGTGAACAATCCTCTACCTCCAACCGCAATGGGACAAAGCGACTCGCTGCCTCTGCTTGTGAGAAGCTGCAACTACTGGGGCAGTCACCGCATCACACGCAGTTTGGGACATGACGTGACATTCATGTAAACAGAGCACACCTCGAATGGCCTGATCAGATGGACGGGCTTTGGGCACGCTAAAGCACAAGGTTATTACAAAGCACAACACTGCAAAACGCAATGCGAGACAATGGCCTCCCTTGCGGTGTAGTGCCGGGCCGTCGACTGCAAAGTCGACGCTGGGCCACCACAAAGCACCCACCAGCGGACGCAATAGCCCATGGGCTCCGCCGTCATATGCTTCGGACCTAAAAGCACGTTGGCCAACAAAGGGCGCTTCTCCCAGGAGGGCTCCGTAGACCTCCTCCCTTCGAGACGCCAAATGCCTCACACCCGGCCAGCGGTGTGACGGGAACGGTTAATGCAGAGGCCCGCAACCTCCCCCTGGGTAAGGCACTCAACATCATCCACGTTGTCTGCCTGCAATCTGCACATTTGCATCACATCTTCAACACGCAGCTGCTCGTAACATGCGCCTAGATCATGCTCGAAATTGGTCAAGGCAACCTGATATTGCTGACGCCTGAGATTGAAGTCCGCTTGAGGCCCTTTGCCTTTGAATTGCCCCTACAAAAGTTCTAGAAGCCTAAACCCCTAATAAAAACTGAGAAACGACATCAAATACCCGAAATCTTCGTTGCGAGACAATGGCCTCCCCTGCGCCGTAGCGAACGGTCTTCGACTCGCTGGTCGACGATGGGGGCTCGCCACAAAGCACCCGCCAGCGGACGCATTAGCCCATGGGCTCCGCCGTCATATGCTCCGGACCTCAAGAGCACGTTGGCCAACAAAGGGCGCTTCTCCCAGGAGGGCTCCGTAGACCTCCTCCCTTCGAGACGCCAAATGCCTCACACCCGGCCAGCGGTGTGACGGGAACGGTTAATGCAGAGGCCCGCAACCTCCCCCTGGGTAAGGCACTCAACATCATCCACGTTGTCTGCCTGCAATCTGCACATTTGCATCACATCTTCAACACGCAGCTGCTCGTAACATGCGCCTAGATCATGCTCGAAATTGGTCAAGGCAACCTGATATTGCTGACGCCTGAGATTGAAGTCCGCTTGAGGCCCTTTGCCTTTGAATTGCCCCTACAAAAGTTCTAGAAGCCTAAACCCCTAATAAAAACTGAGAAACGACATCAAATACCCGAAATCTTCGTTGCGAGACAATGGCCTCCCCTGCGCCGTAGCGAACGGTCTTCGACTCGCTGGTCGACGATGGGGGCTCGCCACAAAGCACCCGCCAGCGGACGCATTAGCCCATGGGCTCCGCCGTCATATGCTCCGGACCTCAAGAGCACGTTGGCCAACAAAGGGCGCTTCTCCCAGGAGGGCTCCGTAGACCTCCTCCCTTCGAGACGCCAAATGCCTCACACCCGGCCAGCGGTGTGACGGGAACGGTTGATGCAGAGGCCCGCAACCTCCCCCTGGGTAAGGCACTCAGCATCCCGGCTGTCAGCTTGCAATCTGCACATCTTCATTAGACACAGCATGCACGTAGAGCATGCCACGCCTGAGCAAACGTCCAAACACCTCCACGCATGTACTCTGAACGGTTATGGCTTGTGGAATTTCGCTGCTGAGCTCTGCACTTGCCACGCGCGCCTATGAATCACCCCCTGGAAGAGCAAACCCCCAAACCCCTGAAGCCTTAACCCTAAAACCCTAAATCCCAAAGTCCCAAACCCCAAGCCCTAAGTTTTGGAGCCCTCATCTCATGAAGTGAAGACGTATACCGCGTAATGCTACATGCAACCAAAATGGCCCGGCCAGCGCGATGCGCCCAGGGTCCGGCTGCCAGTCACCTTTCTGAGAGGGCTTTCAGGGTCCCCACAGTAACCCGAATCCCCGACACCCCAAACCTTTAAAGCCAGCGTCAAAGGATGTTGGGTTAAAGGCTTTTAGGGCTTTAGGACCTTAATGGTTAAAAGATGTTGTTTGGTGTGGCTTCCAGGGTTTGAGGCTTAGCGGCTTAGAGTTGGAGGGTGGATTGGGCAGCCCTCCACCCGAAAGCCTCAACAGTTCATAAAGTCAACACCCCCCCCCCCTAGACTTCTGAAAGATCCACCCCCAAAGAAACGGAACCCTCTTGAATCAAAAAAACCCAAGGTCCTACCCAGGCTTTAGTTATGCTTCGGACGTAGGGCTCAGGCACTGGGCTTAGCAGCCAGGCGACTCTGGTTCAGCACGTAGGAGATGACCTGATGTTTCACGTGAGGTCTTGAAAGAGCTCGCGGGTTCTCCAAGTCTTCGGGTTGAATTGGGCAGCTATGCAAACCGCATGCTCGTATATCGCAGCCCCAGAGTGCATTTCAGCAAGGTACAGGATTTGGGGTCGCAAGCCGTGATACCCAGGCCCTCTCATCCCCATGTGCTAAACCCTGTAGTGCCCTGTAATGCCCCAAGCCCTGTAATAATCTCAGCCTGGTGAAAAGGAGTGCTGAAGACACACCCCCCTCCCAGCCACCTCTGAGATGTCCCGCTGGTCCTTCTCCCCCGCGCAGTCAATCTCTCCGCCGGAGAAATACCAGCCGCGAGTCTCCTTTCTAGGGCTCATAGGAATGAGGGTTTCGGCCTGAAAGGGCTACGGACACACCAGGGTGAGGGCGCGGTGGAACATTTCTTGAGCCCTAACTAGGTTTAGGGTTGGAGGACCAGGAATTGTGGGCTTTGGACCATGGGGCCTCAGGGCAAATAGCACCTACATGGCGGACGCGTTAAGTCGCATCCGCTCGTAAGAAGTCACATCGCCGCAAGAGCACACGCAACTCACACGCAGTCGCATCACCCCAAGGTAATAGGAAGTCGCATCAAAGCCGGCGCGCGCGCGCTCGCTCCGCGGAAGCTCCAAGCCGACCGTCAACACGAGGCGCCGCGAACCTCACAAGCACTGCCGCCCGGGCACGTATTCCAGGATGATGTAGCCTTGCTGGGCCAATTCCTGCGCTTGGACCACGTACCTTGTGGTGCAGGAGTAGGGGGAGTCTCCCTCAGGGACTCGCAAGCCTACAGCCGTCTTGTACTTCGCACCCTCCCAAGATGTGGGTTGCAACCTCCGAAACCTGAATCCGACCTTCTACATACTCTGAAACATCCCAACCTGAAATTCTGACATATGTGTCTGCCGCTGACGTCACTCCCCCCACCCAGTGCGTCCAACAAATCTTCAGGGTCGGCCCCTGGCTGGGCTCGAGAACCCGACAAGGCGAGCATAATGAGCATCAGTTGGCCCCTTGCGGGGCGTGAGAACCCGACAAGGCGAGCGTCATGAGCATCAGTTGGCCCCTTGCGGGGCGTGAGAACCCGACAAGGCGAGCGTCATGAGCATCAGTTGGCCCCTTGCGGGGCGTGAGAACCCGACAAGGCGAGCGTCATGAGCATCAGTTGGCCCCTTGCGGGGCGTGAGAACCCGACAAGGCGAGCATCAGTTGGCATCATGAGCCCCTTGCGGGGCGTGAGAACCCGACAAGGCGAGCGTCATGAGCATCAGTTGGCCCCTTGCGGGGCGTGAGAACCCGACAAGGCGAGCGTCATGAGCATCAGTTGGCCCCTTGCGGGGCGTGAGAACCCGACAAGGCGAGCGTAATGAGCATCAGTTGGCCCCTTGCGGGGCGTGAGAACCCGACAAGGCGAGCGTCATGAGCATCAGTTGGCCCCTTGCGGGGCGTGAGAACCCGACAAGGCGAGCGTCATGAGCATCAGTTGGCCCCTTGCGGGGCGTGAGAACCCGACAAGGCGAGCGTCATGAGCATCAGTTGGCCCCTTGCGGGGCGTGAGAACCCGACAAGGCGAGCGTCATGAGCATCAGTTGGCCCCTTGCGGGGCGTGAGAACCCGACAAGGCGAGCGTCATGAGCATCAGTTGGCCCCTTGCGGGGCGTGAGAACCCGACAAGGCGAGCGTCATGAGCATCAGTTGGCCCCTTGCGGGGCGTGAGAACCCGACAAGGCGAGCGTCATGAGCATCAGTTGGCCCCTTGCGGGGCGTGAGAACCCGACAAGGCGAGCGTCATGAGCATCAGTTGGCCCCTTGCGGGGCGTGAGAACCCGACAAGGCGAGCGTCATGAGCATCAGTTGGCCCCTTGCGGGGCGTGAGAACCCGACAAGGCGAGCGTCATGAGCATCAGTTGGCCCCTTGCGGGGCGTGAGAACCCGACAAGGCGAGCGTCATGAGCATCAGTTGGCCCCTTGCGGGGCGTGAGAACCCGACAAGGCGAGCGTCATGAGCATCAGTTGGCCCCTTGCGGGGCGTGAGAACCCGACAAGGCGAGCGTCATGAGCATCAGTTGGCCCCTTGCGGGGCGTGAGAACCCGACAAGGCGAGCGTCATGAGCATCAGTTGGCCCCTTGCGGGGCGTGAGAACCCGACAAGGCGAGCGTCATGAGCATCAGTTGGCCCCTTGCGGGGCGTGAGAACCCGACAAGGCGAGCGTCATGAGCATCAGTTGGCCCCTTGCGGGGCGTGAGAACCCGACAAGGCGAGCGTCATGAGCATCAGTTGGCCCCTTGCGGGGCGTGAGAACCCGACAAGGCGAGCGTCATGAGCATCAGTTGGGCCCTTGCTGGGCGTGAGGGGACGACAACGCAAGCATCATGAGCATCAGTTGGCCCTTTGCAGGGCGGAGAACTCGACAAGGCGAGCATCATCCGCATCAGTTGGCCCCTCTGGGCGTGAAACCCCGACAAGGCGAGCATCATGAGCATCAGTTGGCCCCTTGCGGAGCATGAGAACCCGACAAGGCGAGCATCATGAGCATCAGTTGGCCCCTTGCTGGGCGTGAGGGGACGACAACGCAAGCATCATGAGCATCAGTTGTCCCTTTGCGGGGCGGAGAACTCGACAAGGCGAGCATCATCCGCATCAGTTGGCCCCTCTGAGCGTGAAACCCCGACAAGGCGAGCATCATGAGCATCAGTTGGCCCCTTGCGGGCGTGAGAACCCGACAAGGCGAGCGTCATGAGCATCAGTTGGCCCCTTGCGGGGCGTGAGAACCCGACAAGGCGAGCATCATGAGCATCAGTTGGCCCCTTGCTGGGCGTGAGGGGACGACAACGCAAGCATCATGAGCATCAGTTGGCCCTTTGCGGGGCGGAGAACTCGACAAGGCGAGCATCATCCGCATCAGTTGGCCCCTCTGGGCGTGAGAACCCGACAAGGCGAGCGTCATGAGCATCAGTTGGCCCCTTGCGGGGCGTGAGAACCCGAGGCGAGCATCATGAGCATCAGTTGGCCCCTTGCTGGGCGTGAGGGGACGACAACGCAAGCATCATGAGCATCAGTTGGCCCTTTGCAGGGCGGAGAACTCGACAAGGCGAGCATCATCCGCATCAGTTGGCCCCTCTGGGCGTGAACCCCGACAAGGCGAGCATCATGAGCATCAGTTGCCTCTTTGCGGGGCGTGAGAACCCGACAAGGCGAGCGTCATGAGCATCAGTTGGCCCCTTGCGGGGCGTGAGAACCCGACAAGGCGAGCATCATGAGCATCAGTTGGCCCCTTGCTGGGCGTGAGGGGACGACAACGCAAGCATAATGAGCATCAGTTGGCCCTTTGCGGGGCGGAGAACTCGACAAGGCGAGCATCATCCGCATCAGTTGGCCCCTCTGGGCGTGAAACCCCGACAAGGCGAGCATCATGAGCATCAGTTGGCCCCTTGCGGGGCGTGAGAACCCGACAAGGCGAGCATCATGAGCATCAGTTGGCCCCTTGCTGGGCGTGAGGGGACGACAACGCAAGCATCATGAGCATCAGTTGGCCCTTTGCGGGGCGGAGAACTCGACAAGGCGAGCATCATCCGCATCAGTTGGCCCCTCTGGGCGTGAAACCCCGACAAGGCGAGCATCATGAGCATCAGTTGGCCCCTTGCGGGGCGTGAGAACCCGCCAAGGCGAGCATCATGAGCATCAGTTGGCCCCTTGCTGGGCGTGAGGGGACGACAACGCAAGCATCATGAGCATCAGTTGGCCCCTTTGCGGGGCGGAGAACTCGACAAGGCGAGCATCAACGCAAGCATCATGAGCATCAGTTGGCCCTTTGCGGGGCGGAGAACTCGACAAGGCGAGCATCATCCGCATCAGTTGGCCCCTCTGGGCGTGAAACCCCGACAAGGCGAGCATCATGAGCATCAGTTGGCCCCTTGCGGGGCGTGAGAACCCGACAAGGCGAGCATCATGAGCATCAGTTGGCCCCTTGCTGGGCGTGAGGAGACGACAACGCAAGCATCATGAGCATCAGTTGACCCCTTGCTGGGCGCGAGGGGGCGACGAGGCGAGCATCATCCGCATCAGTTGGCCCCTCTGGGCGTGAAACCCCGACAAGGCGAGCATCATGAGCATCAGTTGGCCCTTTGCGGGGCGTGGGAACTCGACAAGTGGGCGTGAGACCCCGACAAGGCGAGCATCACGAGCATCGGTTGGCCCCTTGCGGGGCGTGAGAAGCCGACAAGGCGAGCATCATCAGCATCAGTTGGCCGACAAGGCGAGCATCATGAGCATCAGTTGACCCTCGCTGGGCGCGAGAACCCGACCAGTGGCCCCTGGCTGGCCGACAGGCGAGCATCATCAGCATCAGTTGTCCCCTTGCTGGGCGTGAGAGGGCCGACAGGCGAGCATCATGAGCGTGAGTTGGCCCCTTCAAGGCGAGCATCAATCAGCATCAGTTGGCTCCTTGCTGGGCATGAGCATGAGTTGGCCCTTACAAGGCGAGAATCATCAGCATCAGTTAGCCCCTTGCCGGATCTTCATTTTATGTGGGGCTGAGCGGGAGAAGCTCTTTTCGGTGACACAAAGACCCAATAAACTCAGAATATATGATCTCCGGGCCTGTAGAGGGTTGAATGTGTGATGTGGCAACCAAACGTGCTTGCGCAGTTGCTTTTTGTAATTTATCGTTTGAGCCATCGATAATCCAAACAAATGGTAGAAGCGGAGGTACCTGTAGTACTATTAGAAATGGCTTCAATGGACAACTTGGATACTGTTATTGCCTGTTTAAAAGCAATATCAAATTTCATGATTCATGAAGCATTATCGGGCCTGTAGAGGATTGGGAAAGGCAGCTAAGGCTCCATTTCAGGAGCTACTACATAGGGCACCTGGAGCCCGAACCCTACCAACTGCAGCCCAGGCACTCGAACTGCGGAACGCTCCAGGAGTTCGCCATGATCACAACCTGGAAGTCTCGAACGGGAAACTGTAGCACCAAGTCCCAACCCTTAAAACCTAAGTCCCAAACCCTGAGCCCTAAACCCTAAACCCAGGACCCCTTAAGCCTCCCCAAAGCACCCAACCTCTCGAGCCCAATGTGGTAACCCAAAAGCTGCCCCCTAAACACGCCCCCCCCCCACAACCCTACCTGCCGTACAGGCCTGAAGCCCCTAAACCTCTTGAGGGGCCTTGAAAACCCTGAAATCCCCAAACTTTGAGATCCCAAACAGCCCCTCCTCAAGCGAACCAGGGTGCAGGAAACCGATCGCTGGGACTCTTCGGAACCGGCCTCAAGGAAAGAGTCTGGCTCCAAGGTAGGGCATTCGGCTTTTAGGGGTTAGGAAGTAAGGTGACCACACAGGGCTTACGGTGTAGATTCTTGGGGGGTTCAGGGTTTGAGGTTCTTGAAGAGCTCGTGCACGAGCAGCTAGGGGATTTGGGGGTTCCGGCTTCATGGCTTATCGACTTAACGTGGCGCTGTTCAACTACCCAACACCCTACAGCCCCACAGACCACGAACCCGGGAATCTGAAAACCCTAGACGGGCTACAAGCTGGGATCTTAGGGTTCGAAAATTTGGTGCTTAGGGCCCTGTACCCCAAACCCTGAGCCCATTTGCAAGGCTTTGAGTTCATGTGGTGTTGAGTTCAGGGCTTATAGGGCATAGGTTTGTAGGACTTACTAAGCAAGTAACCTACCGTATAGCCCAACATTAGGCACTCTTAAAAAGCAATTCTTATAGTTGCCCTTCTGCCTTCAACCCTGAGAGCCCTCAACCCCCTTTTTGGGGCCCTCAAGGGCTTGGAGGCCGATATAGGCTAGGGGCAGACTGGCATCTGCGTTGAGCTTGGTGCCGTCGAAGGAGTAGATTGTCAAGAACTTCAAGCGCCTCACCTAACAACAACACGGCGCAGGGCATGGGGTTTGGGGATAGGATTCTGAAGCGAGTCCCCCCACGGTTTTGGGGCGTTGGGGATGTTTCGGGCCTATCGTCTTTCACCCTACGGAAGAAGGTCAGACTCACTCTTCGAAAGCCAAGGGTGGAGGTTCATGGGTAGCTCTGACTGGAGCTTTTACGTAGATTGAGTGTGGCTCAAGCTTCAAAAGGGCTTCAAGTCAAGGGCTGATAGGGGGCTTTGGAAGAGGCCGCCTTGCAGGTTTGTACTTATGAAAGTTTATTGTTGGGGGTTGATATAAAAAAGGATCATAGTATTTGGGGGTCTATTAGGGGGTACCCCTATCTTGGGAACTACCCTCATAGCCCATGAACCTCCCCAGTGGAAGCGAGAAAAAACCCGAAAGAAGGGTGGCGTCCTCCTCCTGCGCCGCGCCGAAAGCGCCCAGCGCGACCAGCTGAAGGAGGAGCCTGGCACCGGAGCGCATGCTTTTGGGGGGTTTCGGGCTCGAGGGGTTTACGGCTTAGGGTTTAGGGCTTAAGGCTCGAGGGCGGGGCTTCGGGTTTAGCTGAAGGGTTCTCGGTTACAGGGTTCCGGGTCCAGGGTCTGAGGCTCTACGGCTTTAGGGTCAGGGCGCAGGACTGAATTTAAGGGTTTTCAAGTTTGTTTAAGGCTCTGCGGTCCCCAAACCCGAACCCTACCAGAATGTTGAACTTGAGGGTCTCTTCGGGCTCAAGGGCCTTAATGTTCAAGAGGCGACATCCGGAAGGGTTCCAGCTTCCGACTGCTTAAGGGCCTAGGGTTTAAGGGCTTAAGGACTTAAGGGCCTAAGGGGTTTACAGGGTTTGAAGGTCTGAAGGTTTGCGGGGTTAGGCTCTTTGGCCACTCAAAACCCCTGAATGTCCTAAAGGTCACTTACAAATCCGACTTGGAGGATTCGAGGATGTAGGGTTTTTTGGCCTTGGGGACTTGCGTTTGCTAGGCTGCCCTGAACCCTAAACCCTATAAACCCTACAAACCCGATAAACCCTATAAACCCCGTAAACCCTGTAACCCTATAAACCATATAAACCCTAAAAACCCTAAACCCCAAACCCTTAGGAGGCTTCAGGGGTTCCAAGGTCGACTTGCTGAGGTTCCAGGTGGGGTCCCAAGGCGGCTCTGGCACGCAGGTCTCGGGCGAGGGGCGCGCAAGGGTCTAGAAGTTTGGGGTGATCTTGGACCTATGACCTATGCTTGAGGGTTTTTAAGGTTGGGGCGTTGGGGATTGTAGTTCTTAAGTTTATGGCCTACGTGGCCTAGGGTCTTGGGGTTTAGGCTTGTAGAAGTTAGGATTGGGGATTTTCAGGATGTCTGGGCACTTGCTTTTGAGAGGGTCCTGGCCTCAAAACCATGGCGCCCCAGACTCACAGGAGGGCGGCCGCCGTCCGATGCCCACGATGCTATAATAAACCCCAAAAGCCAGAAAGCCCTCGGAAAACCCTAAACCCTAAACCCTAAGCCCTAAACCCTAAACCCTAAACCACTAAAGGAAGTCCAACTGAATGTAGGGGTCCTCCACCCCGCTTGTCTCTCTCCCCTCCAATCACTCGAAAGGCCACAGAGCCGAAGCCACGGCGGCTTTCAGGGTCCCCCCCCCAGATAACCAAACGGTTTTAAATTTAGGGTTTAGGGTTTAGGATTTAGGGATAACCAAAAAGTTTTTCGGTTTAGGGTGTTAGGGGTTTAGGGTTGGGATGTTTAACAGTGCTTAATAAGGATTCTAGTGCCCCCGATGATGATCCCGATTCAGGACTCCTAGTTTCAGGAGGAACATCCCAAGTTTAGGGTGTTAGGGTTTGGGGTGTTACGGCTTTAGGAATTAGAGCTTTACGGTTTTAGGGTTTCGGTTTTGGGGTTACCCAGTAACCGAAGGAATGGGTCTGAAGGGGCTTAAGGGCTCAGGGGGGTTTACAGCTTCACGGGTTCTAAGAGTTTCGTAAAGGGAAACTGAGGCCCCCCTCCCCCCTCCAACCCGCAGACGAAATAGGAATAAGCATCCACCCGAGGTCCTAAGACATATTTATGAAGGCTTGGGCTTTCTAGAGGGCTTTTGTGATGCCAAGGGGCTTTGGAGTGTCTAGGGTTTTTGTACGACACTTTCGGCGCAAGACTTTTGGGGTTGGGGGGGCGTAGGGGTTCGGGTTTAGGGGGCAACTGGATCTGGAGCTACAGGTCGGCAAACACCAAAGAAAGATCATGACCAAACTTGCAGTTTAGGGTTAAGGGTGCCGGGATTAGGGGTTTCAAGCTTAAGCGTAGGGCTTAGGGTTTAGGGGTGCTCTCAACCGGCCCCACACATCCCCGCTGAAGCCCACAATCTGCAAACCCCAGCAGCTTCTTCCCCAGAGGCGCTGCCGACGTGCGAGTTCCATGGAAAGTTGGGCAGCCCAAATGCCCTACTCCAGTGGACCCTAAGGGAAGGCAGCCTGTCCGTCGCAAGCTCTTTGGGAATGTAAGGGGCCGTAACACCGGATACCTACACTTTAAGCTTCCCGAGAACCATCTGAACGCTAAGAGGCCCCAAGCTGCCACGGATTTCGGCCCCCCCCCTTGCATCGCCTTTTGGCCAACTAGCGGGACCCGGCACAAACTTGATCATGCGCTGGGGCTTAGGAATTCAGGGTTTGAGGGCTTGGGGCTTGTGGGTTAACTGAAATGGGCTGGGGTGGGGGTCTGCAGTTGCAGTGGTTCAAGGTTCCAAGGCTTTTCAGACTGAGGTCAAGGTTTACTTGTTTTTGGGCTCAGGGTTTAAGATGAAAGGCGTGTCCACAACATCTCGGTGCTGAGCCCGCCATGTGTGCAGTTCTCAAATTTCACTTGAACACGTTGCCGAGCATTCAGAGGTCAGTCGTGTCTCAAACCCTCAACCACTGCTCAACAAACATGTACTCAGCTACCATCTAGCCCTAAATCCTAAACCCCACATACAGACTCTTTTGGGCTCCATTGTTTCTGCGAGCAAAGATGACATCTGAAGCGCCCGGCGCGGCGCCAGAACAATCGACAACACTGACCCTACATGGTGAGCCGGATCCCTGCCGCAGGGCTTTTAAGTCTCCAGGCTGTCCAGGCTTTAGGGGGCTGAGCTCTGAAACTGAGCCCCCAACTAACCCTGAAAACCCTAGACCCAACTTCTAACGAGCTACCCCAAGCTGCCCCGGATCATCTCAAGATGAAGGCAGCGGCTCACGTTGCAGCGGCCCACATAAGATTGAAAACTCTTGGTGTGGGCGTTGCCTGTACAACGGAATAAGAGAGGGGGCGCCTCAGAAACCCCTCAACATGGTTGGGTTAGTGTTAAGGTTAAGGGCTAGGGTTATTCTAGGGTTTGGGGTTTATCGGTTTATATGGTTGAGGGTTTATAGGGTTTAGGGTTCAGAGGGTTCATCGGGTTTGTCGGGCCTACTTATGGGGGTATAGGGTTTAGGGCTATCGGAGTTGACCTAACTTATGCGGCCATTTCGCACCCGCTTAATGAGGAGTGTACGGAAATAGTGGCCCTAACAAGGCACATGATGCCCAACCATTTTGGGGAGCTTTTGGCCCACACTCAGCCCCCAGCCATCGCCGTCCTCGTCGGCCGGATCTTCAGCCCGGAGCCTTCTCCAAACAGCGTTTAGGGTCTAGGTTTAGGGTTTGGGGGGTTAGGAGTCTTCAGGCTTAGGGTTTAATAGGGCTTAACAGTGCTTAGTAGGGTTGGGTAGGGATGAGAAGGGCTTAGTAGGGCCCATAGAAACCTTCAGCAAAAAGGTTTTTGGGCGCTGTTTGGATAGAAAACCCTAAGACACCATAATCGAGCCTCTTGCATGGTGACCTTTCCAAGGCGCCAAGAACCCTAAACAAGGCGCCGGTTTAAGGTTTAGGACGACTAATGGCCCCCCAAATCCTAAGGCCTTAAACCCCCAACCCTTAACCCTAAAAGCCTCAAACCCCTCAATCGCAAGCAGGATGCGCTTGATCGTCTTGCACCGCTTCTTGCGAGATGTTGTCGCAGTCCTCACGATCTCCGGAGGCGCCTCACCCGAGCGAGAAGGGAAATGGGTTTAGGGTTTAGGTTTTAGGGTTTCGGGTCTAGGGGTTCAGGGGCTTCAGCGGTTTCAGGGGTTTCAGGGCCTAGGGCCTAGGGTAATTATGGCACATGGTTTTGGCTTTCGGAACTGCTCGGTACCTTCTCTTCCTAATTAAGGGGTCCTCGGCCTCTTCTTTCTCCCACACCACAACCCCCCTAACTCCCTATTCTTGCTCAAATCTTCCCTCATGTTCAGGTCCTAGGCTTAGGGTCGTGCGCTTTCAGGGCTCAGGCGCGGAAGGGAGCGTGATGTCAAAGAACTGCCTACACGCTCTTCAGAAACCCTCAACCCGAACCCCCATTTTTGCCCAGGGGCCGCAAAATCCCAAGACCTGAAATCCCAACAGCCGCTCTACAAAAACCCATCAGGCCCATAGGGCCAGCCAGCCCGAATAAGTAGAAGCCTTACACAAACCCTGCAAACCCATATGGGTGGTTGTCAAAATGATGGTCCCTGTTTGGATCCCTATAATAATACGGCACCGAATTTTAGAGTACCCTAAAAGGGATCATGAGTTTGACAACCACCCGTATGCCGTGCCGAGGCACCTGGGCCGTAGGTGCCTCAAGCAGGTCCTTCGCACGGCCAAGGGGGGCGGGCGATCCTACCATCGCTGCCCTTAGTGTTTAGGGTTTAGGGTTTAGGTTTTAGGTTTTAGGGTTCAGGGTTCAGGGTTCAGGGTTTAGGGTTTAGGGTTTACGGTTCGCTATGCCATCTTAAGCCCAACAAGCATGCAGCCCAAGTACTAAACTGGGGGAGGAAGCCCCACACCCAACACATCACGGGCAGATCTTATCTCATGATCCCTTGCTGGGCACCCATAAATCGTGAGGGTTGAGGGTGTGGGGTTTTGGGTGGGTCCCAAGATTGGCAATACTCATAGTCTTACTGCAGCCAGGGAATGAGTGTGGGACGGAAGCTCCTTAGGGCTTTAGGGATGTAGGTTTTAGGGATTCAGGGTGCAGGGTTTAGGGAACTTGGGCTTGGGGATACAGGCTGTTTGGGTTTGGGGATTCAGGGGTTAGGGCCTTGGGGTCCCAAACCGCAAGTTCACAGCATGGGCCCTGCGGAATCAGCTTTCAAGCACGCGGTGGGCGCATAACAGGACGCTGCAGGGCAATTAGTTTCGGGTACCCTAAACCCTAGGCCTGGTGGTTAGGCTTTAATTCGGGCCTAATGCCGTGAATGCCCGAGGAAAGTGCTGACCCGATAGCCCTGACATCTCTACACAAAAGTTGAAGCTACATGAACCCGCAAACAAGCCTACCTAACCTACCCGAAAGCCCTATTTTAGGGAAAAAACAGAAACCCAAGCCCCGACAGCTAAACCGCCCGCGAGACAAAACGCGCCTTGCTTGGAGGCCGCACCAGGTTCCCCCACCACTCCTCTGGCCCAAAGGGTTCAGGGTTTGAGGGTTTGAGGGTTTGAGGGTTTGAGGGTTTGAGGGGTTGAGGGCTTGAGGGCTTGAGGGCTTGAGGGCTTGAGGTCTTGAGGGCTTGAGGGCTTGAGGGCTTGAGGGCTTGAGGGCTGAGCCGAAACCCTGATTCCCTGAAGCCCTAAAACCCTAAAACCCTAGAACCCTAAAACCCTGAACCCTAAAACCCTAAATCTCTAAACCCTTCAGGACTTTAAGGGCTGTCGGAGTTGCATCGGCTCTTATGGCTCATTAAGGTCATTGAGCTCGTAGGACTTTAAGGCTAAGGGTTCAGGGTTGAGCGGCGCACCGCTGAGGTTTTGAAGTCTTGGGGTTTAGGGCCCTGCAAATCTTGCCTCTCTTGTCCCAAGACCCGGCCACATCCCTGAAAGCCTAAACCCTTTTGGCCGTAGGGCCCTTCGCTCAACACCAAGCCACAGAACCCTTATAAGACTCTCAGACATCCTACAAAAAGACTTGCGGCTCTGGTTTTTACAATTCCTGAATCACAGAAACTCCCTTTAAAATTCATTAGAAACCTAAACAACATAATTACACGTTAATCCTATCAACCTGATTGTGAGCAGGAGACCCTATAAACCCTATACATGCAGATAACCATGCAGTACTAGTCATGACAAAACAAAAAACCTTAATGAGCGCGTTCGTCGTCGTCGTCCACCAAACCCAAAAACAAAAGACTCAAACCCTAGAACCCCCAAAGCCCAAAATCCCCTAAACAACTAAAACCCCTAAAGCCCGGAAACCCCTTAAACAATTAAGCCGTCCGAAACCCTATCTCAGCCTCCCTGCCCACCTCCTCCCAACTGCCCGGCGCGGGGGCCGAAAGCTTCGCAAACAGCAGCTCCAGGAATTCCTCGAACCTTTGATCTGGGCTTTTTCGTGCTTTTGCTGTGGGAGGGGAGAGGTTCAGGGTTGAGGGTTTCCGGTGCTGTGTCCGGGGTGTAGGGCTTGAGGATACGGTTGAGGTTTTAAGGTTTGGGGCTTAGGGGCGCCCTAGACATGTAACATTACTTCCAGATGAACCCCAGTGAGCCCGAGACCTTTGATGGGTTTGGTGGGGTTTGGGAGGTTTGATAGCCTAGGGGCCTAAAGGCTTAAAGGTGTAGGGGATGGGGTTGTACGTAGGGTAGTAGCTACCTGAATTCTTTAGTGCCTTTCCCAGCTTCTTGGTCGCAGACGTGAAGACGCGAAGACGCAAAGACGGTGATTCGTGGCTGCAGCCGCGAAGATGCGAAGACGATGATTCTGTGGTCGCGGGCGCGAAGATGCGGATTCTTGGCCTTCGATGCGAAGACGCCGCAAACACACAGACGCGAAGACAGCGCGAAGACAATGCGAGGATTTGACGCAAGGATAAGAAATCGCGGCCATGCAGCAGGGCTTTAGTGAGGATCTTGCCATACTAGGCTTGCCTCCAGAGACTCTCGTGAGAAAGGTCTATCCCAGGGCCGTACCCTCAACTTTATACCAGAACCCTACCCTACACCCTGGATCCTAAACCCTCAACCCTGAACCCTTTCCTTCAAGCTGCATGGGCTTCGGCTTCGCTGCCTTCTGCCAGTAGTCACAGAGCAGCGACTCGATGCGCTGGCGCACCTTGTGCAACTGGCCCTTAAAACCCTCTGGAAAATATTCCTAGCTATGATCCTCTTAACCCAAAAGGGTAAAATCAAATTCTTAGCCCAAGAAGGGAAATATGAAACATCCCCAAGGGCCTACCTAGTTGTACATCAACTAGATTGAATGGCCCAAGTCCGGGTTCACTAGGGTGGGGCGTTTAGAAGCCCTGTTCTGGCCTTGCTAGGATGTAGCGATTAGGGTTCCCGGGATTCAGGGTGTTAGGGTTGTGTTGGACATTGTGCAGGTCTTCAAGGTTGTCGGATATCGGTTGATGTGAGGGGCGCTTCTGTGGCCAAAAGCTGTGGGACGGTGTTGCCCACTCATACATATTCTATGTATATAAGGACTCCAAGGGCATAAGCCCATAAACTTGTGCTTCCTCACGCGAAATCAAGATCAACCCTCTCCAAACCGACCCCTTCAACCCTAAATCCCTAAAAACCCGAAAACCCTGACACCCTGAAACCCTAAACCCTGAAACCATGGGCCACGGTACAAGTTCGTGCGGGAGCCCTCCGCAGACCACCACATGGCAGTCATGGTGCTTCACGTCCGCGTGGCAAAATACCACCTGGCACCTTTGGGCGGTGGGGGCTTAGGGTTTACAGGGTTTATAGGGTTTCCAGGGTCTATAGGGCAATTGGGGCTTACAGGGTTTATAGGGTCTATGGAGGGTTCATGTGTCACAGGACTCAAGGCTATAGGGTTTGTGGTTTACAAGGTTCAGGGTGCGTGGAGTTAGGGTTCTGGGTTGGAGGCTGAGGGGGCGACCAGACTCAGAACCCAAAACGGGGGCCTCTTGAGCATCACAGCCGCCGTGTCCAACCCCCAGCCAGTGAACACCCTAAATCCCAAACCTGACACCTGGACTGGGTGCCGCTTGAGTCATTTGGTTTGAGCTAAGAGAGGGGGTCTAGCACTTTCGCTTCCCTTGCGTTCCCTACATACCGTGCCAGCTGAGGGCTTTTGAGGCGCAAGCCACAAGCTTCTCTGCCCGGGCACTCTGAGGGGCGCCAGGCCAGGACCATCCTCACTCCACTCCAAGATGGTTCCAAGGTAGGTAGGCGGTAGGCAGTAGGCAGTAGGCAGCAGGCGGTAGGTGCTAGGATGTGCTAGGTGCTAGTTGCTAGGTAGGCTGTTGGTAGGAGGCGGGAAGCGGGAGAGGGGAGACGGTAGGGGGTAGGGAGGTAGGGGGTAGCCGATAGGCGGTAGGCGGTAGGTGGTAGGCGGCAGCTGGCAGGTCGGTGGGTGGCAAGTGGTACAGTAGGTGATGGTGGTAGTAGTAGTAGTAGTAGTAGTAGTAGTAGTAGTAGTAGTAGTAGTAGTCGTCGTAGTAGTAGTAGTAGTAGCAGCAGCAGCAGGAGTAGTAGTAGTAGTAGTAGTAGTAGTAGTAGTAGTAGTAGTAGTAGTAGTAGTAGTAGTAGTAGTAGTAGTAGTAGTAGTAGTAGTAGTAGCAGGAGTAGTAGTAGTAGTAGTAGTAGTAGTAGTAGTAGTAGTAGTAGTAGCAGTAGTAGTAAGAGTAGGAGTAGGAGTAGGAGTAAGAGTAAGAGTAAGAGTAAGAGTAAGAGTAAGAGTAGGAGTAGGAGTAGGAGTAGGAGTAAGAGTAAGAGTAAGAGTAAGAGTAAGAGTAAGAGCAGTAGCAGGAGAGCGAAGTGCTCGTCGCGCCCTTACCGATACCCTTTGACAGTAGGAAGCAGTGAATGTAGTTCGGGTGGGAATCTTACTCCACCATGATTGCAGCCACATCAACCACGCCTCCTGTCAAACCCCCCCCCCCGTAAGAAGGCTTCGACTGTCGCACGATTTCTGCCAGCGCAAGCGCCGCACGAAACTAAAAGCCTCCATGAAAGCACACGCACATCCATTGCAGTGCTCGCTTGCGGCCCAGCGGCGCTCGCATCACCGCGACGCGGCGGCCCTTGCCGAGTCAACTGTTGGTAATGGCTCACCCTGAATCGCAAGACCGAAATCCCTAACTCTGAAAACAAAGGAACTGTTGGGGGCTTAAAGGTTATGATGGGTCCTCTAAATTCTGGTCCTGCCTAGGCCCCTAAATGCTCCACAAGGGGGAAATTTGCGAAACCGCGAAGGGCCTGACATGTGCCGAGAATTCCTTCAACCCAAAAACCCTTGCCCCAAAACCCTAAACACCTGGAACCGGAAAACCCTGAAACCCTAAAGCTCTCAAGACCTAAAAGATCTAAATCACTTAAACCACTAAAGCCTGGTTAAAGCCTTGATCCCTGAACCGTAAACGGGAACATGTGAAACAGACGCGCCTGCCGTTGGAAACCGGCTGCCAGACAAGCCTCCCCAGGCGGCAACTGATAGCCTCGGTCGAGGGGTTTAGAGGCTTCTTAGGTTTTAAAGGCTTAGCGGTTTAGAAAGCTTAGGGAGCGCAAGATGTTCTAGGCATGCTTGCCGAAGGGGTCTAAGAGTTCAACCCTGAAGGTTGCTAAGGTGATACGGATGTTCGCGTTGCAGGGTTTTAGGGCTCAGGGGTGCCTCCGGACATTTTTTTTGGTTAAGTCGGTGTAACGTCAGTCCGACAACAACGAGACCGCAGGGGCACATGGCTTCTGTGAGCGTTCGCGCCTTTTACAAGAACGCCAGCGGAGCTGTGCACAGTGGGTTGAGAAGCCCTAAAGCAGCATTTGCAAGCAGCATTTGCAAGCAGAGCTTGAATGCTGAGACTGCAAGGGCACACGGGGTTGGGAAGGTGGTTTCGGGGTTTTACTTAGGGATGATGAAAAACCTGACTGCTTGCACTCCTCGACTGTCGGTTCTGGAAAAGTTTTTGCGTTGTGCAATTGGGCCTGCGCAGCGGAATGCTTGTGTGGGTTTCACGCGTCGGAAGCTTCGGAGTTACAACACATAGGGTACACAGGGCAAGATCCGATGAAACCTTGGGGTTCAGGGGCTTAGGGCTTCTGAGGCTTGCTCACGAGAGAACGAAAAACTCTCAAAAAAACGGAAGCACACACAAATAACCCTAAGGGGATATGCTCTAATTGGAGTTTAGGGTTCGGGGATTAGGCTTTATCCGGCCTAGGGTTTCGGTTTAGGGTGTAGGGTTTCGGGACCCTGGAACCTCCTCTCATCGTTGCCCGCGTGCACAGTCTGGTTCGGGCGGTTTATGAATTGATGGTTCGTCTCGGCTCGAAAGGTGAGCGCAGAACCACCCCCCAAAATGCAGTGCAGAATTACTCATGTAGGCTTAGGACCTAGGACCTAGGACATATCTCAAGTAGCACTACATCGAAGAAAACATTACGCCAAAACTTTCTGCAACGCTTGGCTTGGCCAGGCGGCCGTAGAAAAGCGGCTTTCGGACCGTGTCCGTCCAAACCTCTCGCAGCCGCGCGCTGGCATCTTCGGGCGCGGCATCCAGCGCCTCGGACAGGGCTAAGGGGTTTTAGGGCTTAGGGTTCAGGTCAGCACGGGCAACCGTGATAAAACAGGACTGGCAAGAATCTGAAGATGACTTAGCGGCACCTTCTGAGAAGAGCCCTACGTCCTAAACCCTGAAGTGATTCCTAAACCTCCTGACTTCCAACCCAAGCCTCGAGCCCGACGGTTTTACCCCAAACCCCCCAGCATTGAACCCTCGACAGCAGACGTGGCAAGCATGCCCCAAGACAAAATGATATGGACAGCTTCAGGTGAACAGTTAGGAAGAGAGCGCGAGAGAGAGAGAGAGAGAGAGAGAGAGAGAGAGAGAGAGAGAGAGAGAGACAGGTCTCACCTTTTGATAGGCAGTATCGGGCCCACATAAACCTTTTAGGCTTAATCAGCTGGCTTGCTCAAGCAACCTCAGCGCACCACCCAAGCAGGTGCACCACAGGCGAGGGAAAGGGTCAAATCTGTCTCAGTCAGATGGAAGCCACCTTGAACTGCCCTGATCTGAGAACCCCAAACGTACTCATGCGCCACCCCAGTCCGTGCACCTAACGCGACCTCAGAGCCCCGAAGTGGTTCAGGATTCGGGGTTTGGGGTTTGAGGTTTGGGCCTTAGGGTTTGCCATGATGTGGGGCGGAGGCTGCTTCGAGTGCTTCATAATTCGGCTTGGAGGGTCGTTTAACACCATCTCGCACCCCAGGCTCCTCGTAGGGTTGAGGGATAAGGCAAGAAAGAGTCCTAAAACCCTTAACCTACCTAACATTCCATGCCCGGACCCTAGAACCTAAACCCGAATTCCCCTAAAACCCCTTAAACCTCCTTAAAAAGCCCCGAAGTCCGGGCCGAGTCTCGTTCAGGACCACCCGCTCTTTGAGGCCCCGCGGTAGCACCCTGAGTTCCAGCGGCTGGTTCAGGAGGGGGGAGGGAGATTTGGTGCTCTTTGAAAAGGCTTTATTGAAGTTTACGGTTTTGGCGTTCAGGTCCGTCCCCCTAACTGTCAATCCCGAATCAAATATTGGATATTCCAATATGATCTACCATGGCAGTCGGCGAGGGCAGTGTGTGTGAGTGGTGGTGATCGTCGTGGCTGCTGTTGCTGCCGCTGCCACTTGGCTATTTGCACGATTTTGCCCGTGATTGGCGATGCCTTCCCAAAATGTATTGCTTCTGCCACGGCCAGTGAAAATCCTTGTGCATTGGCAGTTAAGCTAGCTGGCCGAGACGCATCTTATCTATCTTTTGGCTGCCCAACTCAACCGGCGATTGGGTCCAAGTTGACGCTCGTGATGCTCGCCGTCCTGCCACTGGCGCGATTGGCCAAGGCGGCTGTGACGTAGCTGTACTCGTGATGCTGGTCATTTGGATGTGGGGGGTGAATTGGGGTGGCTGGCCAAGGCGGCCGTGACCCAGCTGAAACTCTAAACTCCTCCAATCCTCCACCCCCAGAAGCCCCCACGTCAAGTATTCAATGCAAGTGTTTTTGTATGACTTACAAGACCTTTCATCAGTAATGAACACTGTCTACAAAACACAAGAAGACCCAAACCCTGAGCCCTGAGCCGAGGCTCCTGTTTCGAACGGCGTAGGCTCTCAAATCTTCGTGGTCCGGCGGCTGAGGGCAGTCGGGTGTAAACCAGCTCGGCCCAGGGAGCAGCATCTGAAGCGCAGGTTTCCGGGGGGGGGGGGGGTGTTCCAGGCTTGGGAGCGCGATGTGACCAGAATGTAGAGGCCCGAACAGCGCCTAGGAGTTCAGCCCCCATCTGGTGGGGCTGCTCGGTTCTGGGCCTTTAGCTTGCAGGGGCCTTCATGGGCCCCGGACTTACGCGGACCCTATTTTGGGGGGAACCCTTAAGCCACCAAGAAAAAGCCTCTAAACTCGTAAACCTGGACACCCTAAAGCCCCAAAAAATGCCCCTGTGCAGCTTCAGGCCTCAGCAAAGTAGTAGCAGGGGTCGGCCTTCAAGGAGCCCTCCAAGCAGTGCTCGAGCCTTGGGCTTGCAAGGCCCCTCCCTGCAAGGCCACCCGCGGTCACTCTCGGGTGCAGGGCTTGGGGTTTAGGGTTTAGGGTTTAGGGTTTAGGGCTTGGGGTTTGGGATGTAGGATTTGGGATTTAGGATTTAGGGTTTAGGGTTTAGGGTTGAGGGTTGAGGGTTTAGGGTTGAGGATTTAGGGTTGAGGGTTTAGGGTTTTGGGTTTAAAACCTGAACCCTAATTTCCTTGAGATGCAGCTTGAGGGCTGGATAACGCCCAAACCATCCTAGCCTCGACCCTGAGCCCTAACACCCTAAAGACCCTGGACCCAACGCCTAAAAACAAAGGATACAAAAAAACACCAAACGCCCCCAAGACTCTTTACAAACAACGTTTAAAACAAATCTTTACACGATCCAAAAACCTCTTCAAAAAGCACCACACGCCAACCCCCCAAAACCTAAACAACAACCTAAAACCCTTCAAACACCCTTTAAAACCCTCTGCCGGACTGCCCAGAGGGTGAGTCGGAACCGGAGTCGCTCTCCAGCGTCCTCCGGCGCAGGGTTTCGTAGGGCTTGGGGCGTAGGGTTTGGAAGGTACTCGGCGCTTGCGGGCTTCCGGTTCTGACTTTTTGGGGCTTGGGGGTGCTCAAGGTTTCGGGATTTAGGGTTTTGGGGTGTTAAGCCTTGCAGCAGCAGCTTCATCTTGCCCTCCCCCATGCCCTAAACCCAACTACATCTAAACCAGGGCACAAGACCCCAAACCCCAAACCCAAATTAGGCCCACCTAAAGCAAAACCCTAAACCCTCGGACGAAATTCAACCAAAGAAAACCCGAAAACCCTAAGTCCGAGGCCCTCAAACCCGACTTCAAGCCACCAAGACCCAAACCCCTGAACCCTAAACCCCAAACCCTAAACCCTAACCCCTCAACCCACAACCCTAAACCCTAAACCCTTAACCCAAACCCCCCCCCCCCCCCCCCCCCCCCCAAACCCCACGGGCCGGTCCTGAGATCCTTCCAGGTGCACAGCTTCCCCAGGAGCTCGGCAAGGGCATCGCGCAAGTCGCCAGTCGACATGTTATGGGTTTTAAGGGGGAGAGGGGCCGAGAGAGCTTTGGGGCTTGAGGGCTTCGAGCTTGGGGTCAAGGATTTTCGGGTTTTGGAGCTGAGGGATAAGGAAGTAGGGATAAGTTTAGGGCTTGCTTTATGGGTATTGGGAGCTTCTCAATCCTACTCACCTCTCTAACCTTCACTTTGCGCTTCTTCACATCAACTGGCTTGGGGAGCCCTGGAGAAGGAGCGGGGGATAAGGGGGTTGAGGGTTTGTGGGGCCAGTTCAGGGTTTAGGGGTTCAGGGGCTTAAGGGTTTAAGGGTTGAATGGTTGAAGGGTTGAAGGGTTTAGGGGTTTTAAGGGTTGAAGGGTTGAAGGGCTTTAAGGCCTGAAGGGCTGAAGGTTTTAAGGTTTCAACGCTGCCTCGCTACTTCCTTCGAGCCAGGCAACGGCCAAGAATGTAAGAGGGCTAGAGGCTTCTGGTTTCGAGGGCTTAAGAATGTACGGGCCTCTGGTTTAAGGCTTCGGGTTCGAGGCTGTAAGGGTGCTCAAGTGTTGAAGGGATTAGGGGTTGTGAGGTTTGCAGGGTTTGGGGCCCCTGAACCCTAAACCCGAAGGGGCCCAAACCATGAACCCTAAGCTTCTGGGGGTTTAGGGGTCTTAGGGTTTTAGGGTTTGAAGTCCTTTGAAGGTCTTATGAGGGTCTTAGAGTTCTAGGATCTTCGGGTCTTAGGCTTCTAGGGTTTGAGGGCCTCTAGCAAAGAAACCACGGAGGCTGCGCAGGCTAAGAAGGCTAAGAAGGCCCCTTGGCAACACCACTCCCTGGGGGGCGAACCCCGAAACCCCTAGGGCTTCGTAGTACAGTTTACTAGGGTTTAGTAGGGTTTAGTAGGGTTTAGTGGGGTTTAGTGGGGCTTAGTCGGGTTTAGTAGGGTTTAGTAGGGTTTAGTAGGGTTTAGTAGGGTTTAGTAGGGTTTAGGGCTTAAGGTTTTGGGCGCAGCGCGGTTGAAGGCTGCGGTCCGTGAGAGCCCTGACAAGTCTTTTTTGATAGCACTTCAGATTAAAGCACATAGCATGGGTTGGTGAATGGATTCATGCGCCTCCCAACACTCGTCCGGCCCAGAAAGGGGGGAAGCGGGTTTAGGGTTTAGGGTTTAGGATTTAGGCTTTAGGGTTTAGGGTTTAGGGTTTAGGGTTGTGGGTTGTGGGTTGAGGGGTTAGGGTTTAGGGTTTAGGGTTTAGGGACCTAAGCCCTCACAAGGGTTTGGGATCTGGAGCTTTGGGTTTACCAAGCTTAGGGTTGTGGGATTTGCCTTACATCTTCCCCGACAGGCCGGTGCTCATGGGGTACACCGGCTGCAGCCCTGCAGGCAGATGTGAAGAAAAACCCAAGGTCTGATGTTGGAAAGACTCCAGGCTGTCGGCAAGGATGTCTCGAACGCGCGGCCCTCGACAAAACTGACTGACCCTGAGCACGCGCTGCGCAACCTTAAGCAAATATATGCACAAGCCCGAAGCCCCAAAGCTTCAACTCCCAAGCCCGAAACCCACAAAGCTTAAGCAGTTTAGGGTTTAGGGTTTAGGGTTTAGGGTTTAGGGTTTAGGGTTTAGGGTTTAGGGTTTAGGGTTTAGGGTTTAGGGTTTAGGGTCCAAGGTTCACAGGGATTTTAAAAATTACTCACTCGGGGTGGGGAACTCGCTTCGGAGCCTTCATGGTAAAGATCTAAGAGCCCTGGCTTTACTCAATGGGTTCAGGAGGAGCTTGCGCTCTGGCCTCTGAAAAAGACATGAAACGTTTTGCTTTCTTTGAGGGACGTTTGTGGGGTGGAGGGGGGGGGGGGAGAGGTGGGCTATTCTAAAATTGGGCCCCTGTTTGCGGGGCCCCTTTTCGATAAATGTTCTCTCGATGAAGCACTGCCGACAAACACACCCGAAACCTGTCAGCTCCTGAATGAACTGAACCTCCTAAACCAATCTGGCTCGGCGGGCGAGCGGAGGGGGCTAAAGTTGTTTAAAACATATACGGAGGCCGATGAGGTCGCAGAGGTTCAGTAATATGTTCCTTCCTACGGGTTACCAGTTACCAAACAGAGGGCCCAAAATAACCCTGAACCCTAAACCGCAGCTAGCAGTCGCTACCCGAAGTAAAGAGGCTCAGCTCATTCATGCCTTGAAAACCGGGGTGCTGGGCTTGGGGCTCGGGGCTGTGGGGCGGTTTCAAGTCTCAACAGGCCTCCGCATAAGCCCTTGCATCCGCGGCCTTTTAAAATTGGGCGGCCGAGATGCTGAGCTCATCCTGACTTTGCTCCGAATCGGCTTCCGGCCGTGCCCTGGGAACCCTAAACCCTGTAAACGCCAAAAGATAGCCCTGCGGTTTAGGATTCAAAGTTTATGGGGCTTGGGGCCCCTTCAAACTCTTAGGCTTCTACTACGAGCATCTTCCTTGTGGGGTATATTTTTTGGTTGATGAGTCGGGTATCTAGACCAACCATCATTCCGGAGTCCTACCCTCGAAGCTCATACTCAACCGCCGAGACGTCGTTCTGCAGGTTCACCTCCGTGGTTTTGGTGGTTGCGGGGGAGGGGTGGAGGGGGGCTGAGGGGATTGTCTGGGTGGTGAGGGTTTTAGGGTTTAGGGGTAGGGATGAGGTTTAGCTTCGGTGGTACTGGACACAAAGTTACTCGCGCAGCCCTACAGGTCTTTGAGCTCAGAGCCAGTCTAAGAAATCGAACCCTTAAAGCCCTGCCTGAGAAAACTTAGACCAAAAAGCCGGAGAAGCAAAAGCAACCTGAAACCCTGCACCCTGAACCCAAGAAACCCTACAAACCCCCTAAACCCTTAAACCTTTTAACCCCAAACCCCAAAACCCCAAAACCCCAAAACCCAAACCCCATTCTCGGGCCCTAAACCCTACAAACTCCCCACGAAGGCCCCCAATCTTCTTGCCCTGGCAGCCTCCGGAATCTCTGTGGAGGGCTCGCCCTGAGACACCTCGCAGGGCTTATTGGGTTTACATGGTTTAGAACCTTTCTAGCCCCCTTGTAGATAAAGCCAGCCTCCGAAGGTCTAGGTTGAGGCTTTAGAAGACCCTGAACCGCCCACCTCCCTCCCACCAACCCCCACCAAAAACCTGGAAACCCTAAACCGCGCAAACCCTCAGCAACTCTTTAGTTAGTCTTAAGGGTCTAGGCTTCCGGGCATAAGGTTAAGGATCCCAAGGCTTCTCCGACTTTGGACATTTTTGGGCTAAGGTATAGACTCGGAGACTAGTTGGTTTTCGCATTTGCTCTGACTTTGAGTTTTTGGCTCAAGGATGCGAAGGGTTCAGCAGCCTGAAAGCCAAGCCTGAACTGTGCCCCCGTCACCGCCTTGCCCCACTTGTCCACCTCGACGCGGATGTAGCCGCCTCAGGGGCGGTGTAGGGCCTAGCGCTTAGGCCCTAAGCCCTCGCACTCCTACAACATGGGTATTCATCACCGGGGTTATAGTAAGGGCACCCTGAAACAGGCAACCTTATACTCATAACCCTGAAGTACTTGGAAGTGCCTGCGGACCTCCAAGTAGACCCTGGAGAGGGTCCTCGCGTAAGCACGGTCGCTGAGCTGACCCAAATGCCCAAACCTCCTACTCCTCCTCAACCGTTTAAGAAACCCTCTACCCTAAACCCCAAACCTTTTTGACCCCTAACCCCCCCCCCCCCTCGACCATCCCGGCCTTTCATCTTTACCCGGGCGTTCTGCACTCGGATGCATGTTCCGGCCTACCGAGAAGTGTTCAGGGTTAAAGGGTTCAGACATCCCAAACCTTAAACTATGTAGGGCCACAGTGCGGGGATTCTCGAATGAAAGGGTTGAGGGTTAGATCCTCAAGCCTAAGCCCGAAACCCTAAACCCTAAAGCCTTCTTCTGCTTGGGGGGGAGGCAGTCCCTAATTAAACCGAAAACCCAAATTTCCAGTACAAGTACGTGGGGTAGTCAAGGTGGGGGAGGCGGGGGCAAAAAGGTAGAGGTTCGGGACCGTTGTTTTTGGAAAGGGAGAGGGGAAGGAGGCGGGGATGTAATTGTGGGGTTTCGCTTGCCAGCTCATAGTAGGGAATTCGAGGTACATCCCCCCTCATAAACCTTTAAAGCGTTACAAAGGGCACCTAATTTCCCTACTAAGAACCAGTCAGTAAGTGATATAGGAACTCATATAAGGCTTCTTAGCGTTGTCAATAGGGGTTCTCGCCTCGCAGGGCAGGAACTGCTGCGGGGTAAGGTGGCAGGTCACCACACCACTGTCCTCGTAAGCAGCTTGGGGTTTAGAGTTTTTATGGTAGAGTTATGGTTTTGGGGTTTAGAAGTGCGGGGTTTAGGGCGTCGTGTTTAGGGTTTAGGTTTTTGCTTTTCGGTTTGGAGTTTGGGTTTTGGGGTTTGGAGCTTGGGGTTGAATGCTCAGTGGAACTTATTCCAAGTGGGTCAACAGTCCCGGCAAGCCCACGTAAGGGCCCAGTAAGCCTGAAAAGCCCCCGAAGAAGTAGTTCGAAACGGGCCTTATGTGGGGGCCTTAGCCAGCCCTACGTAGGTCCTTCTATAGGGCTTAGGATTTAGGGCTTGGGGTTCATGCAAGGCATACGCAGGAGATTTCGAAGGTTGTATTAAAACATGTGTAAGGCAAGTGGAACTTCTGAGGTGGTCTGTGACATGCACATGATCGCTTCTAGTAGGTACCAACAAGAAAGCTTCAAAAACGTATGTGCAAGGATAGCAGGCAGCAAGGTGGGTGCGCTTGTCGTGGGTCGTGGGTCAACTCTGTCTTCCTGCCCAGAAATGTTTTCCGACCCCTGTATGAAGCTATTGACCCTCTGCCCACTTCCATGCGACTTCCTCACAAAGCCCCGGCACAGCCCTGCAAACCAAAAAGTCCGCGCGACACCCTGTGAGAAACTCGGCTTCAAATCCAAACCCGACACTCCAAACCCTGAACCCTAAGCCCTAAGCCCTAAACCCTTAACCCTGAACCCTAACCCACCGATAATCTGAGCCCCCGCACATCGCCGCAGACCACGTCGTGGTAGCCGTCGTTGCTGACTTCCTCCGGAAGCCTGGGTTCCAGAAGTCTGGGGGTTTCTAGGGGCTTTCGCTTCTAGGGGAACCTCCAAGTGGGAACTCGTAATTAGACGCCAAATAAGTACGGATTCCTAAGCCCGAACCCAAAAAAAAGTAGTAAGTACTTATAGCCCAGGCCGTGGAGCTTCACCACCTTCAGCTGGAGGTTCAGGCCCTTCTGCTCCGGCTTGATGGAGGACACCTGGCTTGCTTGCTGCGGTTTAGGCAGTCACCCCCAAAGCCTCCCCAAATCACCAGTCACCCACAACCCTCTCCAGCCCTCAACCAAAAGGCCCCCCAAGTACGGCAAAAGCAAAACGCAAAGAACCGTATAGGCTCCGGGCGTAAACGTGATGGTGCAGAAGGCTTTAGGGCTTAAGGGTTCTTAAAATGTTCAAGGCTTCGGGTGCGCGTGAGAACGCTGAGCTAGGAGGCCACGTGCAAGATCCGCACACGGCACGAGCTTGAGGACAGAGGAGTCTTTGCTTGAACGTATGCCCTAAACGTCTGCCCTCCACCCAGTTGAGGGTTTTCACGGTGCTCCAAATTCCCAAGTATTCTCTCATTGGAAACCTAAAGGAAAAACGAGTACCCCCTCAGGATCGGGTTTAGGGTGCTACGGGCCTTCTTGAGGGTCTCCTTTCTAGCATGAACCAAACAGGCCATGTCATTTGGAACAACCACACTGGTCCTGAGCCGGTTCCCCAGGTCGTTTTGCGGTTTGGGTTGCCCCATCTTCGGAGCTCTAAGGAGTTGAGGACCCTAACCCTGTAGGGTTTAGGGTTTAGGGTTTAGGGTTTAGGGTTTAGGGTTTAGGGTTTAGGGTTTAGGGTTTAGGGTTTTGGGTTGTGGGTTTAGGGTTTAGGGTTTAGGGGCAAGCTCGAAGAGTTGCAGGCTTAATCTAGGGCTTTGGGAGATCAGGGCTTTGTTGGGAGTTTGAGCTGCAGGATGTGAAGGCCCAGGGGCACGGTGGGAAATTTGGTGCCTACTTCTCCAATAGCCAAGGAACAAAAGGGGTTCAACTTCCATATATCCTACAAAATAAGGAAGCCTGAAAAGCTTAAAGCTCATGTGCTGGCCCAGTAAGTTTAAGGTCTTGGATTGGCAGCCTTCGCCATGAAATTGCGGGCATGTTGCTATGGGCCCTCGATATCGCACCTCGATGCATATGCCGCCCAAAAACCCAAAACCCCAAAACCCTCAACCCCTCAAACCTCAGAAAGCACCTGCCTTGACGAACTTCGGCTTCTTCAAGACTGCCGGCTTCGCCTTGAGCGCTTCGCAGCAGAAGGACTTTGGGGCGCAGAAAGAGGCCGGAATTTCATTGTTCAGGTATGGCCACGGCTGCCACTTGCAGAGGCCGTCCCACTGCAAGCCTACACCCCCTAAGTCTAGATCCCGAACCTTTCGCAGAACCGCAGGAATTTAGGAACACACCCTAAACCCTCTCGAGCGCCTGCTCCGGCCGCTGGGGGTCGAACTTGGCGAGGTCAAAGGACCTCTCAACGGCATCCTTCCAGCGCTCGAAAAGTTCAAGCTAAGGGTTTAGGGTTGAACTTTTAGGGTTAAAAATGGTTTAGGGCCGAAAGTATCTGGGGGTTTCCGAGAATAGGGGTACCCTTTTTGGGGGTCCATCTAAGGGGATTTTATTTGGGGTATCAAAGGGGTACCCCTATATTGGGAAATACCCATATAAACACAATAGGACTCCCCTTAGACCTGACCGCTGAACCTTCATACTTCGAGTTCTAAGGATGTAATGCTAGAGCCCTAGCACCCCAACAAGAATCCACTGAGAGATCAAAACACCTTAACTAGTGCATACACCTTGCTACATAGTAAGGACTCAGCACATTCCTTACTTAGAATTTGTGGGGGGTTTGCCTAAACACTGAGCCCGCAACCCTACATCCTGAACCTCCGGCTTGCACTTGCGGCAGGCCTTCCACCGCTGCATCATCTTCCTTCGGGCCGCTGGCGTGGTCGAGGCTTTAAAGACCTCGTAGCCGCCGGCCTTCGAGCCAAGGTTGGCTTTCAGGTCGGAGGTGTGGAGTTTAGAGGTCCAGGGCTTCGGGTTTAGAGGTTTCGGGGTTTTGGGGGTCTAGGGCTTAGGGGTCTAAGGGTTTAGGGGTCTAGCGGTTTAGGGAGTGATGTTTCTTTTTGGTTTATTGTTGTTACCTTTGTTTGTGATTTCTTTTTATTCTTTGGGGGGGGCGGGGGTTGGGGCTTCTCTGGGTGTGTCGCTGGCCGTTCGGCTTTCCGGAGCGCGCTGCTGCTTGGGTTCAACGCACTCGAAAGCCTCAACAGACCTAAACCGCTAGAGACCCCAATCAAGGAAACCCTCTGAAAGCACCTTCTCGACCATGTCTTTCACAACCTCCTGGCCAGGATCTGACTTGGGTCTTGGAGGTTTTGGGCGCAGGTTTTGTAGGGGTTCGGGGGGTTCAGAGTCAGGGGTTATCCTATGCCCATAGGATTGAATATAGGGGCGCATAGAACCTTATGGCTAAAGCATCTCACAACCCCTCTCCTGAATGAGCCCCAGATTCTTTTCTTTTTTAAAACGGGCCCAAGAAGCCCGAGCAGGCGTTGCTAGGTTGAATATCCCAAGACCCTCAACCCCTTAAGGAGTTTCGGGTTTTTGGGGTTCTTGGACCCTCAGCCCGGAAATCCCAACCCTAAACCCACTAGAGCCCTAACTAACCCAACACGGAAGTCCCTAAAACCCCCTAGAACCCTGGGCCCTATGAACCCCGTAGACTTAACCCTGAACCCTAAAATGAAGTCCTTCTTCTCGTAGAAGCCGACACTGAGACCCGCTGCCAGGGCCGCCCCCAGCGCTGTGGCCTTCTTTTCTGAAGGGTCAAGTGGCGCTTCTGGGGATTTTGGGTTTAGGGTCAGGGTGTTAGGGTGTTAGGGCCCATAGGGTTCTAGAGGGTGTCGGGGCTTACAGGTCTGAGATGTCTAGGGCTTAGGATCCGGGTGTTTAGGGCTGACGCCGTCTAGATCTCTGCAAACTCCCCTGGAGCGACTCCCTAAACGATGCCGCGGTTTCATGGTTTACGGCTCTGAGTTGTTTGAAAGGATTGAGGTTCTGTAGTCAAGCCCCAAAACCCCCGGACCTCCTACCAACCCCCTTCAGATCCCGATCCTTCTGCCGTCAAAACGGCTATGCAGTGTTCCAGGGGGCACAACTCATTTGCGCTATTGGAAGTCCCCCCTCCTCCCTCCCCCACGCCCCTGCACCAGTTTACCCCCGCACCCCGAACCCTAAACCCTGAACTGCAAGTCTAGATGCCCCCTCCCTGGAATGCCTCTGCCAGCTTTGAGCGCAGCACATTCATGCCAAGGACGTCTGCCTCTTGCAGCTTCGGATAGGGCTTCTGTACGATTAAAGGGTTTAGGGTTGAGGGCTTGAGGGCTTAAGGGCTTAAGGGTTTAAGGGTTTGAGGGTTTAGGGCTTATAACGGCTGCGGAAAGTTTAGAGGAGGTTTCGAGCTTTGGGCTAAGGTTTTGCACACCTTGAAATTCAGCCTGCAACTCAAACCCCGATAATTTGGGATGTTCCCCCCTATACTAGCAGTCCTTAATCGGGATGATAATAGGGGGAATTATAATCCCTATTATGGACAGTATAAGGGGAAACATCCCAACCTACAATGCAGGGACCTGCATCTGCATGAGCAGGTTGTTCACCGTCATCCCGCCGTCCACGCGCATGTCAAGGATGCGGAGCCCGGTGTCCTGCTTCATGGCCTGGCGAGGAAAGGGATGAAAGCCCCTAAACCCTAAATTCTGAAGCCTCATCCCTAAACCCTAAACCCTGATAAAACCCTAAACCCTGAAGCCTCACTACCCCAAAAGCGAGCCGCAGTCTATAAGGGTCCTCCATGATGTCCACGGCTTGGAAGGCGGTGGACTCCAGAGCGGCGCGGCACATGTGCTCCTTGCTGGTGAAGAGCGTCATGCCTCGAGAAGTGCTGGGCCCAAGAAGCCTGTGACGATCTCATGGCTTTAGGGTTTAGCGCTTAGGGTTGATGATCTAACATTTCTGTACACGAACCCTTAAACCCTAAAACCCACAAACCGAACTTAGACGCTGAAACCCGTTACTGCCCTACCTTGGGACGTTCCCCCTTGTTATAATAGGGGTACTATAATCACTGTTAAGGACTGTTAGTATGAGGGGGAACATCCCAAGACCCACCCTAAAGCCAGTGGTCCCGAGGATCTGGCCGACTGCCACTGCTCGTGCATCGTCGCGCCAGTGGGGGGCGAAGAGCCCGGAGAAGGCCGGCACCAACGTGAGCCCGCCGGTGTCCTAGTCTCGACATTGAGTGTTGAGGGTTTAGGGGTTAGGGATGGGGGCTTTGGGTTTAGGGTTTTTTTTCATGAAAAGAAGGGTTACACATTCTGGCTCTTCGATTCTACTAGGCTCCCTATGTCATTGGGGTCCTTTAAAGGGTCGCGTGCGGGGATAACTGGAAAGTAGAAGGGTTGAGGATTTGGGGTTTGGGACTTCAGCCTCAAGGCCAGGAAGGGTTATGGGCTTGGGGTTTAGGGAGTAGGGGAAACTAGGGCCGAAGGGTTTAGGGGATTTGGCGGGTTCTAGAACTGGTCAGAAGGGCTTGGAGCGCACGTCATAGGCTCTGCACGGAGCAGCAAGCTTCAAACTCCTCTGTCGATTTTGAGAACCCCTGACCCACGCGCAACAAAAAAGAGAACTAAACCCAACACCCTCCAGCCAGATCCTCAACCCTGAAACCCCAACCCTTCAACCCTAAACCCTGCAAGCCTTAAACCCTTAAACTCTACACCCTTGGATATTGAACCCTCCACACCCTGTCTTAAATCCGGCCCTACCCGGCCTCCACCTTCCCGGCCAGCGTCTCCACGTCCTGGCATCAGTAGCGTTGCGTGAGCAGTCAAAGGTTAAGGATGGCCCTTCTCCGGACTTCTTTTGGTCTAAGGGAACAACTCCTGTATCTGTATGGGGACCTTCCATTCCTTACTTCGCAACTGTTCCTGGTTCCACGTAAGACCACCTAACCAAAATTCAGGAACTCTCAAAATAAGACTGTATGTAAGCAAGTAAGTAGGCCAAATACAACCCCAAACCCTAAACGCCGAACCACAAAACCGCGGCCTTCGACGAACTGATCACGCCCAGGTTGTCTCGGAGCCACTGCACCTTAAACGAGTGGGGGCCCAGAAGGCATATGCAGTCAAAATCATAAGCCCAATAAAACAGGCGTTAAAACCGGTCTAGAAAAGGACTAACAGTACAAGAAATACTGAGAGCGATAGTTCATAACAATGGCAATGCTTGTTGATAAGAAAATGTATCTGCGCATCAAGCTTCAGGGTTCAAGGGCATTTTCAGGGCTTATAGGGGCTTCGGGTTTAAAAGCTTAAGCTCGGAAGGGTTAGGGAATAGGGGCTAGGGTTTAGGGTCAAAGCTTCGCAGCTGACAAGGCCCCCATCTCCTAAACATTCTATATGGCCGCTCGGTTTGGGTGCAGCTTGCAGGTGCTCAGAAAGAACGAAATGGTCTCATTCACTGCGGGTGCCTTAACAGCCGGCCCTGAAGGCCTGAAAAAACCCTCAAAAAACACATCCGACAATCCGCAAAATCTTTGAGAATTCACCTTAAAACCTTCTAACACAACCCTGAAGGCTCTCAACTCCACCACCCGCAAAGCCTTCAGAAGCCCCCCTGAAGAGGCCACAAAGCTTCTTGCAGCCCGGGCGGCCACGCGGCCCGCGCAGGCCACACTGCCTTCCAGGGCGTAGGAGACCTTCTCCTGGCGCTGAAAAAGGTGGGAACGAAGCTCCGATCCCTAAGCGGGTCTAGGGTGTAGGATTTAGGGGGCCGCAGCTTCGAGACTTCCTGCTGACAGCCTGGAGTCTTTCCATCGGACCTTGGTTTTTTCTTGACATCTGCCTGCAGGGCAGCAGCCGGTGTACCCTGAGCACTGGCAGGTCGGGGAAGATGTAAGGCAAAATGCCAAACCTTAAGCCTCGTAAACCCTAAACTCCATGTCCTAAAACCCTTGTGAGGGCCCTAAACCCTAAACTCGACAAAACTGACTAACCCTGAGCACAAGCTGCGCAACCCTAAGCCCCAAATCTACACAAGCCCGAAGCCCCAAAGCTTCAGCCCAAAACCCCGAAAGCTTAAACTCTGAAACGACTTCAGCCCTCCAGCCCCCACACCTCCGGGCCCAGCTGGTAGCCGATGGTCGTCAGCAGCCCATGCTTTGAGGGCACCGCGTCAGCGCCGGTGTTCAGCAGCATGAAGCAGCCTCGGCAGGCTGCGGAGATCGGCTTGAGAGGTCCTCTTCCTAGTATACTTGAGGGGCTTTGGGCTGGGTTTAGGATCTACATAAACTTAAGGTGAGTGCTGAGGGTTCAGGATGAAGGTCGGGTTGAGGATCGGGGGGGGGGTCAAGGCCGCTCCCTTCCCCTCGCCCCATGTGGAAGGTGCGGACCTCTGGCAGAGTCTTGCTTGATTCGAACTGGAGTTGAATAGAACCCAAACATGTAGATTACCACCCGTTGTATCCTACCCATAAGCACCGATGAACCTCCAAGTAGGAGTTAGAGCTGTACGCCAAAGGACAGCTTGCGGATGGAGCACTCTCCCATCTTTTCCCAGCTGGCAGCTGACTGCATAGGTCGACAGCTGCACAAACTAACCGCATCATATCTAGGAAATTTTCGTGCGTTTGCGGGGCAAATGGCGCTGTACACACTCAACTCATGAGAGCCCCCCAGGCTCATGAGGATACCCTGAACTCGAAACATCCGAAATCATCTCCGACTTCTGCGGCTTTTGCTCTGCCGGATGAGCGCGCTGAACCTTCACAAGCGACGCCCGCTCCGAAACATCCAGCCAAGGCCAAGTTAGCACTTTGGGATGCGTTTTGTTGGGCTGAAAAATGGTTGGGATTTAGGGTTTAGTGCGTATAAGGCTTCATGATGCAGGGCTTGGGGTTTGGGATGTAAGGTGCTGGGTCTAGAAAATCTTGTGGCCAAGGGTGCAGCTTGCACGAAGAGTATGCTTCGTCGAGTATGCGCCAAAGGAACCCCCATAAACCGAAATTTCCTAAACCGTTGGCTCATGGACTCTCGAGGTTCCTCTGCGTTTCAATTGCCGGGTGAGTTGAGCCTCCCAGGCGCGTTTAGGCATCGAAGGAGGCCAGCTTTCACAAGTGCACATTCCATGTGTCGTGCCCTAAACTCGAAATCCTGTGAATCGAGGGTCTCCATGTCGCCTGGCACTGTTTGTAGTAGGGATTCAACATGTAACACAACCCCCCCAAACCCTGAAACCCCATGTGTGCTGAAACCCTTGATGGGGCCCTAGCCGAGAAAAAGGCCCTGCGTCACAGAGTTCACCTGCTGGCGGCAGAACCTCAGCTTGGGGCTTAGCGGGCCTTCACGGAGGTTCGTGGTATGTGAAATAGAACCGCCAATGGCAACGATGTGTGAATCTTATATGCTTGCCCCGCCCCCCGCCCCCCCCTACCCCAACTCCACTGACCCAAGCAAGCTGCGGGCATTGGCTTCGATTCGAGCGCTGGTGCTCGCAGGCACCACACATCGCGTGGCCGCAGGGCGACAACACAACGGCCGGGCGATCCTCTTGGCACAGGGGGCCTCGGTTGAAGTTGGGAGGTGTTAGAAGCCCATAGGATCCTAAACCCCAACCCCGTAATTCGCAACAGGCACTCAACCCTAAACCCCAAACCCCAAGCGGGTTCGGATCGCGGGTGCCTGGGATTGGTTTCAGGGCTTTCCACTGCTGAGATCTGGGAGTACTTTCGGGGTGACCTCGCAGTGCTCTTGGGGTGCTTCTGGGAAACGATAGACCCTGAACCACAAACCCTAGAGCCTAGAGCCAACAATACACCTAAGCCCCGAAGCCTCTAAAGCCCTAAACCCCGAAACCCTAGGCCCAGAACCCCAAACCCCCAAGGCAAAACATTGACGAAGCGGGGCCCAGGCGCAAGTCTGGGAATGCCCGCCCCGTGGGCCTTCACGCGGGCCTTTGTTGGCATCCCGCAAGTCGCCCCAGGAGGCGTCAATGGTCATGCAGCGTTTCCAACAGATTTGGACGGAGGACGTGCAGAAGCCAAGGCCCTGAACAGTTTGGTGCAGCTTCTTTGACAGCAGGCTGATGTTCCAGTCATCTGGAGCCGAAGCTGTCACGTGACAGATGTCGGGATAACCCCCCCGACTCCTGGCCTGACACTTCTGCTCGAAGATGCGGACCTGCCTCTTCACCCACCTATCTATTTTGGCCTCTGCGGCCACCATTTGATCTGCTAGCTGCCTTGCGAAGGACATGCCGCATGCGAACCGTGCAGGACGAATACTACTGCTGCACAAATTTGGGGGCGAAGGGCTGGAATCCGCACTTGACTTTGAGCCAGCGCCAGGAAATGCCGTTCAAACCTCGCAGCTTTGAAGGCCTAGGGCTCAGGGCACGTGCCTTCCCAAAAGATCAACAGGCATCGGGCTTGAACGCAGGCATGGCCATGTGGGCAAACCTCCACATGATGCCCCTTTTTGGGGATACCGAATATATGGCTCCTTATAGAATGCCATATGTGCACACAGTTTTCTCTCCACTTCTGCCCCGAGCCCTGAAACCTAAACCCGGGAATGCTGAGGGCCCCTGCCCGTTCCGTAGGTGTTCTTGGAGGTGCCGACGTCCAGGCAGCCTTTATAATTATAAGGGCTGGGCTCCAGAAGGAGGGCTTAAGGCTTAAGAATTAGGGCTTGGGGGTTTGAAAGAGGTTTCCGGGACTGAGTTTAGGGCAATGATGGGATGCGTACTTTCAAGAACCATCACGGTATGTCGGTGATCCTGCAACTCCATTCAGCATACCCAAAAAAAAGCTACTTGCAGCTCCAACCGCGAGCCCCGAACCCTCATCACCCCTAATTAGGCGCCAATCCCCTTGAATGGACCCAAACCCCAAGCGCCCCTTCATCCTCAAACCATGGAGCAGAGGCGCCCACGAAAACGGTACACCCCAAAATGAACCTTAAAGCACGTCCGCAACGAAAGTCAAAAAAAGAGCCTAAACCCACCCTGAACCCTAACCCCCCAACCACGCCAGACCCCAAACCCTAAACCCCTAAAACTCCCAAACCCCGAAACCGGTAAACCGCTGAACCCCAAACTCCTATAAAGCCCTCATAAACATCATCTGTATCAACCCGCGACCCCAAAGGCCCCGGCCGTGTCCGAGCAGAGCCGCGTGCTGGTCGCCCAGGGCTCCGGAGATAGCCAGGCCCTCAAGAGCTGGGACCTGAAAGGTGACCAAGCCCATGGGTTTATTCAGGTTGAGGGTTGAGAGGGTTTATAGGGTTTATAGGGTTTATAGGGTTTATAGGGTTTATAGGGTTTAGAATTTGAGATCCCCCAGACCGAAACTCCTCGTACTGCTCGAGCTTGAACTAAGCCCTAACCCCCCTACGGCCTACTCTCAAGAAGAGAGCCGTAAACCTTTAAACCCTAAACCCGAGCTGAATGAGTAGGGCCCGGAGGTTCCTTGGCCGCGGGCGCTCGACACCTTGCCGTAGACCTCCGAGTTGGATCCTCGCTGTGGGGGTAGGTGCCGGCAGGGAAGGCGCTTGGGAGAGTAGGGTTTTGGGTTCAAGGCTTAGAGGGGAAAGGGCTTAATTAGCTGGAGCCTTCGGGGCAGAGGCGTTTAAAGGCTTGTGCTCTGTGGACTTCCGACTTTAGACCATCAAGGCCCCAGTGCTAGACGCGAGTATGAACAAAACCCCAAAGCCCGAAACTCGAAACCCTGCAGCTCGAGCTCGACAGCTCAAGCGGGATTCTAGACCGGCCCTTCAAAATGGCGGTTTGGGGTTTAGGTCTCGGGTAGATGGACAGGAAAGCGCCTTTTGTTGAAGTTCAAGTTCGAGGTGTAAAACCCGCTCTTTGAGGCTGCATATCAACATCTTGTCCTGCTGTCGGGCATGAGCTTGTCGCAACCGCCGGACTTTTCTCAACTCACGGTTCCATGAGCTCTCCGTAACCTGCATGGCTTGGGCCATCTGCGCGATCTCTGTGCATGGGAAGCCTACACTCTGACCGCCGGGATGCCTTGAGCATACGGCAGCCCGAAAGTGCAAGTTGAGAGATTGCTGCTGACTGGTGCTTGAAGCAAAGAGGCGCTGCAAAACACCCCCCGTTTCGCAGACCGCAGGGCGAGGCCTGCGAAATCACTTGCAGTGCATCATCAGCTCCCGCCGCCCTAGCCACCAGCGCTGGCCTCAGATCCTTCCATCGAAAGGCCTTCTTGTTCCTCACTATCACTATCGGATCCTATGTAGAACTCGCCGTGCTGTCTTGCGCTACCGTCCCATCCGTCTCCATACATGTTGTAGTAAAAGCTCTCGAGGAATGGAGATGATGCTTCCGTCAGTGACATCGCGGCTTCCTTCCATGTCCACAGGTTATCACGCAGAGGTTGCACCAGGTACGTCTGACCATGTCGGCGGACATCCTGCGTCACAGTCTGAACCCCAGAGCTCCGTACCGAAGGTGCTTCGGCTTGCTTTCGCTTCAGAACGGCTGACTCTTGTGATGCAGGTGTACCTCGGCAAGCGACTGATTCCGGAGCGATTGCTTGCGTATGTTCATAATCCATCATCTGGAGTGTCCTCCTGCCTCCCCCCGGCACACCTCGTTCTCGTCCAACATTCAATCTCACGCTGTCTATGTCGCCATTGCCCACCACCCCTGTCTCAGCGTGAGCCACAAGGCTCTTAACCTGTTGAAGTTCAAGTTCGAGGTGTAAAACCCGCTCTTTGAGGCTGCATATCAACATCTTGTCCTGCTGTCGGGCATGAGCTTGTCGCAACCGCCGGACTTTTCTCAACTCACGGTTCCATGAGCTCTCCGTAACCTGCATGGCTTGGGCCATCTGCGCGATCTCTGTGCATGGGAAGCCTACACTCTGACCGCCGGGATGCCTTGAGCATACGGCAGCCCGAAAGTGCAAGTTGAGAGATTGCTGCTGACTGGTGCTTGAAGCAAAGAGGCGCTGCAAAACACCTTTAAAGCATCCAAGCTTTGGGGCTTCTCAAGTTGAGGAATCTGAGGGGTGGGTTTCGGAGCCCGCTGTGCACCCAACCTGAACCCCAACCTGTTAACCCCTCTTCACACCTATCGAAGCGTAGACCCTAAAGCCCTACAAAGCCCAGCCCTATAAACCCTACGCTACATTCTGCGACTTTTGTCCCAGCCCCGAAGCCCGAACACTTTAAACCCCGAAGCCAGAAACCCTAGAAGCTTGAAACCCGAATCAGAACCTCAACCCAAAAACGCAAAAAAAAAAAAACCTTTAAAACTCCAGGCTAAACCATCCATAAACCTCACAATAACCCAAACTGCAAAAGCTGCTCCTTCAACAAGCCTCTAAACCTCAAGGCAAAAAGCCTTCAACGACACGCACATAACTTTGAAGCCCTCTAATCCCCCAACCCTAAACCCTACATCATCAATCCTCAATCCTGAAAACTCTGAACTGGAAAACCCTGAATCCGAGACCCCCTGAACCCTAAACCCGAACCTCCAAGGTGAAGCTGCTCCCCGGCCAAGGTGCGGATGCTCGGCAGCGCAGCTGTCGGGATGCCCAGCTCGCGGCAGACGGTCTGGAGCGCTTGGGGTGTTATGGGGCGGGTGGCCGCTGTAACGGAAACTAAAACAGGTTGTAACGGAAACAAACGGCAAAATGTAGCGGAAAGCAAAAAGATGTAACGGAAACAACGGCCCGGCGAGTCGAAACAATGCGCGGCTGTAACGGAAACCAAGCAAAACTGCAACGGAAACCAAAAAGAGATGTAACCGAAATCACGGAAAACTTAAACCGAAACCTACAAAAACCGGCTACGGAAAGGCGCACCAGAAGGGCACGGCTCTTTTTTTTGGGCGTAACAGAAACTACCTGCCTAAGCGAGAAACTACAGCCACAGGAAGGATTAGGTGCCACGGACTAGCTCTGGGGCCACGGTATTCTACGCTGCCGGAAGCTAGCCAGCTCCAAGCCAAAGCCATGTACCCGGACCCCTTCGCTTGTTGCCGAGAATTCCAAAAACACTCAAGCCTGAAGCGAATAAAACCTAAAAGCCGAAGTTCCATTCTAAACACTGAAGCCTAAACCAAATAAAGCCTAGAAGCCTGAATTTCCATGGGGGGTGGGGGGGCGAGGGATTCAGATGTTCAGAGTTTGCTGGGCTTCTCTAATCGCGCCGAAGCCTCCACCTTGAATGCTTAACAGCTTCTGGAGTCGGGTGATCCAAGCGACCTTGACCAGCAACACTTGCAACTGCTCAGAAGGCTCAGCAGCAGTAGGACGTCGGCCGGCGCCCACACCATCCCGCGTCACGCAGCAACACTGCTGCTGTAAACCCCGCTGAACTCAAACTGCCGTCGAAGTTTCACCCGACTCCAGAAGCTGTTAAGCATTCAAGGTGGAGGCTTCGGCGCGATTACAGAAGCCCAGCAAACTCTGAACATCTGAATCCCTCCCCCACCCCACCCCCCATGGAAATTCAGGCTTCTAGGCTTTATTTGGTTTAGGCTTCAGTGTTTAGAATGGAACTTCAGGCTTTTAGGTTTTATTCGCTTCAGGCTTGAGTGTTTTTGGAATTCTCGGCAACAAGCGAAGGGGTCCGGGTACATGGCTTTGGCTTGGAGCTGGCTAGCTTCCGGCAGCGTAGAATACCGTGGCCCCAGAGCTAGTCCGTGGCACCCTAATCCTTCCTGTGGCTGTAGTTTCTCGCTTAGGCAGGTAGTTTCTGTTACGCCCCGACGCCGTTTCTGCAACGCCCCGAAGCCAGTTTCCGTCACGCCCTTTCGTAGTTTCTGTGTCGTTTTCAGGGGGGCAGTTTCCGTTACAACCCGCCAATTTCCGTAACACACTTTACTCGTTATGGCTTTTGGCTTTGTCGGGGTTTGGGTGCTTTAGGGCTTTGGGGTTTAGGGGAATCAGGAATTTGCTTTTCGGGTTTAGGCCCAGCCTTGCGCTTCTGGGCACCTTGGATGTTAGAGAACCAAACAGCTCTGGGAGCAGGGGCCCAGTGTCTCAAATCGGCACTAGAGAAGCTCAGTAGCTTGGTGAATGCTTTGGCTACAGCCGTGGACAGCCACGCAAACCACAAGTCTTTAGGGCCATCTGGGCTCAGCTTTCTTCGGTAGCAACCGCCCTGTGTGTCTCTTCCACGGCTGGTCCCTTAAAAAAAAGCCCAGTGCCCTTGACGACCAAGCGTGAGGATTCACCGGCGCGCGGAAAAGCAGTTCTTGTTCCCCTCCCCACTCACCCCCAGGACCTCCGCTTCTCCAGAAGTTTTGGCCGTCCCACACTAGCGTCTCTTGTCGCGTGGACTTGCGCTTGCCCCGACACAAGTCTTGAGCCAGTTGTGACCCACTGTAGGCAACCGTACCCTGTCCAAGTCCCCGCACTCTGATCATCCCCTGCACGCGCTTCGTCTGATGGGTTTGCCATGCGCATGTCCGTCCAAAACTCATCAAAATTCCGTTTGCCACCGCCTTCAGAACTCGAATACGCATATTAGAAACACAGCGCGTGCACCCTGCCACGTTCGCACCCAAAGCCAAGCACCCGAGACGTCTGCATGTTCACCTGTATCGGAGCTGATTTATTCAATGTCGAGTCGAGCATGTTCCGGGCAGGTTCCGGGGACTGGCGGCTTAGAGTTTTTAATTGCTGGCACTGTAAACCATCGGAAAAACATGAAAAAATTATCCTCTTAAACCCAGCAAAGGGAGAATCCGAAACACACAAGGGCCCTCGTAGCTCAGGGTTTAGTGGCTGGGGTTCCGGGGTTTACTACAAGTTCGTGCTTATAGGCGTCCGCACGGGGCGCGGCCGAAGCCTGCCGTGCCTCGTCCCAGGCGCAGGTGTTGATGTTCATCAGCATGTACCTCTAACCCTAAACCCTAAAGCCCTAAACCCTGCTGCAGCCGATTAAGCCCCTCAACCGCGAAGCCCCATGAGCCCTCAAACGCCTCCCCGAAAACCCCGAATGCCGCTAAACTCTGCGCAAACCTTGCACGTTCGAGGGCTGTGGGTTCAGGGAAGCTTCTGCTTGAACCCCACGTGTCCTGAACCCAAGCCCTCATTAAACCCTGAACCCTTGGCCCGAACCCCTGCGCCCAAAACCCAAAACCCCAAACCGGCCCTAAACCCTTAACTCCTGAACCCTCAGGCCCTGTGCTACGCTATTTGTGTGTCTTTTGGGCTCCACTTCGGCTCCAATCCTAAACCCTTATGAGGGAGCCAAAGAAGTGTCATGGTCTTTTGAGGCGGCCTACGTAACATCTATACAGTAGTAGGTATCAGGGGCCGTAGAGCAGGACTCCCTTCGCCCTTCACCCGCCGACCCAAAAACCCCCCCATGTTCCAACACTCCAGGGAACATAGAGAACACGAGGGAACAAAAAACCAACCTTGGGCGCCGCGTGTTTAAGTCGACATACGCCCTAAGGGCTTAGGGCTGAGGGTTTAGGGCGAAGTGTTTGGGGATAGCCCCAATGACCCCAACGACCCCAATAAACCCAAGACGTCCGAGGCCTGGAAGCGTTGGACACGTCCGTGACGTGGACACCGCCGTTGGGGCCGCCCGTGAGCTTGTAGATGATCCTCTCTCTGTCACGGTAAGCATTTGGGGTTGTTAGCGTTTGTAGGATTACTACCTAGGGTTATTAGGATAGTTAGGCTTTCTAGGGCCAGTCAGGATCTTAAGGTCATTAGGGCTACGTACTCGGGCTATTCAGGTCTTAGGGATTAAGACTAAGATTATCAAGTGGCTCAACCCTTCTCTTTCATTTCAGGTCATGAGTGCGTAATAGTACATTCATCGGAGGACCAGTTGCCTCTCAAAGCCCTCCGAAAAGAGCCTCTAAGCGCCCCAAAGACTCTGAGCCCTGCAGATCCTACACCCTACACCCTAGCCCCCTAAGGCCCCGTCACTAAAGAAACCTTTCAAACTAAGGCACTAAAAGTGCCCAACCTTAAGAAATGATTTTAGACAATCCTTTCAGTTGTTTTAATTTAATGATGTACCCTCCACCCCAGAACCCTGAAACCTGATCTTCTTGCCGAGAGGTCCAGGACTCGATGGTGCCGAAGCAGCAGCGGCCCTCGTCCGCGGCCTTCCTGGGGGGGTTCGGGTTTCAGGGTTGTTAAGGGTTTGATAGGGTTGTTGAGGGTGTTTAAGGGTTCTTTAGGGTTTTTAAAGGGTGTTTTTTAGGATTTTAGGGTTTGAGGCTTTAGGCAGGCTCAGGGTTGCCGAAGAAGAGCTCGAAGTGGAGTCGACTATAACCTGATTTCGAGTACAGGTAGGGTTGAGGGGTTTAGGGTTTAGGGTTTAGGGTTTAGGGTTTAGGGTTTAGGGTTTAGGGTTTAGGGCTTAGGGTTTAGGGTTTAGGGTTTAGGTTTAGGGTTACATAACCCCAGCTATATGCTATGGCACTGCCGAAGGATAGGCCGTAGGGTTCTTAGGAGCCAGCAGACCTGGTTTAGGAGTTGGGGAGGGCCTCGCCCCCTGAACCCGAAAAGATGAAGATTTCAGGGGTTAGGGCGGGCTTGTTTCCCTAAACCCTCGAAACGCTTTAAACCCTGTAAACCCCAAAACCCCAAACCCTGTGAACCCTATACCCCCAACAATTGTAGTCTAGGGTTTGGGTTTGGGCTCTGGGGCTCCGAAGGCTCCGCCAAGGCGCCGCACTTCCGGGACATTGTCCAGCATCCACTTCATCCTTGAGAGTTCGGGTTTGGGGCTTGGGGTGGAGGCTTTAGGGTACTGTGGCAGTAGTTGAGGGTTTGGCAAACGACAGGCCTACAACTTCCAACCGAATAAAACTCGTTTACAACAATGACAAACTCCCTCGAAATTTAGGGCGTAAGGCTCAAGAATTTCGGGCCCCGGGTCTGGGCATTTAGGCACAAACCCCGAGTCCCTAAACCTTAAACTCCTAAACCCCCACATAGCCCCTCAAGAGCCTTCAAGAAAACAGAAGCACAGGGAAGACGTGGGCAGCGGACCCCTTGGATCCCTACAGGGTTCAGGGTATAGGGTTCAGGGTATAGTTTGGGCCCAAGGCTCGGGGCTTGGGATTCTGAAGCCCTCAAGACCCCAAAAGAAAAGTGGGGAGCGGCTGCCACCCAAGCGTCTTCACGGCCGAGAAGTACGTGGAGATGGGCAGCCCCGTCTTCTTGCCTGGATTCCCCCCCTTGCAGATCTGCTTGGGGCACCCCAGCTACCCCCTGTCCTGAGTTCCAGGCTTAAGGCCCCCCTAAATATGCCTCAGGCCCAAATTTCACGAAGACCAAGCCCTAAATCCCACACTCTACCACACACTCTACCCAAACCCAAAACCATGAACTTCAGACTCTAACACCCCAAACCAAAGAGTGCGCTGAGCCACGGAAGCGGTCCTTGCCACCCTTGGCCTCCAGCTGGGCCTTGTGGAGGGGTTTGCTTGGGGTTTATGGTTTAGGCGCTGGGGTTGAGGGTTTATAGTTTGGGGTGCCAGGCTAGGGTTTGGGCCTAAGGGCAGAGCCCGTCACCCAGCACCCTCCACCCTTCACGCTACCCCTCAGTATCGGTGACCCCTGGCACGCTCCCGAGGTCTCGACCTCAAAACTAAGCAAAAGCTTCAGGTAGTGTCTCCAGCCCCCTGGCAAATGACGTGCATTCTCGGGTTTAGGGTTCAGGGTCGCAGGGCTTACGGGCTTGGGGTTTCTGGGCCAGAGCAAATGCCCCAACAGCAAACCCTAGGACCGTAAACCCTGAACCTCCTACCCTAAAACCCTTGAAGCCCCAAAGCAAGAAAAACCTGCAAAAGCTAAACCCCCAATCCACGCAGCCCGATGCCTTGGAACCCTGCAGCCCTTCTGAACCGTTTGCCCTACTTCCGAAGACTCTGAGGACCGCCAAACCCTAAGCCCCAAATCCTAAATCCTAAACCTAAACTAAACCCTAAACCTAAACTAAACCCTACACGGCCCCAAACTCTAAACCCCCCTCCCCCCAAAAAAAAGCTGACAGCTGAAGGCCCTGGCCGCAGTGTCGGAGGTCCTAAGATCCAGCCAGACGATGGCGCGGCAGAGGGGCTCGCCGGTGTTCTGCGGGCTCAGATTGGGGCGCAGGAGCGGCTTAAGGGGTTTGAAGGGCTTTGAAGTGATTCAAGGGCTTTTGAGGGCGCTAAGGGCCAACCCAGATCGTGAAAGCCGGACTGGTGTGGATACCTCTTATGGTTCAGGGCCTTGGGGGCTGCAGGCTTAAGTTTCGCGAGCCCTACGCTCAACATCCACAGCTCTAAGCCCTAAAACCGCTTGCAGCTTCCTGGGCAGGCTACCCATGAACCTCCCAAGTAGACAATCCACCGAAAACCCGAAATGCCTCCCCGAACCCTCCCCAAACTCTAAACTCTAAACCCTAAACCCTAATCCCTAAACCCTGCGACCATAACCGTAACCCAAAACCCCAAGCTTTTGGGTTTTGGGATGGTGGCCCCATGCCCCTGTCCAACTCCGAATCCACAAAGCCTGGCGAAGCCTGTGGTTTAGGGTTGCGGGGTTGATGGTTTTGGGCTGAGGGTGGAGGTTTTCGGGTGCAGGGACTCAGGTTTCAGGGGTTTTCAAGTCTGGGTCGAGATTCAGGTTGCAGGGTTCAGCTTAAGGGTTTAGGAATTTCGTGCCTTGTCCCATGCCACGGTCGTCTCCCGCTGATTGGTGATGCCTCTGCAGGGGGTCGGTTTTAAAATAAGGCAACTAAGCAAAAGACCCTAAACACCTGTCAGATTGCTATCAATTGACGCTCCGACATGGTCACTTTTGTGGCTGAAGGCGGCAATGTTTCAAGGTGGTTAGGAACGTATCATGTCCACTGCGTGCTCTACACGTCTTGCTTCAGAAGCTGGAAGCCTATCAAAACTGGAATGAGCACCGCCACCAAATGTCCTACGTGCCAGCACGCGAGCATCCTTCGAATCGGTAGTTCGCGAGACCATGAGCGTAGAAAGTGTGACGCGTTTGCTGTCGGTCAACGTGGGCAAGCGCTCAGTGTGGCGAACACTTCCTCTGTTGGCTGACCGGGAAATATCTGCCCGCAAGTGCTCACCCTCGCTGCCACAAGCGTTGGAGGAGGAGATGACATCAGTGTCTCCAAAAGTATAATAAGTATAATACATATACATGTAGAGGGATCTTGGGGCCGTAACCCAACCCCCTACATCGCAGTTTGGCTTTGGTGCTTAGAAAGAAACTGACTTCATGCCCATGTTACTTGAGGATGCCAATAGTTTGCAAATGCTCTTTTTTTTTGGGGGGGGGGAGGGGAGGGGAGGGGACGAAGGGAATAAGATCTTCGACCCTCTGTCAAGACACTTGCAAGATCATGTGTACGGGCAGGGGCTTGAAGAAGGGCATCCTTGATAACCCCAGCTCCAACTACCCATGAACCACCAGCCACAGTGAAACCCATCGCGCCTATCCCAGCGATGTCGGCTTTGGTTGCACCGGCCTCATCGCCCGCAAGGGAAGCTTTGCAACAAGGAGGCTCCTGTTCCTTAAGCCTTCAAGTGTCGGTTTAGGGTTGACCTGTCGAACGAGAATGTCCATACGGCTTGGTCTCCCCGCGCCCGAAGAAGAAAATTGAACCCTAACCCCCGTTCAGGTCTAGGTACCCGAGACCCCCTTAAAGTGAAGACCCGCAGAAACCTCAAATCCCACCCTCAGACCCCTAAACCCTAAACCCTAAACCCTAAACCCTAAACCCTGAACCCTGAACCCTAAACCCTAAACCCTAAACCCTACACCCTACACCCTAGACAGGCCTTCTTCATGGCACCTTCGGAGCACTCGATGGCAGTCCTGGGCTTCTAGGGTTTTGTAGGGTTCGGGGTTTAGGGTTGTAGGGTTTAGGGGTTAGGGTTTAAGGGTTAAGGGTTAAGGGTTTAGGGTTGTAGGGTTTAGGGGTTAGGGTTTAAGGGTTAAGGGTTAAGGGTTTAGGGTTTAGGGTTTAGGGTTAAGGGTTAAGGGATTAGGGTTTAGGGTTAAGGGTTAAGGGTTTAGGGTTTCGGGTTTAGGGTTTAGGGTTAGGATTTAGGGGTTTAGGTTAGCCCTGTAAGTACTTCTCCTGAACTCTTCCAGGCAAGGCTTGGGGTTAGGGTTGAGGGTTCGGGGTTCGGGGGGCTTGACGCTCTTTGAGGGCCACTTGTGGAGGTTCCGGCACCTGAGACAGTGCTGAAACTGCAGCAGGCCACGAAGCATGGCATGTTTGCACGGGATTTAATGCTGGACGCCAACCCTCGATCCTATAATCCCTCAAATGAGGTCCTCAGGATTTCGACGGGGTCGTGCTCCGTCCACCCCGGCTGCGGGTAGTACCTAAGTCGCTTAGGACGCGCAGCGGGTGACTACTTTCGATATAAGGAGGGGCCCCCCTAGTTATAAGCAGAGTTATAAGGACCCTAAATTGGGTTATAAGGATCCTAACTTAGGTTTTGAGTCCCTTAGCTATAGTTAGTTTAGTAAGGGGGCCCCTCCTTGCAGGGGATCCCGTAGCGATAAGGGTTTCGGGTTTACCAAGTTGAAGCTCGCAGGATCCTCAACCCAGAACTTTGCCAGGGGGGGGCTAAGGGTTCATTTAGGGCTTTCTCGGTCTGTAATGGAAACGTATCGCCTATACATGGGGTGGGAATTTGAAAAAAAAACCTGCCCGGGGGTCCCGGTCCAAGAGCTCTGTCAATCAGCCGAGGTTTCTGCAACTAAGGCGTTCTGGGGATCTTGGGCCCAGAGAAGCCCTGAAGGCTGGCATTTTTCTCTGAAGGCTTCAGCAAAAAGAGATGGCCTCTTAAAACTTGAGGCTTCCCGGGGCCCCTGGGCTCCGAGGATATTGTGTCACCTCAGAGGCCCGTAAGGGGCACCAGTTGGGGGGTTATGAAAGACCCGCCCAAACATTAGGGGCTTAAGGGTTTAGGCTGTCTTTGTGTGAGGAAGGGTTCAGGTTGGAAGGGTGTAGGTTTTGGGGTCTAAGGTTGCTGGTTATGCGATTCCCTAAACCCAAAACCGAAAAAACCTTGAACGGTTGCTCAGGCCATGCGTACCAAATCTACGTTCGTCTGTAGGCCTCAGACGTAGGTTTTCTGTAAGGGTTGGGATTTTTTAGCTCGAAGCCCCTAAACCCCAAAAAAACTCAATTTTTCCCAAGCCCTTGCAAGCCACACCAAGTCTCATACCCCCCACCCTTAACTCTAAACTCTACACCCAAAACCCTAAGCCGGCAATTCAAAGCACCCAATTCCCCAAGCCCCCCAGCGGCCGCCGTGAACCCCCCCGAACCCCTCTCCCATACCATAATTACTTGGAATCCTGGTAACAACCGCGCAAACCCTGAACCTCTATAGCGAGATTTTGCAAGGACCCCCGTAGTTCAAAATCTGAATCGCCTGAAGCGGCAAGCCCACGAACGAGAAGCACCGAGGCCCTAAAACCGTCAACCCACTGAAGCCCAAAAGCCTAAAGCTTTCTTGACTCCTCAAGACCCTAAACCCTAAAAATGCCCAAAAACGCCCCAACTCCCCTAAACCCCCCTCGACTCCCAAACCTCTCGCAAGCATATGTTCCTCCCGGCTGCTGTGGGAACTCCTGCTGCTCCATGAACTTGGGCTGGCCATCCTCGCGCGCTTGTGGAAGAATGATCTTGGCATGTGGGTTTACATGGATTTGGGGGTTTGTTGTTTTTTCCTCACTCGCACTTTCAAGGCGTGAAGATTGAGCACCCGAACTGTTCCATTTCCCCTGGCTTTCGGGCTTAGGATTGGTTTGCCCGCAGCATGGCTCCAACAACCAAAGTAGTTCACGACTTCTAGGTCCCACGCCTATGAGAATATCACGTCGATTCCCAAGTATTGAAATGCATGTCAGAATCTGTCGGGCGAGCTTCTTCAGATCTTCACGGACACTGGAAGCATCGACCCTAAACAAAGCCTCAGCCCCTCGACCCCTCCACCCCTCAAACCTTTCGACGCCCCAACCCTAAATCCCAAACCCTCCCAAACCAAAGGGCGAAATCTCGAAAAACAGGCGACTACTTCGTTTTTGCAGCCACTCTGCCGAAGTCCGACATGCGACGGCCACAGAAAAGGTGCCCATCCCCAATTCGTCGCTTATGCTGGGGGGGGAGCCTAACCCTGAAAACTCTTACTTACGGTCTTGCACGTCTTCTGCCCTTGCGTCCAGCAGGAGACAGATTGGGTTCAGGGCTTTAGGGTCCAGAGGGTTTGAGTTGAGAATCTGGGGCTTTCAGGGTTTGGGGTCTTTGGGGTTTCGGGCTGGCATAGAAACAAATCGACCCTGAACCTGAAACCCTCAACCCACGTAGGTATAGCCGGGGCTCTAGGTACCCGAAATGAGATTGTCCTAGTCTTGCTGGTATCCCTACTAAGGAAACCCTCAAACCCCTGAACCCTAAACCCTAAACCCCAAACTGAACCCTAAACCCTAAACCCTCAACCCTGAACCCTACACCCTGCACCAGCCTTGTCGAAGAGAATGGCCCGAGTGGAGGTGGTCCCCTGCAGCGTAGCAAGCAGCAACCCAGCGTTCAGGGTTCGGGGATAGAAGATATTGATATACCAGTAGTTCAAGCCCACATACAAGAGTTAAAATGTACAATACATGCATACATACATATATATATATATATATGATATGATATGATATGGTATGATATGATATGATAATCTACTTCCAAGGGGGTTTGGGGGGCTAAGGGGTGTGGGTTTGGGCTTTGGAGAGGGGTGGGCAAGTAAACCTTCAAAGCTGCGCATGTGTATGGCATGGCTCAGGGTTTAGGTTTAGGGCATAGGGCATAGGGTTTGGGGTTTAGGGTCTAGGGTTTCGAGTCTAGCGTCTAGGGTTTAGATATTAGGGTTTAAAGGCTTCCCGAACCCCTAAGCTCCAAATCCTTAAACCCGAAGCCGAAATATTGGAGCCTGGTCGATGGAAAGCACGTAGGACGGCGCCATGGCGACGGCGCGCTGCCCAAGCCCGAAAAGAATGTACGGCTTTAAGCCGGGGGTTGAGCTGAATTGTTGGGGGCTTTTGGGGGTCTCTGTAGTTCAGGGTACCAAAACGGCCCATAGTGCAGCCCCGGTAAGAAGGGGGGGACATCTCAGTCACCTAAGGGTTTTAGGGGGTGTGTCGGGTCTTGGGGTGGTAACGATCTCAACACCATGCCAAGAAGCAGACTCAGTCCCCTCTCTGTGCCTGGCGGCTGCTGGTCAGAACAAACCCCTCAGCTCTGTCAACCCCTTCAATCCCAACCTGTTGGAAACCGAAACCCTAAACCACCCAAATCTTACCAGTTTGCGGTCCAAATCTGCAACCTGGCCTGCTTAGGAATGGCTTAGGGTAGGGTTGGGGGTAGGTCTGGGCCGATTAGGGTTGGGGGGTTAGGGTTGGGGGTTGACAGCTGGGTCTAGGTTTTGAGTTGGGGGTTCGGGTTTCTTGGGGAGAAGGTAGGCGGGGAGGCAGCGTTCCCACTCCCTTAAAGAACCCTACACCCGAGCAGGGGGCCCTACAACCCAAGAACAGGCACACATCCCCTCAACCCTGAACCCAGACCAGGAGCAGGAAGCCCATAAGCCCTAAACCCCCTAGTCTGTTTGCTGAGGCCTGAAGTTCTCGCGTCGTCCTTCGCCGTTCTGCGGGAAGCTGTACAAGGGCAGCTCAGCGAAAGGTCTCCCTGGATTTTGGGATGGACAATGGGATGGGACCTTGCGAAACCTCGCAGCTGGATCACGGAGGCTACCACCGCAAACCTCCCTAAACCCTGTAAAAGCCCTAAACCCCTGAAGCCCCTTTAGCCCGAAACCCTCTAAATATCGAACACCTGAAGCCTCTAGACCCACGACATCCTTGCACACCCTGAAGGCCAAAGGCCCCATAGGCCCTACTGCAGGCGCGTACAGAATACTACCCAATAATCCGGAAAATAAGCAGAACGCAATCTACCCACCAGACCCATTCAGACTTCACAAACCCGCTGAACCCAATCAACCCTGTAAACCCCATAAGACCCTGTAAGACCCTGGGCCCTGTAAGCCCCCAAAAACAAACACAAGCCCTATACACCCTATAAACCCTACGCAAACCCACACCTAAACTCCTGTGGGCTCAATTGGGCCCTTCCCCTTCCCACTTTCCCAGAAGTCGGCAGCCAACGGCTTCTTTGCAGCCGGCTCAGGGGTTGCCCTCGGGTCCCCCTGTGGGCCTTTCGGGGACTTTCAGGGGCCTCAAGGGTTTAGGGTTCGAGGGTTTTGGGCTGCAGGGTTTAGGGTCCTAGGGCTTGCTCTTCGGGCTGTTTAGGCGTTTGTTGTTTTGGGCTTTAGGGTTTGGGGCTTGGGGCTTAGCGCGGGTGGTGGTTTTTGAAGGGCCAGACTCAACCCATAAACACCACAAGTCCTCTCAGACAAGACCCATGAAGCCTTCAACGCCCCTCAAGACCCCTTCAAACTCCTTAACAACCCTATGATGTGGCTTAGGGCCCTCACCTTCGGGTCGGTTAAGCTCTGTGCCCTAAATCTTAAACCCTAAACCCCCGTCGCCCCCGACCCAGCTCTTTACACCAGAGCCCCCCAAGACTTGGACAGGTCCCGCGTCAGGGGGCTCGGCAGCGCCAAGACGAATCCAGCAAACTCGTCAGGATGCCCCCAAGGTGTAGGGTTTCGGGTTTAGGGTTTAGGGTTTCGGGTTTAGGGTTTAGGGGTTTAGGGTTCGTGGAACCCCTTGGCTAAGAAACTCAACGAAACACGTCCGGAGGACCCCGAGTCCGGCCTCTCAGGGGTTTAGGGCTTGTTTCGGATTTAGGGGTAAGGGCTTCGGGGTGGCGGATTCAGGGGCAAAGCTTTAGGGGCTTCGGATGCTGGGCAGTTTTCGGGCTAGGGCTTAGGGGGTACGAGTAGGAGCTCGGAGTTTTAGGGTTCAAGGTCCATCCGCTGTGGGCCGTTTCTCGGCGCTGCCAGCTTGCCGGGTCTCTGCCCGAGCCTCGTTGGATACGGTTCCATCGCCGACCATCTGAATTCCTCGCAACTCAGCCCTTAAATCCTGACGCGGCTACCGAGGACTTCGGCTCAGGGTTTAGGGGTTGTATGTTACAGGGCCCTGCATTTGCGCCCTAAACCAAAGCACCCGCTTATCAGGGCTGGGGATCAGTTTACTCCAGCAATCCAGCAAGAAAGGAGGGAATAGAAAGGTTGAGTTTCACTTTGTCCTACACATACGAAGTTTTCGGTTCAGGGTTCAGAGCGTCGACGACAGTCTAGGGTTCAGTGTCGAGAGAAAAACCCTCAGCCCTAAGCCCTAAACTGATGGCCGGCGACGGGTCTATGCCATGCTCTGTGCCCCAGCTCTCAGGCACGGAACTTTGGGTGAGAGGTTGTACATTGCAAAGAGGGTTCCGGGTTCACCCTCCCTGAACCCTAACCCTAAACCCGTGACCCTGTACCCTAAACTTACAAAAGCCACCCGTCTGCCCCTGCCCCCCATTCCCCTCCCCCTTTCGAACAGAAGTTCCAATCAACCAAGAAACTCAGCCGTGGGCCCCCTAAACTCTTAGAAAACCCTAAGCCCTAAGCTTAAAAGCCCAAACCCACAAAACCGAAGCCCGAAGCTCTCAATCCCAAACCCTCTCCCCCGCTTTCCATCCTGCGACCAGGGCTGAAACCTGGACTTCTGCCAGGCACGCCATCCACAATACACATGAGTGCCGCCGCAGGGCGTGGCGGCGCCATAGGGGCTTGAGGGCTCAGGATATTGCGGGTCTGAAGCGATCACAAGGGCTGGTTTTACAGGGCTTGTGAGGTCCACAGGGCTATAAGGCTCAGGGATAAGATTCTGGGTGATTGAAAAAGAAATTGTAATGTGTATGTTACTGTATGTTCATACAAAGGGAAAAACTCAATACCGATAGCAGTACAACATCAAACAGTTACTTCCTAGCACGACATTGCGACCGAGTCCCTACATATATGTATATATATACAGAACACATTCCTTAACAAAACACATTCCTTTAAACCAGATGATGCTGATGGAATATGTTAAAGGTGTAGGATTGGGGTTTTACTGTTACAGCCCCTCATCCCTTTCTGTGCACCGCTCTTCGGCAACTCTACTAAGCAGCCGCCGGCCGCCGGCTTGTGTTTGCTTTGTGTTGCTGCGGCCCGCCGTTTAAACGGAGCGTCCCCCACGTCCTTTCAGGCTCTGAGACCCGAAGCCCTAACGACTCGCACACGGAACCCTTAAAAAAGCAGACACTCCCATTAACACCCCCTAGATCTCCACGAGCCCCTCTTGCCACAAGTCCGGACGCCCACGTTCCGAAGCCCAACTTGCAGGGTTTGGGAACTGCGGTTTTTCAAGGGGCGGGGAGACGCTCCCCCGAAAGTGGGCGGACATTCCGCTCCCCGGAAGTGGCCGCCCAAGCTCCATGCGGCACGCTGGGTAAAAGGAGGGCCGGGTGCCTCTCAAGGTGTGCTTCTGTACCTATCTTTAACAACAAATTGGGTTATCTGTAGCTAGATCCCTTCGGGGAAGGACTCCTTTGGACTGGGTATTCGGGCTCGGAACGCCCTGCTGCATGCAAAACACAGCTAGCAGACCCAGGTGGAGAGTTTATGTCCTGAATTGGGGAGGGCTCCAATTCAGGAAATGGGTTTAGGGCTTTTTAGTGTTTAGGGTTTGGAGTTTAGGGTTTAGATCCCTCAGTCCCCACTAAGAACCACCTATGCCCGCAACCCATCTCCCACAGTCTCTGTTACTAACTCCCCAAGCCTTAAAATCCAAGCCCCTATCTTGGAACTTGCTGAGTGCCCCGTGCGCTCCAACAGTACCAGCAGGTGCCAATTCCCTACACAGTAAGCATGTAGCCACAGAACTGCTAAGCATGCGCCTAACCTATCTAACCTTGACCCTGAGCAACCCTAAGGAACCCTTATTTCTTGATCTCAAGTCTCTCATGGTAGCTCCAGCCACGACTCAGACTCTGTCTGAGGAGGAGGTGTTGGTGGAGGTCCTGCCGATGGAGGAACCTTGCGGCATTGACACGGCCGATTCCACTTTTCAAGGTCCGGATTGAAGTTCACTAGTGTAGGGCCTGAGAAGGATTTGACTTTAGGCCGTGGCCCCCAAGCTAAGATTCCCTCATAACATGCTTTTGTGCCGAGGCCAGGCAATCAAACTTCAAAGGGGGTAGTCCAGTAGCTGCCCGAATGCCGTATAATATAAAACGTTTGGTCCCCCGGAAATATATATGTTTTTGCGGGCTGGCTTGGTTGGGATAGATGGATCCCCTTTAAATTCATATAAACTCATCCCTTTAAATCATGTGGATCCCTTTTAAAATCCTTTGGATCTCGTTTAAATTCATATAACTTCATCCCTTTTAAAATCGTCTGGATCCCTTTAAATTTAATACAAGCTCATCCCGTTTAAAATCATAAAAGCCAGACCCCCCCCCCAAATGCCCCCGCCCCCCACACTGAACAGGGGGATCCGTTGTTGAGGGGGGGGGGGGCCACGAAACCCCAAATCCTCAACTCTAAACCCTAAACCCCTAAAGCCTCAACCCCCAAACCCCTAAAACCCTAAACCCCAAAACCCCAAAACCCCGCGAAAAACCGCCATGGCGCGCCTGAGCCCAGGTGCCAGCCGTAGGTGCCTGAGACATGTCAAGGTTTTGCGGCCCTAGGGCTTCGAACCCCCCTCCAGACAAGCCCCTAAGCCCACACCCGAGACCCTGCAAACCCTAGAGCCCCCCCCCCCCCCCCCAGAGCCAAGCGCCTAAACCAAAAGCCCTAAAGCCCTGAAACCTAAAACCGCCAAAATCCTAAAACCCTGAAGACCCTGGACACACGTTTTCACCGGATGAGCTCAATTAGGTCTTGGGGTCTCGCCGAAGTCTTGAGTCCTCAATACGATGCCAGTTGGGTTCAAGAGTTTAGGGTTTAGAGGCTTCTAAATGGGGGCTTAGGGGCTTGGTCTAGGAGTTTAGGAGTCTACGGGGTCCCGTTGTGCCGAGAGGCTCACGCGGTGCACGATGCGCCCGACCTGCTGCGCCACTCCCAGGCCGTCCGTGAACTTGCTGAGGAGACCTTGCGGTGGTAAAGGTTGTGCAGCCCGTTAGAGGTCTTTGGGTTTACAGGGCTATGAGAGCTTCCGGGGGTTTATAGGTTCTATGGCTTCTGTTAGGGGTCTCACGGGGTTTCTTGAGGAAATACAGGGCGTTAGCTTTTAGCCTGTTGGGCTTATAGGCTTAGGGGTTTCAGGTAGCGTTTCAAGTCTCTCTGACACACAAGTGTTTCGATTGCACACGCACCAAACCTCCAAAACCCCAAGCCCCCAAATCCTTTGTTCCAGCCTGACTCCTAAACAATGTTGGGCCCATTCATTAGAAGGGTGATTTCGGGCAGCGCATGAACAGTTCTATAGCTAGGCATGAAAACGGGCATTCTCAAACCCTGACCCCGAAAACTCGAAACCAAAATCACTTCGGCCCCTGTCTTATGGATACTGTGCTCAAGAGGCTGCTCTGCTTCTTTGGGCGGGGCCTCCCTAATGAACCCTGCTCTGAGCTACGATTGCAAAATGCAGTGCATCTTGCTGTGTGCCTGAGAGTGTAAATTATGGTATGGGTCATCGCGTGCACTATAGCACCCATTCTCGTTCATGACACTGGATGCTGTTCCAGATCTCTTCAAGAGTGTTTCAACAGACAAAACATCTTTAGCCTAAACTACTTTGTTATGCCTACAACATACGGTTCCCAAAGAGGATTTGTGTTTGATTACTGGCTACCTAAAACCCTAAACCTTAAAACCTAAGCCCTGCCTTCCGTACCGAAGATGGCAAACTGCAATGCGGCGTTGAACTGGTCGAAGTCCTCGATGTTGCTGAGGATCATGGCTTTATCCTGGCTTCAAGAGCTTCCAGGGCTCAGAGGGTTTTAGGGGAGGGGAGGGGGGGGGTAGGGCTGGCGTTATCCTATTTTCAAGGGTTCAGGGACTTGATTGAGACTATCGCAAGTCTGCCCTCTCCACAAATCCCTAGACCCTCAAGCCCCGATCCCAACGCCGGACCTGATAACAACCTTCAAAACTCAACTGAACCGCTAAATCGAAACCCTCCCAAAACCCTAAACCCCAAAACCCTCAAAACCCTCAAAACCCCCAAAACCCACAAAACCCCAAATCGGCCTAAGCTCCAAAACCCCCCCAAAAACCCCAAACCCCCAAAACACCCCCAGAAACACCTCAAAACCCCCCCCCCCCCCCCCCCCCCCCCCCCCCCCCTTGGCTTTCGCGCCTCCGGCCGCGTGGCCTGGCAGTGGCGCACATCGATGGAGGAGAGCCGCTGGTAGTTGCAGTCCAGGGTCTCCTGGGAGTGGAGCCTGGGCTGGTTCATGAGGATTTAGCGCTTTGAGTTGAGGGTGTAGGGTTTAGGGTTTAGGGTTTAGGGTTTAGGGTTTAGGGTGACTTGGCATGGTGGCTTTGGGCTTCTGGGGGAATAAGGGTTTAGGGTTGAGATCTTTCGTGATTTCTGAGGGGGCGCTTCATTGGGGCTTGCCCCTAAACCCACTCTAAACCCCCCAAGCAACCCCGTCAACCCCCAAACCTGCGACTCCGGTACAACTCCTGCACCCTAAACCCTAAAGCACCCCAACAACAACCCCTGAACCCCCTAAACCGGGGAGCAGAATGCGCTGGCTGATGTCCGACATCCCCGCCTCCACAACCTCCGCAATACACCACCTCGGCTTAGGGTTTGGGATCTTGGGCCCGGAATGTAGGGTTGGGGTTCAGGGTACAGGGTCTGGAGTTGACGCCGCCAAGCAAAACCTAGAGTTCAGAGCAATGGTAAGAAAAACGCACGAAGGCACTTATGACCTCATCCCTCGCACATTTCGCATGATACCGCATCACATCACTTACGTGTGCCACCAAAAACCCCAAACCCAAAGCCCAGGCACGCTCGCGTGAACACCTCGAAGTTTGTGTCGGCCACCACCAGGTGGGAGAAGCCCCGGAGCGTGCGGTTGAGATGCCGCATCATGGCATCCTCGGCTCAATGGCTTCTAATATCCCCTCCCTTAAGGGGCTGGGGTTGGTTTAGGGTTTAGGGTTTAGGGTCTAGGGTTTAGGGTTTTGCGTTTAGGGTTTACAATAGGGTTAGGGTTCAGGCGATCATGTACGGTAATATACAACAGGTAGGTAGGTTTTGACCTTGAAGGGCAATGGTTAATCTCTGGGGCAGGGGTTCGGGGGAAGGGATGAAGGGATACGGTTCAGGGTGTGGCCTTGAGGGTTCTTTGTCCGGGGTCAGAACCTCCTCCACTAAACCCTACTTGCGCCCGATGGCTTGCACTTCCAACACGTCTTTCTACGTCTCCAAGTCTGGCTTCTTTGGGGCTCATGGTTTTGGACCTCGTCTGCACCTGCTCCGCCACCCGTACGGCAATGAGATGCACGACCATCATGTAAACCCTAAAGCCAAACAAACCAAAACGCTAAACCCTTAACCCGAGCCAACCCTAAACCCTTAAACCCAAAACCTACGCGCTGGGTCACAGGATCTCAAGGACACGTATAAGTTTGGTGTTTAGGAAGGGATCCCCTAACATAAGGGACCATTTAGGTATAACAGGGCCTAGAAAGCTTGCTTTGCCCTCTTCAGTCTGGGGATCCCTTTTGGGCTCCTCCCCTGAAGATCCTAAACGCCAAGCCCTAAAACCTAACGAAGCAACCCGCAACCCCAATGCCGAAACCCATCTTGTTTGGGATCGTATGGAGGTCGGCCAGGCGGCAAACTTGTTCATCTCGCAGAGCGCCGGCTCGTCGTGGTTGTAAAACCTGCTTGTTTCCGGGTCTAAGGTTTTCGGCCTACAGTCTAGGGTTAGGATTTAGGGCTTTAAGGATTCAAAGTTCAAGGGTTTAAGGTTCAGGGTACCCCAAAGATCCTCATAGGCGAACACACCCGCCGAACTCTTAGAACTTGGAGGCTCCAACAAACCTTAGACTCTCGACCAGTAGGTTCCCTGAATTTGGGCTCCATTTTGTGTACCTACGATAGCGTGGGCCCTTATGCTCCCATAAATTGACTGTAGTTTGGAGAACTGCCCAACCAAGAGAACTACCCTAAACCCTTCACCCAATTCTACGGCAAAACTTAGGTTATGCTGTTGCCACATGGAAACCATGCTATTGGCTGCCGGTATAGCTCCCCTACGGCAATCTATTTCAAGGTCCCTCAACACCAAGACCCAAGATGCTCACCCTCCCCCCTGCTACCATCGTGGCTTCATTTACGTTCCGAATCCTAACAGCCAGGATAAAGGCCAGGGACCTCGGCTCGTTGCACGTGCAGGGCGCATACCTGGGGGGAGGATTTAGGGCTCAGGGTCTCGGAGTTGGAGGCTTTAGGGTTTAAGGGTTGAGGACTGCAAGGAGTCAGAGGAATTAGGGTGTTTCCCAGTTTGATTAATAATAGTTGTTGGGCGCCAAAAGACCCAGCGAAATACGCACTGTTTTTTTGGGGCTAGTTGCTTCCATTTGTTCATTTGCAACCTTAATTTCTTTCATGCGGTTCACTCGCTACGTTCTCTCTTCGCTTTGTTCACTTCTTTGTACTGGGCTTTCTTGTTCAGTTCACTTCTTTCTTGTGATCTTACCTTATGAACTACACTCCCGTCCAGTAGGATGTCCTCAGTCTCCAGTCCCGATAATCACAGTAAGACAAGCCACTGCTATTAGAACTCTACTTCATGAGCCCCCCCGAAACCCTAAGCCCCCAAAAACTGCAACCGAAGTCAAGTGGCAGCTCCCCCGTCACCGTGTCGCGCCGTTTGGAGTCCCATTCCTACGGCTTCAGCTCGGGGAGAGCAGAGCAGAGGGCTAGGGTCTCGAGCGGTTTCGGGCCATGCTGTTGCGATTCTCCGATATTGTAAGAAAGGAGATTAGCGCATCTCGGATATTTGGTCTCCCGGGAGAGGGAAGGGGGGGGTCCTAAGGCTTAAGGGCTTTTGGAGTTTAGGCTCTAGGGCGGTTAAGGCTCAAGAGAAAAATAACTTTTGTAAGGACTTTTGGGGTTCAGGGTCTATGAAGTTTGAGCGTCTGTGGTTGAGGGCCACGGATCAGCTACTGTCCAACAACTCTAGAGCGCGCAGGGTAGTTCCGCATCAGCTGCCTGGAAGTGGTGCATACGAACCTCCAAGTCCCCCACACCCACCCAAAGCCCTCTTAACTGGTGACCTACTGTAAAGCCCCTTTGAGGAAACTCTCAACAACCTCCCTAAACCCGCCCCAACCACCCTGAGCCCCAAAAGCCTAAAACCCCCAACCCGCGCGAAAAGCTCCCGGAAGTCGGCTTCGCCCTCCGGGGGCCGGCCGAAGTTGTCGCCTGGGGGGCACTTGGGGCGCAGAGGGTCCCTATGCTGGCTCTGCGGGTTTGGGGTTCAGGGTTTCGGGCTTAGGGCTTAGGGTTTAGGGTTGAGGCTTTAGGGTTTGGGGCTGAGGGCTTAGGGTTGTGGGGTTTAAGTTTTCCGGCCTTAGGGCAGTCTAGGCAAATGGCGAGCAAAGTGCAAAACTCTTCAGCCGTAGCGAACAAGACAGACCTTACAAGAGGGTAGTGTGGGTCCCAACGTACACGGGATCTTGAGTGACCTGCAAATCCCTAGGCCCAGAAGACTTAAAACCCTCCGATCGAAACCTCCTACAATGCCAAGCCCAAACCCTTGACCTCCTCAACGCGCAGCCTGCAAGGACCCCCCTCCCCGATTTAAATCTTATTTGGCACCCGAGGCCCGAAAACGAAGCAGGTGGCAGATGCACGCATGCTGGTTGACAGCGAAGGCGCAGACCTGAGTTGGGTAGGGAGGGTCAAGCTGTCGATTGGGGCAGCAGGCCTGGAGTCTTCGGGGCTTTATACTGTCTCTAGGACTTCAGGGTTTTCGGGTTTGTGGGATTTTGGTTGGTTGATTCAGCCATGTAACTGCTTCCCCAAACACTTCCCAGCAGAGATCAAGCGGATGAACTAGGGGACGAAAGCAGGAGACCTTTACCCCTGTGCCTAAGCCCTGAAGGGTCTTAAGCCCAAAAGCACTCCCCTGAACACTGAACCCCAGACACCTTGAAAGCCCTGAATCCTAGACCCCTCCGAAGCCCTGAGACCTTAGACCCCTCGACACCCCCACAATCCCCTCAACGCTGCCACCCTGAGGTCGTTGGAGCCCAGGTTCCCAATAGGTTTTGCCTGCGCACTCGGGCCGCTCCTCCCGAAGGCTGTTCGGGTCTGGGGAGTGAGGGGTGGGCTGAGGCTCGGGCTTCGGCCTCATGAAGTTCAGGGTTCAGGGCAGAGGGCTTTAGGGTTTACAGTTTATAGGGCTTGGTGTTTAGAGATGCCCCAAGCACAGAACAATCAACAACATCGATTCTTCGGGCCTCTCGATCCCGCACTCTCCTTTGAACCTTGATACACCAACTTGTTCATGCTCCCACCACATACGAAGATCTTGTCCTAGCCAGACTAGAGCTACCCCTTAGCCAGACTACAGTTACCCTAAACCACATGGATCCTTACTAGGCCAGGCCCCATTGGAACCCTATAAACCCCTAAACCCTTAACCCCAAAACTCGCAAACCCCTGGACCTCGTAAAAAAACTCTGTCGCTACGCAACTCTTCAAGCCCCCCTAAGTCTAAACACCCCCCCACACCCCAAACCCCCTAAAACCCTAAACCCCGCCCCCTAGACTCCTAAACTCCCTAAGCCCCTAGACCCGAAACCCTAAACCCGATACCCTAAACCCCAAACCCAAACCCCAAACCCTAAACCCCAAACCCTAAACCCCAAACCCTAAACCCCTCAAGGGAGATCCCCAGGATGCTCCAGCAGCTTTGATTCCAGCAGCTGCATCGCCTCGCCGCCCGCGGCCAGCGACGCTGCGATGTCTGGAGGCTTGGAGGGTTTTTGCAGGTGGCTTTTGTAGGGGTTTTTGTAGGGGTTTGTGGAGTTGGTAGGGTTTTGTAGGGCTCTTGTAATCGGGTTTTTATTGGCTGTTGTCGGGCTTTTGTAGGGGGTTTCGAGAGTTTGTAGGGTTTTGCAGGGCTTTGTAGGGGTTTCATAGAATTTGTAGGGCTCGAAGGGTATTATTGGCTTTTGTAGGGCTGCAGGGGTTTCTAGAGTTTGTGGGGCTTCATCGGGATCTATTGGCTTTTGGAGGGCTATACAGTTTTTAGGGTTTAGGAGGGTTTTATAGGCTTTTGCAGAGCATTTGTAGGTGTTGAACGAGTTTTTGCAAGGATGATATATTGGGTGAAATTGCTGGGATCTTTTTTCCGTAGCTTTTTTCCATTTCTTTTTGTATTTTTCTTCTGGCTTGCTGGTCGGGAACCTCTTGGCTTCCCCCCTCTGTCGAGGGGGTACTGAGCCCTCCCCTATAAACCCTATATACCCAGGGTTTAGGGTTTAGGGTTTAGGGTTAAGGGTTTGGGGTTTAGGGTTTAGGGTGTAGGGTTTAGGGTGTAGGGTTTAGGGTTTAGGTTTTAGGGTTTAGCTTAAAAAAGCGGGGGGGTTGGGGTGGGGGGGGGGGGGGGGGGGGGGGGGGGCAGCCCCCCCCCATTTGCAAACTCAATGCTTGCATGATGAGTTTGCTTGCATGATGGGTTTCAAGATTCACATGCTTTGAAAGAAGCTAAAAGCGGGGGGGTTGGGTTAGGGTTTAGGGTTTAGGGTTTAGGGTTTAGGGTTTAGGGTTTAGGGTTAGGGTTAGGGTTAGGGTTAGGGTTTAGGGTTTAGGGTTTAGGTTTTTAGGGTTTAGGCTTAAAAAAGGGGGGGTTGGGGGGGGGGGGGGGGGGGGGGCCAGCCAAGCGGGGGGGGTTGGGGGGGGGGCGCAGCCCCCCCCCCCCATTTGCAAACTGAATGCTTGCATGATGAGTTTGCTTGCATGATGGGTTTCAAGATTCACATGCTTTGAAAGAAGCTAAAAAGCGGGGGGGTTGGGTTTAGGGTTTAGGGTTTAGGGTTTCGGGTTTCGGGTTTAGGGTTTAGGGTTTAGGGTTTAGGGTTTAGGGTTTAGGGTTTAGGGTTTAGGGTTTAGGGTTTAGGGTTAAGGGTTTAGGGTTTAGGGTTTAGGGTGTAGGGTTTAGGGTGTAGGGTTTAGGGTTTAGGTTTTAGGGTTTAGCTTAAAAAAGCGGGGGGGTTGGGGGGGGGGGGGGGCGCAGCCCAAGCGGGGGGGGCTGGCTTGTTTGCTTGCTTGCTTGCTTGCTGGCCCGCTTGCTCGCTTGCTTGCTTGCTTGCTTGTTTGCTTGCTTGCTTGATTGCTTGCTTGCTGGTACCGTTGCTTGTTTTCCTTGCTTGCTTGCTGGCTCGCTTGCTTACTTGCTTGCTTGCTTGCTTGCTGGGCCAGACGGCCGGAAAAAAACTACAAAAAATAACAGAAAAAAAACACGGAAAAAACACCGCCACCGGGTGAAATTGGAGGGCTTGGAAGGTTTATAGGGCGGGTTCTAGGCTCTTCAAGGGAGTCAGGGGTTTAAGGTTTTGGAGTGCATAAAAGCTTGTGAGTTTAGGAATTAGTTGGCAGGGCTCAGGGATGCTACCCGCGAGTTTTTGGCTTTCTGCTCCGCGTGATTCTGTGACTGCGTCCATCTCTGCGACTTTGTTGCTGACATGCAGCAGCAGAGACTACTCCATGTGTCTCCATGTGGTTCTCTGCATATCGTGATGGATGATGGATGGATGGATGGATGGCGTGATGGATTTCGTTCCGCAAAGCATATGAATATATGGGAGGGGAGGGAGTGAGGTATTCGGAGAGAGGCCACGGCAAGATATCTTGGGGCAGGATGGGGGGGGAAGGGGGAGGGGGCAGGAATAGAAGCCGAATTTCATCCATGCATCATCGATAACGAAGAATCTTCCCGAAGACGACCTCCGCTGAAAAACCCTCCCTTTCGGGAAAAACCCTATAAGCCCCATAAACCCTGTAAACCCTCCAAAGCTTCGGAGCGCCCAGCCTGCGTAGTACCGCTCGCCGAGGGAGTCCGCGATGATGGCGGCCACGAGGTGCAGGAAGAGGTTGGACCAGTTGTGGGTGACCATGCCTTGCACTGCACAGGGGTTTTAGGGGTGCTGGTTGGGATGCTCCCCCTTATACTAACAGTCCTTAATAGGGATTATAGTACCCCCTGCGATGGTCCCCCTTGGGATCATTGTGTAGTCAAGGTGCAGGGGCTTATGGTTTATAGGGTTTTCGGTTAGGGTGACCCTGAGGACCCTGAATCTTTAAGCAAAATCTGCACCCCACAGCCATGAGGACGTGGTGCGCCGAGAAGGGACTCAGTGCTCTGCTGGAGAGAAAGATGTGCGGAATTCAGTAGCGACCCTGAAATCTTAAGAGACATTAGCTCGGGGCTGTCTCGATGGGTTTGAAACAACTCCCCTTTTCCGTGGTTTGTTCCGAAACCGGAACCCCCGAATCCTAACTGGTGTTTCCCTTTGCCTTGGGATCCTGGGCTTGGGGCTTGAGGGCTTAAGGGTTTAGGGGTTAACTCTGAACCCTCCCTCCAAAGTGGTTTGGCGTTCCCTGTGGTTCCCTGTGGTTCCCTGTGGTTCCCTGTGGTTCCCTGTGGTTCCCTGTGGTTCCCTGTGGTTCCCTGTGGTTCCCTGTGGTTCCCTGTGGTTCCCTGTGGTTCCCTGTGGTTCCCTGTGGTTCCTTGTGGGGCTTCTGATTCAGCGGGCAGACCACACCCTTCAAAAAACACACACTAGACAAAGCCGAAGCCCTACACCCTAAACACTGAAGTCCTCGACCCTGTTCCATTCTCTGCCATGTGGCACTGAGCCGGCATGTCGAACCCCTTCGCCCAGATTGAGGACATGGCACGTCCTGGTCTTCACAAACCTTCCACACAAGCCCCTCAACTCTAAACACGAACTCCCAACCTTCTCCTCCCCCAACAGCTAAGCTGGAAAGCTGCAGAGGTGCAACTGGAGCTTTCTTCCAAGTCAACGCTTTAAGTTCAACGTTCAGGCAAAGCGAACCCCCCCCAGAACAAAGGGGCGCTCTGCCTTCCCTCCACACCCCCCCCCCTCCCCCTCCCCCAGCGCCGCCGCCCGACGTCCGACATGCTTCCCTGGTTTTGGTGCTGGGTTCCTCCTTCACCCTGGCGCGTCAGCGGGATGATGGCCTGGGCCGATCAGGGCCAACACCCAAATATAAGGGGGGAGGGGGGTCATGAGTGAGGCATTTTGAGTAGATAGTACAAGCGTATAGCGGTTGCAAAGGGATGATCTTAAGCCTAAACCCTACTGGCCCTCGCAAGGCTCGGGCGGGAATGTCAGGTCCTTCGTTGGGGAAGCTGGCCTGAACCCCAGCCTAAATGTTCCAAAGTCCTTAAATCTTAGGGTTTAGGGTTAGGTTTAGGGTTTAGACTGAGAGGTACTGGTGGTTTCGGCTGAAGGCTTACAGGAATTGCATCGGGACGTGGGTTTCACAGATCAAAGCTACGAGCATACTTGTGCCCTGAACCCGAAAAACAACACATACCTCTAGCCCTCATGCCCTGCAGAACACCCGAAAGTCTAAACCCTCTGTAGCGATGGGTGTAGAGTTGAACAACACATATCCTTTTCTAGGTACCTACTCCCCACGAACGCGCACCAGTGAGAGAAACGCAACAACTTCTCGGTGGCACCTGGCGGACGACATCGTTCGTCGTGGATCTGAAGGGGTCGAAGCTGGGCATGACCTGATGCAGATGCGGCTTGCGGTGTTCGTAGGGCTTTCGGAGATTTTGGGGCTTTCGGAGACATTTCGGGCTTTAGGGCTGTCGGGCGAGGTTCAGAAGTTCAGGAAGTAGATTTAGGGTACACCCGTGGTTTAGGGTACCTGTTGTACACACGGGCCCTTTTATCGAAGGACTCGGATGTAGAGAAATGCCACATCCACTTCAGATTGGGGCCTCCGACCCTAAAGCCCCCTTAAGCCCACCTTGTCCTCCATCAACTGCCGCCAGAAGCCCAGCAAGGAGAGCCTGTCATGAAGAGCCCCGCATCTGCGCTTGAGCAGCTCATGAAGAGCTAGGCTTTACGGTAGGTTTTTAAGTTTGTGGATTCGGGGTTCAGGGGTTTGGGGTTTTTGAGGTTTAGGGGTTGAAGGGTTGGAGGTTGAGGAGTTTAGGGGTTTAGGGTGAACGCTGGTGCAGCCTTGGGGAACCCTCCGGCCCTGTGCTATCTGCAACTTTGCCGAAGGTTGAAGCACACACACACACACATACACACACACACACACACACACACACACACACATCCTCCTTGGAGTAATCCTCGCACGGCACCTGTCTGCCCCTAACTCCCGAACCCCCGGAACCCTAAGCTAATCTTCCAAATCAGTCCCTCCGCCAAAAAAACCTTGCTCCCTTCCACCCTCAAGACCCCCCAAATCCTTGAACCCCTCGAGCCCCCAACATTAGGGGCTTAAGGGTTTAAGGGTTCCGGGTGTTTTCGGGCCGTTTTAACCCTTTGAACCCTTTAAAACCCCTGAGCTCTGATTCAAATCCAGCCGGGCTGACACAGTCACACCTCGATTTCCGAGCTCCTGCACCTGCACGCCTAAACACTAAACCCTAAACCCTAAACCCTAAACCCTAAACCCTACACCCAACACCCCTCCCTTAAACCCCCAAAACCCCAAACCCTAAACCCCAAACCTCAATCCCCAAACCCTAAGCCTTGGAGGGGGCCGGGCTAATTTGAGTGGGCTTAAGGACTCAAAAGGATGTTTAAGGGCTTCAGGATGTTGTGGGTTGACGACTTTAAGCGTCTCACGGGGGGCGAGGCAGCGACCCAGATATCAAATCCCGGCAAAGAAGCAGATTCCGAAGGGTAAGATTTAAGTTTTCGGGGTTCAGGGGTTTACAGGTTTGCGGAGTATGGGCTTGCGGACATAGGGTCTACGGGTGCTGGGGCCTCACAAGGTCTGGCGTTTGGTCTAGAGTTCGGGGATCAGGGTTTGGGGTTTACAGGCTTCTGGAAATTTGGATGCAAGACGGAAGCGAACCGACAGCGGCCCCATTTCGCTAATCAACTCATGCACATCTAAGAAACCTCGCGAAGCATGAAGCCGCCATGGCCTTAGCCGACCAGATGTCGACGTCGCCCAATTTCAAGGAGTTGCTCTTGGCCTGAACTGATGTGGCTTAGGGCTTAGGGTTACCCCAACCCACAACATACGGACCCCATAGATAGCCGGGGGGGGGGGGGGGGGACGGCAGGAGGCAGGGGCTGGATTCCCACCACACTTACCTCGGTACCTCCTCCCCCCGCCCCGTTGGGTTTAGGGTTCGCTTCAAAAACTGTAGAAAGCAAAACGGGGTAGGCCAAGGCCCAAACTAAAAAACAATAAACTCAGAACCCCTGAAACCCTAATTCCTAAACCACAAACTCCAAAAAAGCATTAAAACCCTAAGATCCCAAACCCCAACGCCGAAAACTCTAAAGCCCCGCCCCCCCCCCCCCCCCCCCCCCCCCCCACCCCCCCCCATGACAAAAAAAACTAAAATCCCTAAGGCCCCCCTCCCCTGAAAAAAGACAGCAAACCTTCAAAGTCCTAGCCTAGTGCCCTAAAACTCAAGCCAAAAACCTTACAAAGCTAACCCCCCCCCCCCCCCCCCCCCCCAAAAAAAAAAAAAAATAATAGCAAAAGTAAAAACTTATATACATGCATGCACACATACATACATACATACGTACGTACGTACGTACGTACATACATACACACATACATACTAAACTTAAAGCCTAAAGACCCTAAACCTCATGAAGCCTAAAGATCCAAACGCTTAGCCCCGGGATATGAAACCTCAAATCCTCAAAGCCTCTAAAACCCTGGAAGCCTTCCACCAAAACCCCCAAACCCTTAAACCCCTAAGCCCCCCCCCCCCCCAAACAAAAAGAAAAAACATCAAGAATCAGAAGCCCTGGAAAAAATCTGTGAATCTTTCCTGCGTGGAACCAGGGCCTGGAGCCCTTTGTGTGTCGATGCCGGTGCGGGCTTGGGGATGGTGCCACTCCAGAGTAAGCCTGGAAGGGCTGTATTGTGCCTTAGGGTTGAGGGTTTTGGGTTCTACATTGTAGGGTGGCCTGGAAGGGTTGCAAGGTGGTTTAGGGCTCAGAGGGTTTAGAGGTTTTGGGGGCGGGTTGAAGGAGGTTTTGGGGTGTACACCCTAGATTTCTGGTTTTTGGGCTTCAAGGCTGTGGTTCCAAACCGCACTGGCGAACCCCTAGCAAAAACTAAATAATCCCCACCATGCGTTTTCTGCTGCACTGAACGGCGCAATCATGTAATTCTGATTTACGATGGTGGTATGAATGTTAGACCAGTTGAGCTCTTCTTCGCGGCTAGGAATCACTTTCTCGGGTTTGGAACCTCTCGCAGAGGGTTTACAGGGTTCTGTAGGGGGCTGGGGGCCTGGCTCTAGACCTTGATGGCTCTCGAGCAAAGGAGTTTCTCTATGCCATGAAGCCTGAAACCCAGAGCCCTCAATCTTCAACGACAGCAACCCTGGCCCTCGCAGCCTGACAGCGACGCAACGCTGGTCACCTGCCCCCACCCCCTCCCCCCCCCCCCCCCCCCCCCCCCCCCCCCCCGCCCCAAGCACCCCTTTCAGAAGGGTTTAGGGTTTAGGGTCTCGGACCTATCTGGTGCTCATGGTCTTTATAGTAATCGCCAACAAGGTTTTAAAGTAGTCCCCAAGTTCGGTCTGCAGAAGCTGCCCCTTCACTAAGCTTTCCGGGGCTTCGGGGCTTCGGCGCTTGAGCGTTGTGGACTTTAGCATTTCGGGCGCTTAAAGCGATGCGGCCCTAAGCGCCAGCTCCCTACAGAAGGTTGGGCTTCCGAGGTGTCTCTCGTTTAGGCGTCATGGGGCTTAGGGAAGTAGGACGAAAGGTGTCCTAAACCTGAAACCCCCGACCTCCCCAAACCCGAACCCTTTAAACCGCGAAACCCAAAGACTACCCACAAAACTCCCAACCGCTTGACCACAAACCCTACACTCTCAAATGCTGCAACTTTAAACCCTGGACACCTAAACCAAAGGGCAGCCTTGATCAAGTGGTTGAAGCGATGGGCCACCACCACCTCCAGGGCCCCAGAGCTGTTTTGAGACATTGAATTCAGACTTTGGAGCTCGGGGCTTAGGATGTAGGACGTTTTGTTTAGAGCTCTAGGGTTCAGAAAGAAGGCTTGGAGGGTTTGGGCTTATTGTTGAGGGAGCTTTGGCTACAAGCCCAACATCCCAAACACCCCAAAAGCCCCAACCAAAAAGCCCAAATCTCACGCCCAAGTCAATGCGCAGAAGGTCGCGTCAAGAAGATAGCCCAGAACCCACCAAGATCCCAAACCAAAACCCCAAAATGTTTATACATCCAACAGCTATCACAAAAACACGAGGAAAGTCAAATCACACCTAAAGCATCTTACAGACGCATCTACAAAACTAGTCAACATAAACGACACAAAGTGCAGCCAATCAACAACCATCAGCTATTTCCCACACCAAACCACCAACAACTCCCCGCAACAAACGCGGCACCTAAACAATACAGTCGCACAGGCTACATTCACCAGAACCACAACAAAAATCCCAAAACACATAAACTCACACAGTACAACTCAACGCTGAAGCCCGCAAACCCGCAATCCCCGATCTCAATTCCCCCCCCCCCCAAAAAAAAAAACAAAATGATAAACAATAAAAAAGACAAAGAAAACACCTAAACCCAGAAAGCCCTGAACCCAAGCACCTCCAACCTACAAACATCACAAAGCCCCAAGAAACCGAAGCCCTCAAACCCTAGAGGGTTTAGGGTTAAGCCTAGGACCCCGAAACTCACTAAACTCAGACTGCGCACTGAGCCAGCCCAGGGCACTGGGATCAGCAAGGTTGCATCTGCGAAGCTCTTGGTCATGACCCAGCCAAGGACTTTGTACCTCGGGCGTTTTGGGCCCGAAGGGCCTTAGGGTTTGGTTAGGGCCTTTGAGCCTTTGGGCCTTTGGGCCTTTGGGCCTTTGGGCCTTTGGGCCTTTGGACCTTAATCTCGGGCTTTCAAAGTTAAATCACTGGCTCTTCGGTTTCAGGGAAACTGGGTTAAAGGGTCAGCAACTACAAATTAGGGATTAGAGCTGATAAGAGGTTTTCGCGCGAAATCCCGGAACGGCGAACCAAAGTCATAAACCGCAGAGTTCTCGGGCCCCAAACATATCCGTCTGCAGCTATGGTAGAACTTCAACCCGTCGAGCGGCGGCATCCACCACAAGGTCGTGGTGCTGAAGGTGATGAGCATGCCTTGGCATAGACTCGCATAGACGCTGCAGTTGGAGGTTTAGTTGGAGCACCGGCCCCCATGGGTAAAAAGCCCCCTAAGCCCTAACTCCCCCCCCCTAAGCCTCTTAACCCTAAACTGACCGACCCCCACCCGTCTCAGACAGCAAGGCACATGCGGTGAGCTCACATCGTAGCACTCGTATCGCCCACAGCTCCTCCACCTGAATCGGCGGCTTAGGATTTTGGCTGTAAGTAAGGGCTTAAGAAGGTCTAGGGTTTGGGCTTTAAGTGTTTTTTCAAGTTTGGTGGTTTGGTTTGAGGCTTTAGGGTGTCAGGGGGTATGTTGCCTCCAGTTTGGTATCATCACCCACTGTGATGCGCAGTCTGAAAACTCATTCAGCGACCCCCCTATATGCACAAGGCCAGACATGCAAAAGCCCTGGGGCCGAGTACCCTCACAGAAAGGAGGCCAGAAGGCCTGGAGCCATTGAACCCTAAAGGCCCGAAGCTCCAAGCCTGAGACCTTCCACCAGATTCCCAAAAAAATTCTGGAAGGGGGTGTTCTGTAAGTTCCTTCCTGAACCCTAAACCCCTAACCCCTAGACCCGAAACCCCTAAACCCCAAACCCTAAACCCCTAACCCCGAAACCCTAAACCCTAAACCTTAAACCCTAAACCCTAGTTCTACGAAAACCGTTTTGCCCAGGGGGGGCAGCCCGGGAGCTGCCCTGGTGCACGTTAGCCTATTAATACGAGCGGCCCGTGCCGAGTCCAGCGTCCTTGAAGGCCTGTGGTTTTGGGTTTAGGGGTTTCAGGGTTTCTAATTAGGGTTTAGCCAATCCAGACCCTAAAACCCAAACACGTAAGCCCGACAATGCTTTTCAAAGCAACCTAAAACCCCGACACCCCGACAGTAAACCCTACGACCCCCCCCCCCCACCCCACCAAACCCAAACAAAAAAGGCAGCGTGCCTTGAGGGGAGTGAGACGCAGGGCCTTGGCCCCATGCAGCGGGCGTGCCGACGCTTCCTGCAGCCGGGGTCGGGGGCTTCAGGGTTTGAGGGCTCTAGGGTTTGAAGGTTTCAGGGTTTCATAGTTTCAGGGTGTCAGGGCTTCAGGATTTTGAGGGTTTTGAGGGTTTTGAGGGTTTTGAGGGTTCTGAGGGTTTTGAGGGTTTTGAGGGCTTATTTCAGGGTTCTTTTTGGGGATTCTTGGGGCTGCCGGTGGTTCGGCCGCATACTCAGCCGCCGCTGCTAGCCCTTACTAGTTTTCAGAATCCTTGCAAGATTCGAGGGGCATTGGGGGATTTAGGGGTCTTCAGGTTCTTTTTTTAGGAACGGCACGGGCCTTCAGGGAGTCTGGGGCTTTAGGCGCTTTAGGCGCTTTTGCGGAGGGTTTCTTGTGAGGGGTTGCAGGGCCGAAGCTTTGCAGAAGCGTGCCTCAAGGGGTGTTCAACTTGGGGAAGTAGGGGTTTAGGGTTCAGAGTGTAGGAGGGGGGGGGGGGGAGAGGGGAGGTTGGGCGTTTGAGGAGGGCTTTGGGGGTTTGGACCCTTTTTGTTCCCGTCGCGACACCTTAAGCTCCCCAGCCAACTGACAATAAGTCCTACAACCGTAGTTGGCCTGAAGCCCTGCGGCTTTGTACCGGCACGAGCCCAAACAGGAGGTTTTGGGCTAAGGGTTTGTCCCACGCCGGCAGGTCCTTCTGCATAATTCGGAGGTACCGGCTCAAGCCTCGTTTGCTTTTTGGCGCGCCGTGGTGTCAGGGGCTCAGGGGCTTTAAGTTTGGGGAGGTTGTCTTATAGCACCAGCTACCGCAGTAGGTAATAGTTGATAGTACTAACAGTACACCCTGAGTATGAAATCCCTAAACCCCAAACTCTAAACCCCTGGAGGAGCATGTGGTGCACCACTGCAAGGGTACTGAAGTCGCAGATCCGAAATCCTGCCCTGGAGAAATGCCCCTGTCGGGGTTTGAGGATTCGGGGCTCAGGGGTTTCGGGGATTCACCACTCACTGCGGGAGAAGGCTTGATGACTTAAGGTTTAGGGCTTCAAAGTTGCGTGCGGGTTGGGTCCAGGAATTGAGGGCCTAGGCCCCCAAACCCCTAAACCGCCCTAAACCCCCTAAGCCCCAAGCCCCCCTAAGCCCCCGGCACACTGCGATGTTCAGGCACAGGAAGAACCACAGCAACCTGGGTTGTAGCAGACCCCTCCATCATCGCAGATTATGGTGCACTACTATGGCTTGTGATAATATGCGTGTATATATAGATATAGATGTACACATACACATACACATATGCATATGCATATGCATATACATATACAGATACATATACATATACCTATACCTATACATATGCATATACATATACATCTACATCTACATCTACATCTACATGTACATATACATATACATATACATATACATATACATATACATATACATATACATATACAGACATGCGTATGTGCATATATATATATGGTATAATGTATATGTGTGTGTGTGTGTGTGTGTTTGACTATATGTGAATCTATGCATACAACATATGCATATATGAAAATAAATAAACATAAATATCAATATATATATATATAGATAGATAGATAGATAGAGATATAGATATAGATATAGATATAGATATAGATATGGGTCCAAATTGCGACATCTTTTCACCATTCGGTGGCTCGGGGCCTTCCGGAGTTGGGCAAGTTTCGGTGCTTCAGAGCCTTTTGTCGAGGCATGGTTTCTGTCTCTTGTCTTTCCATGGGCACTGATTTTCGGGCTTCGGGGCTTCGGGGTAGGGCTTTAGGACTTGAGGGGGCCCAGGGGTTTCGAGCTTTGAGGGGTTCAGGGTTTGGGGGTTTAGGGGCTTTCGGGTTGGGGGTTTACGAGGTGCAGGGCCTGGGGCTGCACGGGCTTCATGAGTTTTAAGCGCTTGTTCGGGTGCTAGGGCTCAACGTTTATGGCTTGTTCAGGGTTTACGGCAGTTCGGAGTTTAGGGGTTCAGGGGCTGGGGTTATTTAGGGCTTGTGGATTCAGAATTCAGAGGCTGCTGCTGGAATCTCGGACGATGCTACTGCCGATACGAGCGTTCAGTATCCTTGAGCCTGCGAGAAGCCTTAGAACTTAGGGCTTTGACCTGTCACCAGTCCTCAACCCGGAATCCTAAAAACCCTCAAAAAGAAAGCCTTGCAATCCGGGGCGCAGAAAGGTCGAGGCGAAGAAGAGCTGGATGGCTAGGGAGGTGTCCGTGAAGCCAAGGAAGGTCTCGGTGACGATCCTGCGTGGATGGATCTGTCGTTCTTGGCATCTTGGCGCCTGAAGCGAGCCCCAAGCTCGAGGGATCCTCGGGGTAACCCTGGAGCCCTGAAACTCTGAGGCTTTTGAGTGCTTTCGATCTTGGGCTGGGGTTGGGTGGGTCAGGAGTTTGGGGTTTGGTGGGTCAAGGGTTGTGTAGGGATTGGGATGAAGGGGCCGTCCTCATGTGAAAGCAAGCTGTGGCAGTCCGGATCATCGTACCTGCGTCTCGGGGCACGTGCCGTGGGGGTTGGTCGTCCCTCCCGCTTTCTTTCTCTTTATGTTCTCTCTCTGTGTCTCTCTCTCCCTCTCTCTTCTTCTTATTCTTCTTATTCTTCTTATTCTTCTTATTCTTCTTATTCTTCTTATTCTTCTTATTCTTCTTATTCTTCTTATTCTTCTTATTCTTCTTATTCTTCTTATTCTTCTTATTCTTCTTATTCTCTTATTCTTCTTATTCTTCTTATTCTTCTAATTCTTCTTATTCTTCTTATTCTTCTTATTCTTCTTCTACCCAGCTCTCTCTATCTCTCTCTATCTGTCTCTCTCTCTCTCTCTCTCCCTCTCTCTCTCTCCCTCTCATTATCCTTCTCCCTCTCCCTCTCCCTCGCCCTCTCCTCTCCCCTCTCCCTCTCCCTCTCCCTCCTCCTCTCCTCCTCTCTCCCTCTCCCTCTCCCTCTCCCTCCCTCTCGCCCCCTCTCTATCTCCCCTCCCCTCCTCTCCAGCTCCCTCTCCCGCTCCCTCTCCCTCTCCCTCTCCTCGCCCTCTCCCTCTCCCTCTCCCTCTCCCTCTCCCTCTCCTCTCCCTCGCCCTCTCTCCCTTCCCCCCCCATCCTCCCTTCCCTCCTCTCCCTCTCCCTCTCTCCCTCCCTCTCTCTCTCTCTCTCTCTCTCCCTCTCTCTCTCTCTCTCTCTCTCTCTCTCTCTCTCTCCATCTGTCCATCTCTCCCCTCTACTCTTCCACAACCTTCTGAAGTGTCTTGAACCTTCTGACGAGGGTTGAAGCCCTGCGCCTGAGTGCGACATGGCGAAGCTGTCACCACCACACAGTGCCGCGATTCGGTCGACCATGAGCCAAGCAATCCACATGAAGTTGACACCTCCAAGTTGAGGGTTTTGGGGTTTTGGGTTGAGGGCAGTTTGTCGGGTTGAGGGTTGAAAGGGCAAGGCCTACGATGCTGGCGATGCATCCCAAATACAGTTCTGCTAGACACCTTGCTTTGCACAACCCTACTTCTAAGTACCCATGTCAACCTCCAAGTAGCTGCAACCCGAGGTGTCTACCCCAAACCCCAAAACCCTAAAACCCTAAAACCCTAAAACCCTAAAACCCTAAAACCCTAAAACCCTAAAACCCTAAAACCCTAAAACCCTAAAACCCTAAAACCCTAAAACCCCAAAGCCCTAAAGCCCTAAAACCTTAAAACCCCTAAACCCTGAAACCCCTCCCACGGGCGCTGAATTGGGAGACCGCACGCCTTCCAGATGCCAGGAGGCGTGCTGGAGGATGGGGTGATACCTGAGGCCGCTGCTTGAGCCCGAAGCCCCAAACACATCCTCTTTTTACCTAAGGCTTGAAAAAAAATAACCCAAAAAAACGGTGAAAAAACACTAAGAAAAAACTCGACAACGAAAGCCTAAACAAACCTTGCAATTGGGCTTTCGGGGCTTCAGCGTTTGGAGTTTAGAGGTTTTATGAGCTTTAGGAGCTTTTGGGGCTTTGGGTCACCTGTCGACCTGTTTTTCTTACTGCGAACCAGTGAGCTAAATCGTAACTCGAAACCCTAAGCCACTAGCGAAGCCGCGACCTCAGAGACCGGGACACTTCTTCGCAACGAACATGGTGGCCGCTAGGAGGACGACCAGCATCCAACTGCCAACGATAGCCTGGGCAAAGAAGCCGAGAGCCAAAACCCTGAACCCCAAACCCCAGCATCCCGAAGCCCTAAACCCCAACATCCCTCAACCCTGAGGCCTCAACACCAACTCAACAAGAAACCCAAAGGCCTAAACCCTACTGTGTAAGCCCTTGACATCCCTTGTGCCAGGCAGCCCATACGGCGTGGCGGATGTAGTTGGACTCGGCATGCTTGACCTTCACCGCCAGCGCTGCGACAACCTCAGGGTTTAGGGTCTGAGGTTTAGGGGTTGGGGTGCAGGATTGAATCGCTGCGCTCTGGGCTCTGGGTTTAGGGCAGAGGGTTTAGGGTGCAGGGTCCAGGGCATAAGGGGTTAGGGTTCGGGCTTCGGGCAATCCAGGAGGGCCCATCATTTCAACTGCGATGCCGGGTGTACCTGGCCTCTTGGCTGCATCTTCAAAAGGGTAGATACACACAATAGCTAGGGACAGATCCCTGTTTTGTTAACTAAGGTTTTGTTGTGGGCCCACAGGGTGACACATCCAAGAATCCTAGCCAAACAACTTACACCCTACAAAACCCGAAGCCACCACACCCTGAAAACCTCTACACTCCCCGAACCCTCTGAACCTCCCCATGAAGTCCTAAACTGAAGGCCGGGAGCCGTGATCCCGATGGAGGCCACAGCATCCACCCACCGCAAGACCCACTGGCTGGGGTCCTCGGGTATATTGTCCTGCCCAAAGGGGTGTTCAAGCGTTTGGGGTTTAGGGTTTAGCGGGGTTGGGGTTTTAGGTTTGGGGTTTAGGGGGGTTGGGGTTGTAGGTACCGTAGACATGTAGTGTTGTGGGGTAAGGTGGCCTACACATACTGAAACCCAAACCCACACCCTGAGGGTAGCGAGGTTCGGGGCAAAGACCGAGGGGCTCAAGGTTCAGGGCTTCGAGGGCACCAAGGCGACTTTAGGGTCTCAGGCCTCCTCCATGAAGGAGTGCCACTGGCACACGGGAAGGAATGGGTACCTGGAAAGGGACTCCAGGGACTTGAGGGCCACTCGCCTTTACGGAAGGGCCCGTAATCCTACCCCCCCCCTCAATGTTGTTTTTCGTCGGGTGGACAGGGAGATCCTATGTCCTGAAAGAAGGCCCTCGCTGCAGTTTAAGGCTTTGGGGCGCTTTGGCGGCTTGAAGCCTCTGGCTCCCGGAATGGCTTCCTCTTCCTCAACTCGTAAAGAGCATGCCATGGCACAGGCCCACGAAGACGCCGACGGCTGGAATGGCCACCGCACCAGCGTAGCCTGAAAGCTAGAAAAGTGCGCTCAGACGATCGGGGAGGGGGGGGGGGGGCGTGTGTTTTGAGGAGTTTAGGGCCCGGGTTTAATGGTTTGAGGGCGTTTGGGAAACTCAGGGTGTCTGGGCTCATCTGAAGCGCCACATTGCTGAGGACTCAGGGCAAGAGACAGGCAGAGCATGGCCACCTGATTCCGACAACGAGGGTGGCTTTGCTGCCCTAAACCCTGAACCCTAAACCCTCAACCCTAAACCCTAAACCCCCTAAACCCTAAACCCGACAGTAAACCCTAAGCCCTAAGCTGCAAACCGGGCGTCGGTACACGGCACGAGGGGGCTTCTCACTCTTGCTGCGGCGGAGATGGAGCATGCCTGCTGCGGATTTAGGCGTTCAGGCTTCGGGCCCACAAACGCCTCCGAAGGTTCAACGGGTAGGGTTTAGGGTTTAGGGTTTAGGGTTTGGGGTTTAGGGTTTAGGGCTTAGGGCTTAGGGCTTAGGGTCTAGGGTTTAGGGTTTAGGGTTTACGGGGGGTTAGGAGTTTGGGTTTAGGATTTAGGGTTTAGGGTTTAGGGCTTAGGGTTTAGGGTTTAGGGTACCCTTGTTTATTCCCCAAGTACAGTCGAATCCCTTTTGAAAGGTTTAGGGACCCTGCACAGGGGTCCATAGAAGACGGTGCCACAGTCATAGCTTTAAGCAAGGTAACCCTTTCCACAGCCCCATGCAGAGTTCATGCTGAGTACTTCTAGCCTCAGTAAAAGCTGCCCGCCCTAGAAAAATATGACAGCCCCAAAAGCCCTGAAATCCCTAACAGCCATAAAAAACCGCAAAATCCCGAAAGCCCTAGAAGCGCTGAAACATTCGAAAAAATCCGCACAAGCCCTTAAACACCTAAAAGTCCTGAAAACTCTTAAGTCCCGAAAAGCCCTCAAAACCCTCAACCTCCAAGCAAGCTCTCAACTCCCGAAACCCAAAGGCGTGGTGAAGGCCCCAAGGCGTGGGAAACTCGAAGCTTCAGGGGCCCCCAGGTTTACGGGTTCAGGGGTTTACGGGTTCACGGTTTGGGGCTTCGGGGTTTAGGGTTGAGGGGTTTAGGAGTTTGAGGGTTTCAGGGTTTCAGGGTTTAGGGTTGAGGGTATGAGTGCTTGTGGGCTGAAGGATTTTACATCCTAGGTCCCATTTTGCAAAGCCTAAGCCCTTAACCATCCGACAGACGCTGCCTGGAAGGAGGCCCAGGAGGCTGCCATAGAGGGCGTAGGTGACTGGGCGGCTATGTTGTTTGAGGGTTCAGGGCTTTAGAGCTTTAGGGCTTAGGGGTTTAGAGGCTTGAGGGGTCTGGGGGTTTAGGGGTTAGGGTAAGGTTAGACGTACGGCACCTAGGCTTCAGCAAATGCCCATCGCGCACTCTCTTTGGACCCTGAGCTACGCATGTGGCTCGGCGTAATCGAACCGTAGCTATTCTGGATGTGACTGCATCCATGTTGCCGGCACCTTGACGCTGAACACTAAACCCACAACCCTATACCCGAACACCCGACAGCCCTAGGGGTTTTGGCTGCATTGACGAAGACTCCGAGAGAGGTAGGGGCATGCAAATGCGTAGAGAGCACAACCTGCTACCTTTGCAGCCGATGCCCTAAACACATAAAATCGAAGCCCCACACCGGAAACCTTGACCATGCCACTTGCGAATGCAACGAACCGTCCCGCTTGCTGCTGAGTTTTTTGGGGGGTTAGGTCTGAGTTTATCGGCTTAGGGTCTGGGGGTTTCGGGTTCAGGGCCGAAGCCAAGCCCGGAGCCCCAGACAAACTCCCACACAGACCCTCAACTGAACCGCCTCAAACCCCCAAACCCGTTTGGACACCGAAGCCCCAATTCCAGGAGAGCCGTGGCACGTCCGGTGCTGGACCAACCCAGGCACTGTGCGCGGCTCAGAGTTCCAGAAGCTTCGGGTTTTAGGGTTAGGGGTTAGGTTTTGGGGTTTAGGGTTCAGTTTTGGGGTTTAGAGGGCTTTTCTAAGATGAGAACCCCCTCTCTCAGGAGCCCTTTATGATGCAAGAAAGGAAGGTTCGGCTTCTTGGTAAAGGCGCGGATCTAGGGGGTAAAAGGGTGGGCGGGTCGGTTCGAATTTGAGGGGGTTTTGGCCCCAAACCCAAACATGCTTAGGGTTTTGCGGATTTGGGGTCGAGGGGTTCAGGATCTAGGGTGTAGGGACTCCAAACCCCGAAAAACCTGAACAGCCCAAACCTCATCACGTCGATTCCACAGACAAAATCGGTGACTGTCAATTAGAAACTATGGTCTGTAATTGTAGACGAGTCTCCAAGCAGATGCTTCGAGACTTCGGACCACATGTATAAGACCGCAAGCCAGCAACCCACATCCTTACATCACCTCTATCACCCTAAACCCTAGATCCGAAACCCTTAACTTCTAAACCCTAAATCCTAAACCCTAAGCCCCTTAAACTGGCCCTAAACCCGCATCTCCGAAGTCCCAAATGCTGGAACCCCCGAACCCCCAAAAAGCAAGAGTTGTGCTCGGACCTGCGCCACAGCCACCAGGCCACCGGTCACGAGCCACCTTGGAGTGTTGGGATGAGGGCTTCGGGGGTTGAGGCTTTGGGGGCCTGAATAATTAGAAAAGGGCTTTGGGGGTTTGTATCGGAAAATTACAAAGTGAGCTTTAGAGGGTTTGGCTTGGGGTGTTGAACTTGTTGGGGATTTTGGGAAACAGCAGGCGCACATGTAAGCTGAGGTTCACTGAAGATGCTGGGAGCTGCTAGGAGGAGGCTTGGAAGGCAAACCCGAAACACCTCCCAGACCTCCTCTGCTCTGACAATCTACTTATTTGGGGCTTGCGTCCTAAGTCCACATGCAGGCATAGCAAAAAGCCCTCAGGGTATTTCTTGCCAAACCTCAACTACATGCTTGAACTACTCAGCCCTACCCTCTTAAATCATACAAGGGCCTGATTATGAGCTAAGGTGTTTTCCTCCAGCAAGGAGTATGAAAGGGGCTCCCTGAGAATCCTAAGCCTTTGAGATCAGCCTGGCTGCAGCGACAGGAGCACCAGGCGCAGCCGATGCGGAGAGGTCTTCAGGGCCAAATGTGATCCAGGGATGGACTTGGGATGACTCAAGGATGTCATGCAGCTAAAGCCTTAAACCCGCAAGCTGGATAACCCCACCTCCCCCAGTAGGAGTAGGTAGCAGGAGTAAGTAGGAGTAGTAGTAGTAGTAGTAGTAGTAGTAGTAGTAGTAGTAGTAGTAGTAGCAGCAGCAGCAGGAGTAGTAGTAGTAGTAGTAGTAGTAGTAGTAGTAGTAGTAGTAGTAGTAGTAGTAGTAGTAGTAGTAGTAGTAGTAGTAGTAGTAGTAGGAGTAGGAGTAGGAGCAGGAGCAGAAGTAGGAGTAGGAGTAGGAGTTGGAGTTGGAGTTGGAGCAGGAGGAGGAGGAGTAGGAGTAGGAGTAGGAGTAGGAGTAGGAGCAGTAGTAGTAGTAGTAGTAGTAGTAGTAGTAGTAGTAGTAGTAGTAGTCGTAGTCGTAGTCGTAGTCGTAGTAGTCGTCGTAGTCGTCGTAGTCGTCGTAGTCGTCGTAGTCGTCGTAGTCGTCGTAGTCGTCGTAGTCGTCGTAGTCGTCGTAGTCGTAGTAGTCGTAGTAGTGGTAGTTAGTAGTAGTAGTAGTAGTAGTAGTAGTAGTAGTAGTAGTAGTAGTAGTAGTAGTAGTAGTAGTAGTAGTAGTAGTAGTAGTAGTAGTAGTAGTAGTAGTAGTAGTAGTAGTAGTAGTAGTAGTAGTAGTAGTAGTAGTAGTATAGTAGTAGTAGTAGTAGTAGTAGTAGTAGTAGTAGTAGTAGTAGTAGTAGTAGTGGTAGTGGTAGTGGTAGTGGTAGTGGTAGTGGTAGTGGTAGTGGTAGTGGTAGTGGTAGTGGTAGTGGTCGTGGTCGTGGTCGTGGTCGTGGTAGTGGTAGTGGTAGTGGTAGTGGTAGTGGCAGTGGTAGTGGCAGTGGTAGTGGTAGTGGTAGTGGTGGTCGGAGGAGGAGGAGTAGTAGTAGTGCTTGCAGAGCAATAGTACTGTACTTAATAGGCAGTAATTAGGTACTTCTAAATTAAACAGGAATTAATACTTAGTAAAGAGTAATTAGTAACTAGTCATTAGTAATTCATAATTCATGCCGATTGACTGTAATTGGCAACTACGAATTTGTAGTGAGTGACTAGTAGCAAGATAATCAGAACAAGACATCCCCGAAGCCGCCTTCTGCTCTCCCAAAAGGCCCATAACCATCCAGTCACAGCAGGCGCGGCATGGATCCAACGTGTGCCCTGGGCACCCCCGAAATATTCAACCGAGACCCCCACAATCCGTCACCAACCCTAAACCCTGAACAGCCTAGTAGAGGCTACTTTTAGGTGTTCCGCGATCGGCCTGGCCTCGGGTCTGGGTTTAGGGGTTGAGACGGGCTTGACGGTGACGTGGGCTTGCTGCCTGTTATCCTGAGCCGCCTGAGCAAGCTGCACGCAGTGCAGAGGAACCCCCGGGCCCCAACCTCAAGACCCCCAAAAGCCCTAAACCCTCAAGCCCTAAACCCTAAATTTCTAAACCCTTAAACCCTAAGATGCCGAGCCCGAAACATCAAGACCTCAGGACCCAGAGGCCTACGCCTAAAGCCTTGGACACTAACTACACCAGAAAATTCCGCACCTATTGAAGCCCAAACCCTAAACCCTAAGTTCCTCGACAAAATCCCTAAACCCTGACCCGGAATCCCTCAAATCCAGAACCCCATGATGCTTTGTCTGCGCTGAGACATGAGGGATTTTCAAGGCCAGCTGATGCTCCAATGATGCTCGTCATCACTTGGCCGCGGCTGGTGCTTGTGATGCTCGCCATCGTGGCCTCGATGATCAGTGATGAATCCCCAACGTCCTCACAAGGTTGGGTCTAGGGCTAACAGCTGAAGCGCAAAAACCCTGAGCGGCAAACCCCAAGTGGGACTTGGGAGACGGCTCCACCCTTACAACCTAAACCCTAAACCCCCCAAAACCGCAACCCCCCGACCCCAAAAACACCACCCTAAACCCCAAAAAACCCTAGAACAGCCTAAAACGCCCTGAAAACCCTGAACTCCAAAAGCCCACAAACCAAAGCCGGCACAGACATTTTCCCCACGGCTTTTCCCCACGGCTGCTGTTCAGCACGAGCGGTGAAGGTCAGGCTTTGTGAGGCTTGGCCGCTCTCCCTTCTTTTGAAAGGGCTCTTGGGTGTTGGACTTAGGGGTGTAAAAGCTTAGGAGGTTTAGGTGGCTAAGGGGGTTGTTTAGTAAGGGATGGGGGGGGTAGGGCATGCTTCAAAGCCGAAATTTTGATGGGCTCG